CCACGCGTTCCCGCCTTTCCTGCCTGTACGCCTCGAACTGGGCCTCCAGCGCCGAGAAGTCGGGCGTCTTGCTGTTGACCTCGTTCGCGGAACCAGAGACGAACTTCTGGAGCCTGTTGCAGAGCGCCACCACGTCCTGCACGCCATTGTTGAAGCCCAGGCCAGCGTTAGGCGTGAACTTGTGCGCTGCGTCTCCTACAAGGACCACTCTTCCGTTCCAGCTCCAGTGCTCGCAAAGGCCCTCCTCCAGACCGGCGCCGCCGGCATTGAAGCGCTCCTTGTAGACATCCTTGACTTTTAGGGTGTCTGTGATGGGCCAGTCTGCAAATCTCCCAGCAAACGCATCCAGTTGCTCGTCGGTGAAAGAGATGCGTTCCGTCGTGGGCTCGGGAAGCTTCTCGTACAAGAAAATCCAGCCCCTATCCTTGCCAGTAATGTACATGGCCGAATTGTCGGTCCCCGACGTCTCGTAGCTCTGGCCAGTCTCTGTTGGGCGCGGGAACGAGGCCCACATGCACTGGTACAGCGTCTTGAAGGGCTTCTCAGCGTCCCACGTCTTCTCGCGGGAGGGGTCTTCAGCGACGGCGAGTTTGCGCATTTGCCGGCGCGTCGCCGAGTGTACACCATCAGCGCCAATGACAATGGAGCCGTCGTAGGAAGAACCATCTTCACAAGTGACCGTCACCCCCGTATCCGTGGAGACGATGCCGGCCAGCTTTTTGCCAGTCAAGTATTTTGATTTAGCAGCTTCCGGTAGACCATCGTAGAGGGCCCCGATGAGGTGAGCCCTGTGAAATGCGACGGGTTCTGCGCCGTGGCTAGAGGATGGAGAAGAGTTTGTTAGCGAGCACGCGATTTGGCTTACACGGACATGTGAAGTGGGGTGGGAATAGGGGTTTGCGATTGCAGACACGACGAAGGAACCAGAGGAAGAAACTGACTTCGCTTTGAAAATGGCCAGTGTCTCGGCGTGCTTGAATGCGTACCCGTCGACAGTAAATCCTTTGTTTTCGTGCAGCTTGCCGCCAATTTCCATAAGTTTATCGAGGATGCCAAATTGATGGAAAATACGCAGGCTCGGTGCACCTAGGACGAGACTTGCGCCGAGATCCTCGACGATGTTTGTCCTACGTTCGAGGACGACAAAGTCGATTCCCGCGTGGTGAAGCGCATGCGCGGCGGTGATACCGCTAGGTCCACCACCAATGATGATGACTTTGAATGGTCCGCTTGGCATGATGAATGAAATGCGAATGCAATGAAGTCTTGTATGCTGCGAAATTGACTCAAGAAACAGCCTTGGGATCGTGGCCGGTGATATATACCACAAGAGGCCCGTCTCCACCGAGACGAAGTCGGGTCTCCGCCCTCTATGATTGTCCGCCTAAGTTACCGGGCGCTGGTGCGTCCATTGTGTGGCTGGCCATCGTAACAGACCTTGTATGAGGTTCCATTCTGTTGTCGACGTAGGATCGGGTGCTAGGTCTCTTGGGGTCAAACTCTGGCCCGTTCCCGTCCCATGTCGACAAGGACTTCGCTGGTTCGCAGCGTGGATGGAGTGAAGGAACGAACTGGCAGGTCCACCACCCACGTTGAATTCCGGGCAAAATCGCGCAGAGTGAATCCAACTGCTGGTCTATTTCGTTAGCAATTTGCCCACTTGCGGTGATAATAAGTCCGCCGATGCGCCGGCCGTGGACGCGGAGTCGGCGAATGTCCACCTCGGAGACTTACTTCACTGCAGTGATTACGGAGTACTTGCAAGGAAAACATGTCTTCAGAGCAGAGCTGATGGATAGTGGTACGCTACCATGCATGATTATCAAAGCCAGGACCCTTCGATGCACCGGGCAAAACCCATCTAAACCCCCGGAGATCCCACCTAGAGACCCGTTCAAGGTCCGAAACAGGGCAAATGCTACGTCACGCAAGAAAAAGGCAATCAAAGACAGTGGTCAAAATCCGATTTGCAGTTTCGATCTGTATAGCTCATGAATCATGGCTTTAGTAACGTTGAACATGGCGGAGTTCGCAGCAACAACGGCAACTTTTTGCGAAAGTTGCACCCACAGATCTCGGACCTTATGTTCTCCGACGATCCGATGGTAAGCACATTGTACGGAGGAAGAAAAGCACTGTGCTGCCGTGCCATCCCGCTGGTTTCGGGCTCGACTTACCGGGATCAAAAGGAGATGCTTAGGAACTGATAGGCTATCTCGTACACTCGAGATGACGAAGTTTATCACAACAGGAAGCTGGATTTTTTTTTTCAAAGGCTCGGAGACCAAACTCAGACTCTTTCTTGAGCGCGCTCGGCCACCCACATGCACCATATGGGGATTGGTTGAAATCCATCTAAAAGTCAGACTCAGCAGCAATATAGACCATTTACTTCAGGTATTAATAGTAAGACGATGTGCGTCAATGAAATTGGCTATTCTCTACAACTTTCTTCTGCTTGTGTACTAATGTAGTTACTAAACAGGTATGGACAAGCATGAGCGAACAACTGGTGGCTGTCGCTCTCAAGGGTGCCAATTGTTACTGCCTGATCTAGGTGTCCAGCCTTTGCTATTCGTAAGACGTACATACTTACCCAATTGCAAGTCTAATACTGGTAGCCTTATAACACTGGTGACGGAGATGGTAGTCTGGAAGAGGAGTCTTCCAAGCCTTCTGACTACGGCACACCACTTAGTGTACCTGAGTTGTGAACGCGGGCTGGTCCCTAAAGTACCTACCTGTATAGTCAGTGCTCTATCAAACTCACAGAACTACAAATACTGAAAACGTCTCAGTATCTGTTATTAATTCTGTAAGCATCTCATCGAGAAAAGCCGTATTTCAGCTGCCATAAATCACGGCTTGCCAGGCCTGGTTGATTATCCCAGTTGCAATGTCGGGGCCCAGGCGTGATAGATATACAAACTACCTTATCTGCATTTTGAGGCGCTGCTCAACATTTCGCTGACGAAACAGCTTAGTGAACCATGGTAAAGCTGAAATATCAGTTCTAAGGAGGTTTGGGTCTGAGAAATATCATAGGCAAGTATTTTGGGGCGGAAAGGTGATGTCTAGGATCTCTACCCACGGAAAGGCGGCATGGAAAATCACTCCCGGCTAGCCGATATGTCAGACTGAAGTGGATGCCGCAACTCAGTCAGGTTAGCGCTCCGAGTATTGATCCCAAGCTAGCGAGGCCTGCCGAATAAGGATGCACAGCCTGCCATATCAAGCCATATCCTTCAACGATGATTGTCAGCCTGCTGCCTGGAGTTCGAGATCACAAAACCGGGGCTTTTCCGATCTGAACCGTCATCGTGTCGAGAACCTGCCCATTCTTCTACACTTTCCCGTGATACAATGACACTGCATAATTGAAAACAGAGACATTTTTCTCCCTGTTCCTCATCCAGACCGGCCTGTTGTTTTCGTGACAGGTTCGCCACGGTGTATGCCAAGTCGGAAGTCTTAGACAACTAGGCGAGGGATGCGGAGACCGGGGTAGATCGCCAATGCCCCAGCCCGATCTGCCTAGCTTGGCATATGTGACCTTGAGTATAAGAAGAGTTGAGTAGAATATCCCGTAAAGAAGGATTACTCGGTGCGGCCTTGACTATCAACCCAGTCCCGTTCGACACTTCCACCGCAAACAACCATGAAGCCTCTTTCATCAATCGCGTGCCTTATAGGTACAGCAGCTGCCGCGGTCGATATTCTGTTGCCGCTATATATCTACCCTATCAACGATCTCCAGAAGCCTTACGATGGCACCGTGGACTGGCAAGCAGCTATTGCTGCCATCGACGCCCACCCGGATTTGACATTCAACGTCATCATCAACCCCAACAGCGGCCCTCCATTTGCTTTTGAGGACGGCATAAAGATTGACTGGGCCCAGTGGATTGGCCAAATCAACAACCGTCCCAACACTGTGACCTTGGGCTACATCTCGACCCTCGGTACAGTACAAGCCCAGCCCCAGGACATCGCCGTCGTCAAACAAGGAGTCGACACCTACGCCGCGTGGGATACTACAAACGGCTGGGACGGCAACTCTTGGGACATTCACATGGACGGTATCTTCTTTGACGAGGTCAACACCGCTCCCGCCCAGCTTCAGTACTACACTGATATCACCAACTATGCCAAGTCCGCTACCGGTGTGGTGGTTCTCAATCCTGGCGTGGCCGTAAATCCCGCCAGCTCCTCGCTCTACACCGTGGCGGATGTCATCCTGTCGTTGGAGACGTGCTACACGGCCGACTCTGATGCGCCACAGGATCGGTGTCCCAGAAACACGTACACGCCGTTCACCCCCGCGTCGTTAAGCTCGCTGCCGACGGACGCTACGCAGAGAGCCAAATCTGCGGTCTTGGTGCACGACTTTTATGACGACTGGCAGCCTTACCAACCTGCGCCTGTGGCGACTCTACAGGCGGACATCAATGCTATTGTTGCGCAGGGTGTGCATAGCCTGTACATCACGCAGTGGGGGTATAATGAGAGCTTCACGCGGGAACCGGCCAGTGTCGGGACCGTCTCGAACTTGCTGGCGCTAGCTCAGGGTTTGGGTTCTGGTGTACTTCTGTGATTGAGATCTATTATAGCCATGGGAACTATCGTTGGCTCATCCATCCTATTGTCAGACTCTCGGGAATAGGACCCTGATCGAATAACAGGTGGTGTTTTCAAAACTCACTTACAAGTCTACCGTGGTTGCAAGTTGTTGATGCGATGAGAGAATTCGGTTCCTTTCTAGCTCTGGGCTCCTCGAACGTATAGGCTGAGACTACTTCTCAAAATTCGCTCTTGCCATCTGGCCAAGCGCGTCAGGTGTGTCGACTGTGATGACCCGGATTCATCAGGTTTCTTTGCTCGGCCACGCTATGATGACGATGCATTGAACCTCTTCAACACCAACTCATAATCCTCTTCCGCCTTGCCTTTCCGTAGCATAAAATCCTGTGACAAAACACCCGAGTTGGGCGTCGTAAAGTCTAGGCGGTATAATGATTGAAACCCATACTTTTCGTAGATTCCTTTGCCAGAGGCACAGCCTCCAAGAACGCCAACTTTCCTTCCTCGTCTGCCCTTTCGATGCCCCATCTCAGGAGTGGGCTAGCTGCGCCTTTTCCCTGGTGCTCTTTCCGGCAAATGATAAGCTCAAGGTACCAGTGTCTGGTTTCTCCCATGATCTCGGCGTGCTTCCTGCCAATGGACCCAAAGAAGTGGTTCGCAAACTCCGGGTTGCCCTCTTGCGGCCAGACATCTGCCGGAGGCGGCGGCTCGACGTTTGTCTCGTTGGGCCCTGCTGGGCGAACCCACTTTGCGCAAGCGATAGGAAGGTCAGGGTCCTCGTAGTCTGGATCAGTGATGACGAGCCACTGAGATCTAGGTTCGCTTATCTCTTCCGCAAAAGATTTGGCGAGAAAGTTGCGGACTTGCGTGGTCGCAGGGAAGCATGTTATGGCCACCGGGTTGTCGTGGAAGGCGGAGAGGTAGATGGATGCGAGGGCCGGGCCGTCTGCCGGGGTAGCGGGGCGTAGTTTGACGGGCATATTGGTAAGGGGCGAATGGCAGTCGCTGGTTGTCAATTGCTTCTATGGTCGGAAAGACTTGCAAAGAAGCGTGGACTATGTGGCATCTCGGGAGGGGTGTGGTGGAGGTTGCGGAGAAGGCGGCAATCCTCGGAGTGGGGTGACAACTTGGGAGCACCCAGACGTGAAACGGCATTGCCTAATGAGGACTTCCAGCACTGTATATGTTGATTCGGACTGAGGTTGATGGTGCTCAGTCTTTGATGGTGGCCTACGGCTCGTGAAACGAAAGTGTGCACTTCAAAGGAGCTCCCGACGTGACTGCCATGAGGACATCGCTCTTTCTACTTTTGTTATGCAATACAAGACACCGCTCTTTTGTTACTGGCATGCGCGTTGAAGAGTAAAACATTTGACCTAGAACACAAATGTAGATGAGGGGTTCTGCCTTGCCGGACTTCCACCCCGGCCTCTCAACGTCGGAAGGAACAGTCGGGCCCCGATTACGGGTAAGCCTGCTCCCGACAGAAATATCCTATGGTTCCATAATTGCGGTCTCCATCACCTACATAAACTCAAAGAAACAGCTTTCAGATCAACCACCACCACTCGTATGCAAGCTCTCCCAAACTAATGCAAACACAACCCGAGTAGTTCCACGCCTGCCTCAAAGGGTATAGACTAGTGGATCGTTAGTTGCGGGAGGTTCGGAACACTAAATCCAAGCTTAAAAAGTGATGGACTGATCGGCTTGATCGGCCCAAAAGCCCTAGGCACGACATCGGTGCGAACCGCACTGCGATTACTAGCATCCCACCGGGATTGATATATCCCGGAGCTGGTCCCGGCCACCTCAGAGCTATGCGTTTTGAACTGTTGTTCATCCCTTCTCTTGCGTGGGCGGTATCAATGCTTCAACGTTGCAATTTTTAGATAGGCGAGTTGTCATCGAATATTGAAGGGAAATACCCCGGCATACCAAGCGGACGGTTACATGGCTTCTGAATGGTATCATTGCCACCTGCAGCACTCTGTCTTGGCAAGCTCACGCAGCCTATGAGACGCCGGGCGATGCGGAGTAGCAGAGATGGCCCGACGGATAGCAGAGGCATAGGCGCAACCGAACAGAGGAACTTTAGCATGGCAGCGATGAATAACCTTGGTGACGTTGACCAATAGTGCCAAGAATTTGCGACATCATTACGACCTGCCTATTCCATATCGAAAGACCAGGCTCATCAATTGTCCGTCTTACAACATCCATCGCCAGAGAGGGGTTTACGTTCAGTACCTGAGGACCGAACTGCTAAGCGATGGTCTTATTCCAACGGCATTTTCGCCATGGCTTGGCTTATGCAGATCGTGCAGAACACTGGCCGATGGGTGAGCGAGCGAAATGCAAGTATCCTGCAACTACCTAGCCGTGAAATCCATTTTCTGGGACTTTTGTGGCATCCGAGTAACATGGCGTCGCTTGGCTTGGAAGATGGAAGGACGGACCACATTGTCGGTGCTATAAATGCTGACGACAGTCCTTCCACTTGCGGAATAAACTTCTCGCCTTGGACTACCTCTGACATTCAATCTTTGCGGCGAAAGCTTCCCATCCAGCTGTGTTGGTAGAGAATCAGTCGCCAACATGAAGTCCAACGCGCTACTTGTCGCCATTGGCGCCTTTTCTGGTGTCTCCATTGCCAGAGAGCTGGAGCCCAGCGCCGAGCTGTCAGCCTGGTATGATACCGGTGCGGCTCACCAAGAGAGCATGGAGCACAAGATCGTAGGTCTGATGCTTAGTCTCCAAGCAGCATCAAGTCTGACAGAACCAGGCCCAATGGGAACAAGCCGAGGCCGAAGGAAAGTTCGATTCGACTCAGTGGACGGGTCGCGTCAAAGACTACCTCGCATGCAAGGATGGCAAGGTAGAGCTCGTCAAGGGCGACCCTCTTCAGACGTTCCGATGCAAGGATGTAAGTTAATGATTGAAAATGGGATCGACCTAGTCGTCCTGGGAGCCAGAGAGTTCCGCTCACAAATGACAGCTCGACCTCTACGACTTTCAACCTCACGCAGCGTTTGGCAACTCAACCGGCAGAGGTTCCGGGTCGTGGGGTTGGACGGCACCAAACGGCCGGGAGTTCTCTGCCATTGGACAACTCGATGGCACCGCTTTTGCCGAAGTCTCGAAGCAGGGCAAGCTGATCTACCTCGGAAAATTGCCGTACTTCTCCGAGCCAAGCAGGTGGCGTGAGATTAAGGCTTACAAGAACTATCTCGTCGTCGGTAGCGAGGCGCCTGGGCACGGAATCCAATTCTTCGACTTGCGCAAGGTATGTCAGACCTGCCGGTCATTCCAAGTCAAGCATTTAAGTGGGTTACGGACTAACACCGCTTCAGCTACTCGACATCGACCCCAAGAACCCCGTTGTCTTCTCCAATGAGAAGGATTTGACGGCTCATTGGACCGAAGCTCTACCCCTTGGGCGCAGCCACAACGTCGTTGTCAACGAGGAAAAGGGATATGCCGTTGCCGTCGGTGCCCAGCCGCGTCGCAACCTTCCATGCGACTCTGGTCTGCAGTTCCTCGATCTCGCCGACATCAACAATCCTGTCTACCTGGGATGTGCGGCTGGCGATGGCTATGTTCATGACGCGCAGTGCATTGTGTACCGTGGACCTGACGTTAAGTACTGGGGCCGCGACATCTGCTACGGCTACAACGAGGATACCTTGACCATGTGAGTCCTTTGACGCCGACTTTGTTTTACGCTCTTTTCTGACTAGTTTTCAAGCTACGATGTGACCGAGAAGAACAGCACCAACATCATCTCTCGTACCACTTACGAGGGTGCGACCTACACCCACCAGGGCTGGGTTATTGATCCCAACTGGCAGGACTTCTTGGTTTTGGACGACGAGATTGACGAGAGGAACAAGACTGGCCCGGCGGCTGACGGTTTCCCTGTGACCTACTTCTGGGACATCAGATCCCTTGAGAAGCCCAAGAACTCTGGTATTTTCAAGGGTACCGTCCGCAGTGTCGACCACAACCAATTTATCCACCGCGGTCTGGCGTACCAGAGCAACTATGGCGCTGGGCTTCGTATCCTGGACATCTCATCCATTCGATGGGATCCCACAGCCAAGAACGTCAAGGAGATTGCCTACTTTGACATCTTTCCGGAAGACGACAATGAGCCTGGCGGTGGAGCAAACAACTACACTGGTACTTGGAGCCATTACCCGTACTTCAAGAGTGGCTACATTGTCATCAACACTATTGAGCGTGGCGTTTGGGTTGTGAAACGATCCAACCCCTGGTGGTGGCCTTGGTAAGGGCCAGACTTCACGTCTATCGAAATATGGCCCACAGTCCTCTAGCTGAAGCAGCAAATAATCTTCTTGTACATAGTATAAACTGCAGGATCTTATCAGAAACGCGTATTTTTCAGGACGGACTCTAGTCTTACTCAGCGCTGCATTTCTGAATTGTATAATTGGAGGCCTGACAAGTGAACACGCCCTTCAATGGTACATCCTAACAATCAACCAGGTTACAAGCGCGATGGTCTGTTCGCCTCACCAACTAACACTTCAGTGTTACTGATTGGGTGGTGTAATCTGGAGAACCGCTGCTCAGGGATTCAATGGCTGACGCTCAATCGGGCAGAAACTCCACCAAGCATTACGTCGCTTCACACAGGCCATGCATGCAGGCCAAGACTGCTGAGGCAGAATATCCGGGAACGACGTGCCGTCTACTTGGCGTAACGCGGCACTGCCTTGACTCCCGACATCATACTCTTTTGAAGGGGGCAAATGGTTCACCAAGAGCAAACGCCGAGGACGCGTGGACGTCGATTTGAATTGAGTTAATACCTGCATTGCCGAATCCCGGATTAAGCTTCTTTCATTTTACATTCATCCACACTTTGTTTTTGCCTTTCTGTCTCTAGCCTCTAGACCTGCTTTTAGCGTTCAAACTTTGGGCACGAATGCCTCGTTCCCAGCCTCGAAGAGAGGATGGCGCCCAACAAATCAAAGACCATGACAACTTGAATGCACAGGTAGATGGCGAGCTTACCCAAAGCGATGGTTGGCATCATGGCCTGTGTGGATGCTGTGCATCCTGCGAGCTTTGCCTCCTAAGCACCTTCGTGCCATGTCTTCGTATGCCACCCTCTGATCGTGGCGGTCATTGTTTTGCTGACAAATCTGGAAAGTTCTCGGACAGACCTCCCATCGAATCAAGGAGCCTTCAATGAACAATTACAGGCATATCAACCGTGACTGCCTATTGATGATGGGAGTCACCTACCTTACCGGCTTTGGTTGGATGTACGCCGGCTGAGTTAAGACTTGACGACTTTCCATGTTCAAGTCACTAATAATCCATTCCAGGTATGTCATGAAGAAGCGCTTTGAGATTCGCAAGCGCTATGGCATCAAAGGTACCGATGCGAGAGACTGCTGCGCATCCTACTGGTGTCTTTCCTCTGCTTTGGTTCAGCATGAGAGAGAAGTGCTTGCCCGGCAGGCTGTCAGGAGTGATCCCACCACTGAGGGCTATCAGACTCAACCTGCCATGGAATTACCTTCTAGACATACGCAGCCCACTACATAGAGTTTGGGTGGGGTTGTCTTTGTTCGGTGTCAATATACTGCTCGCGATTTGGAGGTGCTTGTGGCTTTGGCTTCAGCTGACATCGGACATGTTGACGCGAGTGGATAAACGTGGAAAGCTGGAAGTATCTCCGTCCCAGCGACAATGACCTGCAGGGTGAAACTTGGAAGTGTCAGTTTACATCACAATTCAACTGGAAATTATATTGTCTCGTATTCTGTCTCGTGTGCTGTCCTCAAGTCGTTGTCGGGATCGACTGATAGCTTGATGACTGGGGTAAATTCCAACCGCCACATAACTGAAGATTGATACATCTCAGCTCAGGTGTTTGACCAACACATATCTTACGGAATCTACAGAGATCCTTCAAGTGCATGTTACAATATCTAGCGTTTGGACTCGATGGAGTGACAAAAACTAATTCTTCCAACCCGAGTTCCGACAAGCTAATGAAGCGATAACACTGGATCACATCAATCTACTCACTTTGCCTTATCAAGAACGACAACAAGAACCGATCGGGATCTCTTCCCAGCATATAAATCAGTTGACGTCGTTCTCGGTGGTGCCGGAATGATTGCGGTGATACTTTGAGTCAATGACCTAGTTCAGCCCCATACTTATATCAGGGAGTGGGTGGTCAAGGCACTTTAAACAAAGTTAATCCTGCTCCTTCATATAAAAAACGCGCTGAAAATGCCGATCAGTCTTCAACTACACGCTGAGTAAGGAGATCTACCGCATTTTTGATGTCGGTCTTGAGTCAACATCAACAAAGTCCGATCTCTCCGTAGATATTGTAATAGACTCACCTAATGCGATTCGGTTTCTCGATTGCACATGCGATCGAGTACATAGTTCAAGGAGTTCCCGGCCGTAAAGACGATGCTTTTGGTGATTCAAGACATTCAGCTCGATTCAGCTACACACTCATTTGTCCTTGTCCAACTTCAAGCTGTTGCTATCGACAATGGCGGCTCGTCTGTTCTTTTCCTTCGGGCTTCTGATCACCGCTGTGCTTGCCTCCCCTCCGGAAACCGCCATCGCAGCCCGCGCATTTGACTGCTCTCCTGGATCGGAGACAGGACTTAAGCCCGAGTGCTGGGCTCAGTTGAACGTGTCGGACTACATCACCAAATGGCTGGCTGAGAACGGCACCAAGGCCGACTGCGACAACCTGGGATTCGCCCAGTGTTATCTAGCTTTTAACGGCTATGGTGGTCGAACTTGCGACACCCTCACTCGCGATACGTGTGCGGCCTTTGAAACTGCCGGTGTCGACGCCGCCTACTCTTCGCCGCAGCAATTTTACACTCTTTGGAACATTTACGCTATTTCTCAGTTCTTCAATCAGTTCTCGGAGGCTCTTTGGAATGGCCACACCCTCGCCGCGGATACGATTGGGGACATCGTTGCTACCGTCTCCCCATCCACTGACCCTCAAGTTCCGAGCAACTTGTTGTGGACTTCAATCTCTGGCGGGTTTTGGATGGCCGCCGTTGGCGCCTTTGCCAACCCCCTTTTGGCCGGCGTCGCCACTGGCATGGCTGTCGTCACAGGAATGAGCTCTTTCTTCATGTCTTCCGTGGCAGGCTCTTCCAACTCGCGATTCATCACGCTGGGCGAGATCGGGAGCAGCCTTGCTCAGCTTATCATTGACTACCAAGGTAGCCTCGAAGGCGCCTTGAAGGAGCTTCAGGGCAACAGCACCCTGTTTCTGGCCGCAACGGAGCCTGGTGGCTTCAGCCAGCGTGCTGTGACCAGCTTGAATCTCCAATCCACCGAGCTCTACCACGATCTGCAACTCTACATCCTTTCTCTGTCTCTCAAGGCCAACGGCATCGTTTCCACTCGCTCTACCGGCGTCAATGCCCTCGACTACGCACCCGACACCAACGGCGCCGTCTCATGCCCTGGTCTTGGTCCCGCGGGCAATTGCTACCAATTCTGGATCGATCCGGATACGGGCGACTCGTACGCGCTGCACAACCCGAAGGACTGGAAGAATGATTATGTCGATGTGCTCAACAAGATCCACGACAAGAATTGGGCGAACCTAAGTGAGGTCTTCAAGGTGGAGGATTGCCAGGGCAAAGATCCGAGCTTTGACGGAAAGACGAAAGTGACTTGCCTGGCATCGCACGGATTTTGCGAGTGGGATTACGTCGATCAAGACACCGTCACCAAGTCCAGGACAGCTAACAAGCAGTTCACTAACTGTGACAACGACAAGTCGTGGGGCACTCTTTGTGACTGGATGAACGGTGGTCTTGTGATGCCCGAGGCCTACCTCGGTCCTCTGTTCAAGTTCCGGGAGCCTGCGTGGTGCAGAGAGCACTAGCTTTTCAAGGCTGAGCTTCTGATTTTGTACACAATACCCGTGTAATCGTATAGTAGACATCTCTGGATGCAATGGCGTTCGATCATAGAAACGTCAAATCACGTGTTAAGTCTGATACTCACTTAGTGCATGTATTCCTAAACACGCTATTGTGTGCAATTATCCAAAGAGAACAATGCGTCATTGATTTGCGCCTCAACTGTAAAATGGTGATGTCTATTGTAGAATCATCTCAAGACTGCCACAATTACTGAATGATCTCGAGTCCGGAGGAGCACGTGCTAAAGGGATGCAATGATCCCCACGAGCCAGCAGGTGAATGTGGGGGATCGTGTTACATTGACAGGGCTAGCGGAATTGCCGACATGCAGATCAGAGATCTCGCTTTCGGATTGCGGGATCTCGCATGTAGTCAATTTTGGTGTCAGCACCGCGCGGATATAACACGCTCCGATTTCGATCACCTGTAGCGAGGGCAGGATATAAGTTTGAAGACATTCTGACTCCCGCATCTGATGTTGCCGCACACGCTGCAGTATTGGCTGTAAGACTCAGGCTAATAGATCTAGATGCCACGCGGGAGAAATTTACGGCTTATCCTCACTACCTGAATTTTGGTACATGAGTCAGCAGGACAATTAGACACTGGTACGGAGATTCAGCACCGGTTATGTGGGACTATGCGTTTGAAAAGGATTGGATGTTTCTATGACATCCTTCTAAGTAAAGTAGTAATCATGTAAATCGAAGGGACCGTGTGAGTGATGGACTTCATCAATCAACAAGATGACCTATCTCCTTCGTGAATTATATCTGATGTACCTGGAGTACGTCACATTACCTTCAAACGTTCCTCGTCTTGAGCCACTTGAAGTTGATCATTGAACATGTGCCTTGCCTTAAAGATGCATATGAATTCCTGTATCTGCGCATCGTATGACTCTGTTGAACTCCTGCATAAAATACTTCTAACAATTTTGTACGTCCATGAACCCCTTGCCTACGTCTAACCCGTCCAGACCCGGAACTCAGACAGACTCATGGCAAGTCGATTTGGTCTCTACAGACCATAGCTATGCGTGTCAAAAGCTACTACCTTTCCGGGCTCCGTGATCGTCCCATTGATCGGCGCTGCGAGAGACCCTCCAGTCACAACATACAAGATCGCCTTGTCCTTTACGTTCCGTCCGAAAGCAGTGGCGGTTCCTCCAGCGACAGTCAGTTCCGTCTCTGAGCCGGCCACGACGGTGCCCTTCCCCTCGGGGGTGATGTAAACAAGCTTATCATCAATGTTGGTCACTGCCCAGATACCGCCCTTCTTATCGAAAGCAAAATCGTCGAGAAACGCAGCGATGGTGCTCACATCGGCAATCTGGTCGATAGTGGCCTTTGCCGCAACTCTACCCGAGCGATCGAGCTTGACCCGGAAGACCTTTCTAAATGAGCTGTGGCTCCAGTACAAATAGTCCCCACGAACTTTTACACCGTTGACTCCGATCGCTGGCACCGCTCCGGCGGCAGGCTCGAAATCTTGACCGCTTAGGATGGTCTCGTATTTCTTGGCTTTGACATCGAGTCTGTACACTTTACCAAGCGCGGACTCAGCAATGAGAACAATGTTGCTGTCCCACGGCAGAGAGACTACGCCATTCAAGAACGCCGCCTCTGGGACGTTGACAATCTTGTTCACCGTCGTCTTCTTGTCTGCGATGCCGACCTCCCACGCCGAAAAGGTACCGGGAACGCTGACACCAATGCCTGAGAAGTTGCCGCCTACCACCACGAATGTGTCGGTGCAAGTTTCGGTGATGCCGAGAAGGCCATTTATGTCTGAGAAGCGGTGGACGAGCTCTGTGGACGGGGACTTCTCCCATGGTTTGGCGACTTGATAGAGTTCGGGAGAGGTAAGGAGAGGCAGGAGGAGGTTGCCATTCTTGCGGACGGCGATGTTTTCGATCCAGTTGGGCTGTTCTGGGAATTGGTAGGCAATACGTGAGGGTAGGCTCTGGCCGACAGCTAGAGCAATGTAGAGGATCGACGACGCAATTAAGCCCCGCATATTTGCTGTGGTTTCGACGGGTTATCTCTTTGAGGCGATGTACCACGAAGTCTGAAAGTGAAGGGGTAAACGAATTCTGGGTGCGGTAATATGTACGGGGTTCGTTGCAGTTAAATATATGTCCAACCTTGCAGATTCTTTCTCAGGCTAATTGAACGGATGCGCTGGCTTACCAACTTCATGCATCTTACACAGGGTTCTCATTAGCTCCGGAGTTGTCGTCTTACTGAGATCGTGCAGGCGGAACACCGCTTTACACGGTGTCTACGTCCGAGGTGGCCCATAAAGACCTTACAAAGTTCCCATAACAAACCCAAGAGGTGCAGTAGTATGCAGAAGCGATTGGTGATCGTTCATATCTAGCCCGCAGAAGTTGTCGGCTAGGAGAATAGCGCAATCGCTTAGGAAGCTGACGTTGGAGTAAGGATTCAGCTGGGATCTTGGGTGCATGTTGGAACAAGCACCAGTGCATAAGCAAAGCACTAGGCCCATGCATAGATAAATCCGCGGAGATATTACCAATCGGTAACATTAATGATCAGATCCGATGACATTTAAGTAGTGAGAGTCCCAGATGTGCTAAAGTTACTTCATCTTATAGCTTGGTGAGTTCCACGGAGAAGCTATGGCTGCAACTGTTGCTGTAGCTTCATGTTGTGTGTGGTTCTCCACAAACCATCAGTCCTCCCTGTTTCCTTGCTCCAAGTACCCACAGACGAGCACTGTCCCGCAAGCTGGTCCACCGCAAACTCGGGGCTTTCTGCGTTAATACCTACCTAGCTCTGCTAGGTTGGTACTAATCAAGAACATGAAGGAGGCGGCGACTTCGCAACCGACCAGTCATACTCTCGTAAGTGTACGTTCATCGATGTAAACAGGTGATGTCATGTGGATATCGGTATTGGTCCTGAACAATTGTTGGAAGAAGCTGTGGCGTTTGGGCTGCTGGGGCTGATGCTAAATCGACACCATGCGTTTGCTCGCCAATCGAACGGCACCCCCAAGTCTCAGCGCTCTACTCCAATGAGATATCATGACAAGGGTCCAGTTCCAAAGAGAAGATGTCGAGATCGTAGAGTATGAAGGAAAAGGGGCGCTGGAAATGTCATTGAGGTTTCTCAAGAAAGACTTGGCTGCGACATCGGATCCAGGCTCCCGGCTTGCATCGGGAGAGGGTCGATGTTCGTCGGGACGACGCCCTTCGTTTGTCATTAGCGCATTGGGGCCGTTTGATTAAACCCCTCTAGGAGTCATCCTTAAGTTCAGGTTGAACGTCAGATCGAAACTTTATATACTGAAGTATACAGAGTTCTACTCTCATTATCTGTACGTGAAGCTGATTATCAAACAAGACATCATACTGCCCAACATGAGCAACGAACTCGCCCAAGAGCTGAAGCAGCTGCACGTCCCCGCATCGCCAGTCATCTTCGCCAACGTCTGGGACCTAGCCTCCCTCAACACGATCATCTCGCTAAACACCGCCGACTCAAAGCCCGTAAAAGCCATTGCAACCGCATCATGGGCCATCGCAGCTACAGTAGGCGTAAAAGATGAGGATCTCGAGCTAGAGCAAAACATGGCCGCGATAGGCCAACTCGCGCCCGCCGCCAAAGCCGCCGGCCTGCCACTCTCCGTTGACCTCCAAGACGGATACGGAGATCTAATCGACGAGGTCGTAACAGAAGTAGTCACGCTGGGCGCTAGCGGAGCCAACATTGAGGACAGTATCCCGTCAGCCGGATTCGAGAAGGGCATCGAAGGGTCCCTCTACGGCGTAGAAACGCAAGTCGCTCGCCTCAAGAGCGCCTTGGAAGCGGCTCGCGAGGCGGGGTGTCCTGACTTTGTCCTCAATGCCCGGTGCGATGTGTTCCGCCTCGAGCCGTATTGCGCGGCTGACGACGAGGGTGTCCTGGCTGAAGCCGTGAAGCGGGGCCGGGCGTACCTGGAGGCCGGGGCGACGACCGTGTTTTTCTGGGGTGGCTCGGGACGTGGGCTGCGGACATCGGAGGTTCGTGTGCTCGTCAAAGAGCTCGGAGGGCGGGTTGCTGTTAAGCTCGGGGATCGGGCGGACTCGTTGTCAACGATGGAGCTGGGTGAGATTGGGGTCGCTAGGATCAGTGTGGGACCAAGTTTGTACCTTGTGGCGATGAACGCGGTGAAGGAATCGGCGAGAAGGATTTTGGACGGAGGGAAACTGGCTGCTTGAGAGCTTTGCTGTTGGAGAAAACTTGAGGCATATCGGGGCACAAATGACGCGGCTGAGGCTGAGCACCTTCAAACGGGATGTTTCATTCAATCAAGTTTGCTATGTGAGCACCCCTCTTCTACAGATCAATTGTTTTATAACTCGCTCCAAGTATATGTGTATCTGGAGAGAACTCGAAACAGTCCTGCTCCAGTCGATATGTACAGACTTTTTCATTGGCCTCCAGAGGCCTCTTTCACATCTTCCAAGTGATCAAACATCTCGTCTAGTTGATGGCGGCAGGGGGCTGCTGGCCAGGCAGAGGAATACTCTGCGGGTGGGCAGTGAACATGCCCTCGGGGTCGTACACGGCCTTGATCTCCTGCAACTTGGCATAATTCTTGCCGTACAGGCGCTCGCTCCACTGATCAACGGTCAGAGCCGTATCGCGGTAGTTGACGAAGCCGCGAAGGGGCACGCCCTCGGCCGCGAGCTGGTCCTTGAAGGGCTGAAAGCCGTTCTGCATGTAGCTCAGGCCGTCGGCGGGGAACTCGGTCAAGCCGGTGGCGAGACGGCCCTCCCAGCGGATGAGCCATAGGCTGTTGGCGTGGGCGAAGGAGGTGTCGTCGTCCTTGAGGGCCTTTGTGGGCTTGCCGCCCCAGAGGTCGATAAAGCCAAACTTTGTGAGGTCGGTGCGGTTGAAGGCCACGGTGGTGAAGTTGTAGAGGGCGGTGGCGGAAGCCTTTGTGAAGGGTTGATCCTCACGGAGGACGAGGGCCTGGAGGTAGAAGTTGCGAGGGGGGAAAGTGTCGATGGGGGTGTCGATGGAGGGAGTGGCGACATTCTCGACGGCCCAGAAGTCCTGGACGGTTCGGGTGAGTTGGGTGCCGTTGGGAAGCTTAGCCATGAGGGGCTCGAGGAGCTTGTCAAAGTCCTCGGGGTTGCCCCAGTAGAAGCCGGAGCCGGTATAGGGAGGGGCGGTCAGGGACCAACGCATGGTGAGCTCGTCGGGCCACTGGCCAGAGAGGTAGTGCTCCTGGATGGCGAGGAGAGAGTCGACGCCGGCGGAGAGGGTGCTGTCGGTGAGGGTAATGGTGTAGTTGATAGCCTGCTGGTACGTGGGCTTCCAAGTCTTGGTGGTGAGGCTCAGGATGATACCATAAGAGCTGCCAGCACCTTGCAGGGCCCAGAAGAGCTCGGGGTTCTTGGTGCGGGAGGTCTCGACAATGGTACCGTTGTAAAGCATGTACGTGGCGCCCTCGAGGTAGTCCATGGGGGTTCCGAGCATGCGGGACAGGGAGCCGAAGCCGCCTCCAATGGAAGAGCCGATCAGGCCGACCATGTTGGCGCGGACGTGAGGGAAACGGGCGCCATGCTCTTTCCAGAGCTGGCTGACGACAGGGCTCACGAGGGAGCCGCCGCCGTAGGTAAGCAGACCAGTGGCTTCATCATACTTGGTCTCCTGGAAGTGAGTCATGTTGATGGTGAGCCCGGCGTTGGGCAGACTGTAGGAGCCATAGCAGTGACCGCCATCACGGGCCGCGACCAGAACCTTTGCCTCCCGGGCACAGGCAAGAGCGGCTGCGACCTCATCGGTGGTGCGCGGCCAGGCGACGCCGGCCGGAGTGGGGGCGATGCGGCGCTGCCACGGGAGGATGTCAGTCGGGAACGAGGCGTTGGTCTCGGGGAATGATGTGAGAAGGCCGGCCGTTTCGAGGCAGGTCTCTAGACCCTGGGCCTGTGTGCATGAAGCGAGGGATGCCGTCGCAAAAGCGGCTAAGCTAAAAAGACGGACCATGGTGAATAAATGCAGCAGAAAAGGAGAGACTGAAGTTGGAATGGCAGAGCTTGGAAGCTTCAAGAGGGCATCGCTCCCTGAACACCACGCACTTGGGGCTTTGCTTTATATCTCATCTCTGCTCCGATTCCCCCTAATTCCCAGCGTTCTATCATGATTTCTTGGCGTCGTCTAGATGCACCACGCCGCCGGGCAGTTCTACCGCAAGTTGTAACGGAGGCATCCGCTCGCGTCGAGCTCGGCAGCACCGGACACCGGATGAACTGTTGCGATGGTATTGGGAAAGGGGTTCGACAGCAAAAAGCTCGCCCGCAAAGTGGCCCATCATGCCAACTGCAATAAAGTTGCAGAAACCTTTTTAGATTGTTTCCCAGCTTTTTTGCAGATAGAGTTCGGCTTGGAATCAGGGATGATCCGCGTCGCCGGGCTTGCGAAGAGGGCGTTATTAGGCGCTCGAGTCATTGACTTTCGGGAAGAACTGAACAAAATCAAGAATTTCTGCTCGCTGTGAGGAGCTTGTAGTCGACATAAACAGAGATTCCCTCCAAATTGTTGCCTCACTTTACTTGCCGCATGCAGAAATACAGCGAGGATCGGACAGGCTCTTTGCTGTATGGTGCTCTTTTGGCCAAGTTCGTCACACCTCACTCAGGACGGGGGCGCAAGGGTAGTTCCCAGGCGGCTCAAACATCGGTGCACTGCCACGGAGTATGGCGGTGCCAAGACTGACTATCCCCTGGGACATATTGCAGGATGGAATTGTAAGTTTCTGGGGATGAAAGAAATGAGATTTCGCACCATACACAAGACCGCGATTCGCCGAATTCTCCCCTCAAGCGTGTTCCATCTATCTGGTCTGATGACGGAGCACGTCATGGAAATTTGGCCGTTTGGATAAAGGCGAGTGCCAAGGCAACTCAATAAGATGAACTTGGACGAATTGCTGCGCGTATCAAACACCACAGGAAGAGCCTTACTTGTGGAATTGAACACTGGCAACAATATGGTCAACTCACGAGTGTTCTCCAACGCGTCATTGACTCTCGGGTCAAGAGGCGCGTGCTTGACAGATACTCCACAGCTTATGCTTTTGCCGATATAGGTGCGCAATGTGCTTGGCCAATCACAGAACAACCCACTCCGGATAAGGTTGTATAGTGTAGCGGTTATCACTCCAGATTTTGATCATATCAAAACTTCTGGTAACCCCGGTTCGAACCCGGGTACGACCTCATACTCTTGATTTTTACCCTTTTTTTTTTTGTTTCTACCAAGTTACAAAGCTAATGATAGTGTTTAAATCTTTGTGAAGCAGTATTTCGTGGTTTTACGTCATTGCGGCTCAAGTCTCGTCTAGAGAGATCACTGTAAATGAACTCGTCCGTTCTCCAATCATGCTTTACCTCTATCTGCAAAGCTTGACAGTACCATCACACTCTGCTATTGGTTATTTCACCGAGGTAACTCTGCCTTGCATTCCCACCAGTAACTTTAATCACTCAAGAGGACTGCCTAAGCATCTGATAGGCTACTCCTCCTCACGTCGTCTGTTAGTTGATGCTTCCATCGACAATCAATCGTCACCTTATCGTGCGCGGGACAACTCAAGACCTTGCGTGTGCGATCGGAGCAGGCATGTCGAGCTTCTTTGGGTCTCTGCGACACGACTTGCCGGAGCATCCCTGCATCCACCTCGCACAGAGGTCATCCAACAATCAACATTCCCACGGGATGGCACATCATTCCCGCCTGGCATTCATGCATCACGATCTTGACTCGGGTGAATGATAGAGTTGTGGGTGATGCGCGGGCATCCAACCTAAATGCACTGACGTCGGTACCGACTGCTCGGAGCCGATGTGTGACAGCTTGTCTAGTCCGGCAAGGCATATTTGGCAATAGCTCGTATAGTTGCAGCCGATGCAATATCCAACGGGGGGGATGATGTTTGGGAATATGCATGTTTCTTACTACCCCTGGAGGTTGTCGAGCGTAATGACCAAGTGTTCTGGAGATCAAGTCAGTCCTAAGGGTAAGCTTAAAGGCAACTTTATGCGCATCGCATTCAGGCCTTCGAGGATCTGTGAGGTGCCTTCGTGAACCAGCGCCACCTCACCCATGTACTTCTTTGACAATCATCTTATACTTCGTTCAAGCAATCCCTGGACGTCGGAGCATATCCAGCATGACGCGCTTCAAGTCCTCGAAACCTAAGTTCAAGCCAGAACACGACGGATCGGAATGCAAGCACCCACCTAGTTACTCTCAGCGTCTTCAACAAGGCCTTGGCTCTCTCGGTCTCGCAACAGTAGGTGGCGGCACCGCTTTGATACTCGCACTCCTAGGTTTCCTCCTATTCCTATGGACCGGCGAAGGCTCGCAAGACGGCAGGACAGCTGCGACCCTGTGGCGATGGATCATGCTCAACCAACACATTACTCAGGCTATCACCTTGTCAACGGTTCTGCTGCGTATTGCAGTCACGGCACAGGCGTCCATCTACACAAGCCTCCTTGCTGGCGTGGTTCTGGAGAAGCACGGTGTTCCGCTCTTTCGAGTCGCTGAGATGTCCATCATCCGGTGTACAAACGATGGCCCATTCCAACTGACTTGGGTACTCTTGACGTCTGCACGAAAAGCGTACATGCAGATCGGGTTGGCAGTCTTGCTGTTGCTCACGACTTTTGTTGTTCAGTTCTCATCGACTCTTCTGGTGTCTGATTTGGGTATGGATGATCTTGTCGGCGATGCCAAAGCAAAGACGTTCAGTGTGCATATGAGCCGCGATGTCATCTCGTTGAATCGGCAGATGAACAACTGGATAAGTCGCCCGACAGCCTATGTGCCATTTGGCGAGCCGCCTTTAGAGACAAACACGACTACATATATTCAGTCGAGCTTCAGCGATACTGGCATCGTGAGAAGAACATTTCTGCCCCTCTCAACATCGCAAATGTCTACATTACGCGAATATACCGGTGGCGCTTACGGCTTCGAGTCGCGTTTTGTATGTCTCCGTCCGTCGGTGTCCGCCTTTCTTTCAGTGACCGTTCCAGCACCGGGCTTGGATACTGTTCCTTTCTACCTGAACGTAGCGGGCAGTATATCATACGAGACCATGTTCCGCGAGCCAGGTCTAACGCTGCCAGAAAACTGCGAGAACGGGAGCTGTTTTCCGTCAGGTTTTAACTGCTCGTTGCCTCAATTTCAATACACCGAAACGCAGGCACGGCAGGGCTTTACCAACAGCTTGTGCATTCCGAATGGCACAGCCACGCGGCCGAGTGCTCGGAACCATACCATCTCAGGAGACCCCATCGCAGCGTACTCCCAGGTCTTTCTGTTCTTCAGAAATAACGGCACTCACGATCTATGGAAAGGACCGGGCAATCGCGTCTTGGTCGGGACGTTCGGTCTGAACAATGTTTCTTCTACTGACGGTGAATGGCTCACGTACAATCGTCCCATCAGTGGCAGGCTTCCAACAGGGGAAAGAATCGAGACGGGCGTGTTGAGGCTGGACGTGTCGCTCTGCTTCCAGCAGTTGGCCTTCAACTTTGCGGAAGTCAAGCTTTCCAGCAAAAAGGACCTGAAAGAGTCGCAAGTAACTTGGACGCCGGCGACCAAGGCCTGGAACACGAAGAAGATTCAAAAACTCATGGGCGTTGGAGTCCACAACAAGAGTCCCAACAGTCGCGGAATCTTCTCGGTGGACTCGGTCAAGAACCCTCGTCATCTGAACGCAACGCAATATCTGACCAACAAGCTCATCAACGATTTGTACAATTCGCCGCGAACATTCAACTTTTCTCTCTTTATGGACCCCCAAGGCAGCGGGAACTCTCCCATCAAGCCGCATGTCGAGTACCAGGCCATCTTTGCCGACATCCTCAACGTCACCAATCGTCCTGGTGTGGCGATGCAGTCTACCCTAACAGCTCTCTCAGGGTCCATCATCAACGAGGCGCTTCCGCAATTTGACGTTCAAGCCAATGCCATCTTGACTTCGTCGGTGCGCGTGATGACGCCAAAGAGTCTGCGCGGTCTGCTCATCATCTTTGGTGTCATGGCTTTGAACATGGCGTGTGACCTTGCCGTGGTGCTTGTTTTCATGGTGCAGAGTCGGTACTCTAGCCAAGGGAATTACTGGCAGGGTGTGGCGCAGATTGTGTCTGATGAGACGGCGTGGATACTGGAGGGGGCTACGGAGGCGAGTGATGGCCATGTCAAGGATGAGGTAAGAGGTTCGAATAACATCGTCTGTATTAGTCGTTCAGATAGGAGTGGGCGGGTGCGTGTGGCTCCAGTTAAAGCTGTCTAGGATACACCAACGACAACATTGTGAGAGTCACTTCAAAAATACATGTATGGATTGACTAAGTATTGTATTTATACAAAACAAAGGGGCCACCAGTCGCCGCGTTGCTACTTGTTAGTGATACGCTGAGTTGTGGCCTGACTCTAGGATTTATCCAGACCCTTGCCGTCCTTACGGTCTGCTGCCATCGGCTCAATTGGCTCATTGCAGGTTATATGTAGGCTCATCGTGCTATCAACGTGTACATGGAAGATTCAGCGCGATGACCTGACCATGGACACACTTCAAAGTTCATGTGGGTGAGGCACAGGGAGATATAGGGCCAAGTTGCTGATAATATTCAGATATCTGCCCGTATTCTCATATACTCTTCAAATCATTTCCCTTCCACCTCTCCCCCTTTTTGTACCCTCTCCTTCATGGCACATTCTAATTAGAGCCATCCTGCGTTGACTGCATTACTTCTCAATAAGCGAAAGGACTTCAGGCTGAATAGAACCTGATCCCAGTATTAAAAGTTGTAATGAGTGTGCATCTACTCGTCATCGTTGATATCGATGACGGTCTTCTTCCACTGGCGGGCAGGGATCTTGCGCTTGAACATAATGTCGATCTCGCGGAACGAACGGCCCTTCATCTCAGGCAAGAAGAAGAAGGCGACGACGAAGCAGACGAAACCAGTGGCGCCCCAGACGTAACCGCACTTGCCGCCCAAGTTGACACCCTATTGCGTGTGTTAGTAAATGTGATTCTCTTTACACAATGTGTGTGGGGGATAGAGAACTTACAGTAGAGTTAAGCATGTAGGTGGCGAGGAAAATGCAGGGAATGTTGACGACGTAGTAAGCGGCACGGCCAATACCAGTGGTCAAAGGACGAAGACGAATGGAAGATGTCTCGGCAATGATGACCCACGAGGCGGGGGCAGGTCCGAGAGTGAAACCGACGGAGACAATAAGACCCAAAGAGGCCATCGCCAAGGAGGCGGCGGTGGACTTGCCAACGGAGCCAGCAATACCAAGGGCAATGAGGAAGGCAACGTTGATGAGCGAACCCCAAACGTAGATAGTGCGGCGGCCGAGGTAGGTCGTAAGAATCCAGGAAAGCATGACGAAGACGGTCTGGAGAGCGGAGGTGATGAGACCAAGGGCGAAGGCAAGCTGGGAGCCAATACCGGCCTCTGCTTATGTGTTAGCCACCGTATGACTTGGGGAGGGGAAGAAGAGATGAAAACTCACGTCTGAAGAAGTAAACAGCCTGGTTGGCGATGAGGTTACCAGTAAGGTTCTGGGCGGCGTAGACACCACAGACGATGAGGGTGCGGTATCTGTCGGTGCCCTTGAAAAGCTCGATGTAGCTGGGGTCCTTGACGTCCTTCTCGAGCTCAATGGTGCGACGCATCATGGCGACGGACTCCTCAATGTTGGCAACGGCAGATGAACGACCAAGACGGCGGACGGAAACAGCAGCCTCTTCGAGACGTCCCTTGCGGACCAACCACCAGGGGGACTCGGGGGCAAGGAACAAAAGGATGGCAAGGGGAGTGGGGAACATCCACTGAAGGGCAATCGGGACTCTGTACGCGCTGGGATCTCTCTTGCTCTCGTAAACGTAGCAGACACCACCGACGATGATGGCACCAATAGCCCAGAACATCTGAAGCATCTGAGTGGCAGGGGCTCTCAGGCGCATGGGCACGATCTCAGAGCAGTAGGCGGGCGCGTTGGCGATGAAGATACCCCAGGGAATACCCTCGAGAAGCTGGCTGACGAACATGACGGCGAGCGAGTTGGCGAAGTAGAAGACGAAGATGAAGGCGTTGAGGAACATGAGGCCGGAGATGGTGGCCCAGCGGTATCCGATCTTACTGGTGATGGGACCGGCGATACAGACACCAATGATGGCGCCAAGAGGACCACCCATCTGAAGGGCGGATTGCCACGAAGCCTCGATCTGCTTGCCGTCTTCCGCCTCGACACCAAATCTGTCCTTGAACTCGTCCATGGCGACGAAAGCACCCATCAGGAAGACGCAGTAGGATTCCATAATCTGGAAAACCAATGTGATTAGTTGCCAGTCATCTCATTTGTGTGCAACGAGTCAAGGTAGCTAGAGCCACTTACAATCGTGGTAGACATGATGAAAGCCCAGAGGGAGGCCATGGGGTAGGCCTTGACGGCTTCGATGACTCCCATGTTGTGCTCGGCCTGCTCAGCCTCGATGGCATCGGCCTTGTAGGAGGCGGGCGATGCCTTCTCGTCGAGGTCGGCGACATGGTCAATGTCGCCGTAGGCCTCGACCTTTGCCGGGTCGGACTTGGAGTCGAGTGTGGTGCTCATGTTTGCTGACTCTCTTTTCGAACCTCACCGAGAATTTGGAGTTGGAGGTTTTTTGGCCGGGTTGCTTGGTGAGGAGGAGGAAGAGGGGGACGGGGGAACGCGTGCAAGCAAGAACAGAGAAGAGACGAAAGCCAAGAGAGAGAGGGTGGTACTGGGCAGGCTGTTTAATAAAGGTCTTGTCTTACTCCCCAGTTCTCGTTTTCTTACATGTCCAATGGAACATTGTCTTAAGAGTTAACCCCAGTCGGGTGTCATTACGCTAGCGCAACTTGAACCAACGCGAACGTATGAAAAAAGGTGGACGGGGATCTGAATCCCACAAGGAATCCTCACAAGCGCAATCTGGGCATATTGGGGTTCCCCAAACGTCCTCAACCCCGCCCCCCGCATTGGTCCATAGACCCGTTCCCACATGAGCCTGGGGAATGGGGAAGAAGGGCGGGTGACACTCTGGGGGGGGATCGAATATCGGCTGATGATGAACCGAGCCCGGTCAGATATTCTCCTATGCGCCGACGCGCTCCAATGGGGGTGGGAGGTTGCTCTAGGTTTTTGGAGAAACGGCGCAGTTGGACCAGTTAGGGACACTAGTCAGGGTCCGGCAAACTTATCCCATCGGCCCTTTCACCAACGGGGGCCTTGTCACAAACTCGGGGCTCTTTTCGCTCTTGGGGTTAGTTTCCTGACTTCCCCAGTACGCCGCGTTGCTTAACTTGCTTGGCTGCTTGGATGGACGCGGCTCCTTAGCTCCCCATGTGACCGCGGCGGCCACTTACTGAAACGGCGAGTTGTTAAACTAAGTAGTTTCTCGACGTCTTCCACCCTCCATCATCGGCTCTCATTAGGGCGCGTCGTAGCACACCCGTTGGACCGCCGAGATGGGGAAAGGCGTAGCCGCCTGTAGGAACGCCGCCGCACCGCGTCGCGAAATACGGGTTCAGCCGCCCCCCTCTTCGGTATCTCGGTCAACACTGGGCCGCTTCCCACCGAGCATTCATGCTGTTGTGTAGCCGCTGCAGATGCAAATGGACAACGAACCCCAGGCCCAGTTCTCTCTCTTCAATGTTCCCCAGTGATTTCCCTTCGCTTCTACAGCTGAACGTGTCAACGTGGTCTCAGACCATGGTCCATGTCAGCAACCAAGCGCTAGTTCTCCGCGAAATTAGCGTCCAATGCAGTCAAAATGCACACCCGTTCCACCCAGCTGCGAGATCCGTCTCCACGGGTCCGGGGCAAAGACAAAGACCCAATAGCTTAATCAGATTTACTCAAAAGACACGAGGCGGACGAAACAGCCTGACATTTGGAAGCCGCCCGGACTTCGAGCTGAGGCGCCTTGCGCGCTCGAGGTTCCCGGGAAACCGGCAAGGGTTACTTCACGTTGGTGTCAACCGAGCCAATGATGGCCAAGGTGTCACCCAACTTGGCGATATTACCAATTTTCCAAAAGTCAAGGGGCCAATGGAAATCCAAGTAGAGAGGCTGGAACGCGTTTGCGTACATCGCCATACGGACAATCGTGCTCTTTCGGGCGATACCAGCAACGTGGCACCGGGGATGATCACGGCGTCGATGAATGTCATGCCATAGTCGCGCTAAACCACGGTGATTTCAGCTTCATGTTGATAAACTTCTTGTTGGCAACTCCACAAAGGTCTAGAATTGGCTCGGTTGCAGGACGCGCCCGTTCACAGACAGCCGCGATAATTTGGCTGGACGGCTTCTAGAAAATGAGTCGAGGATGGCTCGAACCAACACTTCGGTTCGCGCTGATCATCAAAACGACTGGAATCTCTTCCACTTGTATCGAATTAGCCGCCACTATTAGATCTATGTTGGGAAAGATGTACTGTGTACAGGTTCGAGGACGATGTCCGAAGACATTGATTCTGACAAAAGTATCAGGGTGAGCAAGGTGGGGAACAACCAACTTTCAATGCGGGATCTCAGCCGATCATGATGGACTTCAAGGCATTGAAGCACAGTGAAATCACGTGCAGTTGTTACGCGCATGTTTGATGTTGCATTTGCCCGAAAAGAAGATGGCTATTCACATACACCTAAATGGTCCCGTGACGAGGTTTTTCCTGCAATCTGTGTAACAGCGCTCTACCCCTCTTTCAGTTCACAGAAGCATATGTCAGACAGATATTACATGCCCTCTTGATTGGCATTTTTTTCTCCGGGAGGTGTCATGTGAGATGCCGAGATCCGCATTGTTGGTCACGGTGCACCAATTGTCCTGCAGAACAGCACATTGGGTGCAAAGACCACGTTGTCAGCCTCCCACCAAGGATTCCAAAGAGCAAATGTATCCGTACGTTAGTTCACATCAACTTTAGGTTTGGAGGTCGCGTAAACTAAACGATGCTGTGACTGGTGGGGTTGGATCGTGGGGATACACGCTAGGTTAGACATATTCCAGATATGGGGTTGACCCGATGAAAAAGATTTTGTTGATATTTCGGCTGCCTCCACGATACCGAAAAGACATCGGTCCCCCGGGTCTGGGACCGTCTGGCCAATTTTGTTGTTCTCCAGTCTTCGCGCTAACGTAGGTATCCTTGAGTTCCTGGGGCCCGCAAGAAATTATCGCTGCCAGGGTTCTTAGCGTCGATATATCCACAACCCACAGCCCACAACTCAAAACATCGTGAACTTGTGAAGCGAACTCGGCTCGTGATCATGTCCACACTAGCACGTGCACTCTTCAACCTGCAATCTTAGGAATAGCGGTGCCGAAAATCGAGCATCCACTTCCAGGTTCTCGGGTCTCTGAGGATCTACATCACGGAAGGGTGGCCGAGTTGGTTATGGCGCCAGGTTAAGGTCAGCTTAACATCTGTTTCCTGGTGGGGCAACCCGCGCGAGTTCGAGTCTCGTCCCTTTCATTTTGATGTCTGGATACATTGCCAGTCTTTTTGGTTGCATGAGACCTGTCGACAGCTCACTGGCTGATGTGGCCGAGGTGCCTCGCGGGTGGTCTAGAACCCTTTTCGGATTGCTGTGAACACGGATCATGAATCTGATCGACGGGGTCGGTATTTGTAATTCCATGTTCTTCCAATGCTAAGGAACCGGTGTTGCCCCATTCTCCATGCGAATCTGGCGTCAAGATGACCCTCCGTGAAAAAGCGAGCATCCTGTTCACTTAGAACCCGACTCCACGGGCTTCTGTCCAACCCAAGAATAATACGTGCCATACGCATGCACATTCGGATCCTTGATCGCATTCCGAACTGACGCGAGAAATACCTCGATCTCCGTCCGCTCCATTCCCAGAGCCGCCAAAGGTTTGCTCGCAGCGGCGCCCAGAAAATCCTCCGTCACAGAGCGCATGTAATGTCCAACCAGACGCTTGGTTTTGTCGAGAGGCCATCTTCCAACTGGTACTTTGTATGATCTCACTTGAACGTTGACGAAGCCGGCGTCTTTCATAAGCGCACCGATGCGCGGAGCGACCTGGATGTCAATCTTCATTTTGTGCATGGCGTCACGGATGTTGGACCAGAATTCCAGTAAGGGCCAGTCTTCGGGCGTGGTTCCGTCATCGAACTTCACGTTGGCGCTGAAGTCTTGGGTTTCGACGCAAGCTCCGGGCTTGAGATTTCTGCAAGGTGTGTTTCATGAGCACGATGCTGCCCTGGATTTAATATCCCATCATTGAGGATGGAATCACAACTTCGGACTTACTGAAAGACTCGCTCCAAGAGTTTTGGAAGATCATGCACAAGAGATGCCAAGTTTCGCATATGTATGAGATCGAAATCATCTCCAGACTAAGGAATAACACCCATTGTCAGCAACAACACCCTCCAATTTGAGATCTCATTCCGCCAGGCAGTAGAGCACTTACCAGCCAGTCATCTTCAACATCATCGACGAAGAAGCGAACGTTGGAAGGCACCCTGTACGCTAAATCAGAATACCATGGCCATAAGAGGACTTAATTACGCACCAGCTTGGCTGAATCGGCGATAAGTCTACGCCAGTAACTTCGGCGGAAGGGTACTGATCCCCCACTTGTAGTTGTCAATTTTCATGCTTTTTTAACCATTATCTTTGGGATGAGTGTTGCCCACCTTCCATTGCCCATATGCCTGTATAGTCGTTCAGAATTTCTGTGCGATATCTACGGATGCCACCTTCAAGTCCGCCCAAGGTCTGAGATAAAACTTACCGGTGCCCGTGCCGAGATCAATAATCTTGCTAAGCGAGTCGCCAATAGGGGCATGGAACAGCTTTCCATCAGTGAGCTCCATGACCATCGCATGCTTGGTTTCTTCGCGATTTTAATCAATGTCATCGTTTGAAATGGGATATCTTCCATCGCGAAATGAGTGATAGCTTTGGTTGCGTAACTTGACAAGCATCTGACAGATTGTATCTAATGAACTCAACTTCCCGAACCTGCTTGCGAAGCTTACCGTTTGCCATTTTCATAGGAGTGCTTCAAGACCGACGAGGTGATGGAAGTCGAGCCCGTTGAGGAAGCATCCCACTCGCTAGGCTGGAACCCATCGTCGCTCGCATCGCCACCAGCTTCAATAACATCTGGTGACTACTCAGGAGATTGCGCCGGATGCCCGTCTTGCGTGACTTGTTCAGGACTGGCGCTCATTGGAGTGGTACTGTCGTGTTACTTGTGTGTGCATGTAGTTGTCGTCGACTGAGAGTCCGAGACCAGACTAACCATGCGGTCTTTGCCGTTATCGTGCGCCTACTAACAGCCAAGCGGGGAAAGCGTGAGATCTCGGTCCTCCGGCAAAAGGTGGCGTAACTAGGGCCGACTGGTGGCTTGCGGAGCGGGCGTTGCAGTAGCTCGATGCTTGGAGATATGCCGCTCCATGATTGGGACGCCTGAATTCAGTTGGAGGGCAAATGTCTTATTGCTGGAATGACTCTCATTGGCAGCTCTTCCTCTCACTGAAGAGTGCCTTGAGATCCGCCCGGGCAAATGCGTGAGGGCATTGTTTTGACCCTTTGGAGGAGACGAAAGAGACTCACCATCATCGAGCAATTCATGCTTTAGTAGGATAGAGATACATGGTGTCTCTCATTTCTAAGTTCAGATAAGTTTTAGATATTGCTCTCTTTCCCCTCGAAAAAACTGCACCCGTTTCTCTCCGTCAAGAGATTTCGACTTGTTCTGATTTTTCTTTCTTACTTTATTCAAACCGTCTCGTTCTACATCCCTCGTACACTGCGTTGTCTGAATTATCTTGTGGCCGCCTTGGTAAACTCCACTCCGGCCCCGGCCCGGTGTTCGGCCCATTCCATCAGGTCCGGCTTTCGGTCTTCTCCGGCGTAAAGGTGTGCGTGCCTACAGCATCATCACCGTAACGCTCTGTTTTACAACGTAAGTTACTTTTCGATAATGGAGAGAGTCCATCTCGCAATCGTACTTCTCAGCTTGAATATGACTGTAGCCAGTCCAACGCACAATACCAACGCCAATGGCCTTACCTTCAAGCGAGTTCTGCCCCTTCAGTCTGCCGTGGCTTGGCTGCATTAGTCAGTAAGATTCTGCACAGAGACGCATGCTGGACGGGTGCTCCCGACATGCCTGTCGTGTATTTCAGAACTTGGCTAAGATGATCCGAGTCATTCAATGGGAGACACCAGGCCGCTAGAAGGAGAGCGCCCAGCACCGCCAAGACATGACAGTCGGTACCTGCCGATTCACGATCCTCCATCTCCATTATCGGTGATTACTCACGACGCGGTCAGGAACATCAAAGTTGAATCGCCACATTGGCTTCTGTCATAACGATATTCGTCTGCGGGCCTGATGCAGTCTGCCTCAGTCAGAGCTCTTTACATTGGCACTATGCGGATTCAAAGGCAACTATGACAAGAGACTTCGCGCCTCACACATCTCTACGGAAGGCTTTTGAGAGTCTAACAATGAGTACTCAGCAAGAGGTCGGATATCGCAAAAATATCAAAACGATGCTGTTGATGGATTAATTGTCCTGAACAATTTCCGTCCACATGCGGCCTGTCAAAGGGAGGTTGGTCAGGTCGCTTCGTCTTATTATGTTGCTTTTCATCCCTGAAATAATTACAGCGAACATCTCTCAGCGACCAAGGTTAGAACGTTGGCCGCTCATTATTGACATGGTTGACCTGGAAGCGAATACGGCAGACGGTCTCATCTTGCAAATTGACCGCAACATCCAAACATGCCCAGAATTTTCAAGATTCAAACAATAATGAGACACATATGCCAATCCGGAAATGGATCCCAAAAATACGTCTGTCGCCCATCCCCGCAGCGCTAAAATTGAGTGGGTGACATTGGGAGACTGGGGGCGATGAAGCGGTTTCAGGCCCAATGGACCCAGCAGCGCTGACGGCGGTCAGTGTCTAGCGTATTTACTTTGTTTTTCTTAGCGGGCATTGGGGGAGCTGTTGTGAAGGTTAGCTTGCAGCAAACCCTCTCGAAGAGCTGGCGCGTACGATCTCAGCGCCAAACATTAAGATCCAAGGTGAGAGCAGTCAAGCAGGCAACTTAGTCCTTCAACTATTGAGTAAGTCAAACCCCCCACTTCCCGGCACCCCCCTGTTTCTGGCACCCACAAAAACGCGAAAATCCACCACAACGCAATGCCCACCCCCAACCTCCTTTTATCACAACATTTTCAATTCGAGTCCAAATGGGCTCATTTTTTGCACATACCTTCTTCTATATCTAATGCCTCAATATACCGAAGATCAGCTTCGTCAGGCTCTCGAGGACATCTCAAACGGCAAGAGTCAAAAGAGAGCCTCATTGGAGTATGGGATACCACGATCAACCCTCCAACTACGTCTCCAAGGTGGTCAGACTAGGAAAGTGGCTTTGCTGACTGGCAGAGGCTGTCTCCTGACCAGGAGAGTAAGCTGGCACAATGGGTTCGCATTCAGGCTTCGCTGGGCCTCGCACCAACGCACCAACAGGTGAAGGAATTCGCAGAGCGAGTTCTGGCTGCTGCTGGGGATACCAAACCATTAGGAAAAGGCTGGATCTATGCCTTCGTGAGAAGGAACCCTATCATTAAGGTTCAGAGAAGTCGTTCCATCGATTCTAGACGCGTTAATGGGGCATCTACTGAGGTCATTAGGAACTGGTTTAAGTTCCTTGCTATCCCTGAGATCAAGGACATCAAACCAGCCAACAGATATAATATGGATGAGACTGGCATCCTCGAGGGTCAGGGAGCTAATGGGTTAGTGCTGGGCATGGCTGAGACGACGTCTGTTCGCAAGAAACAACCTGGGTCGAGGGCATGGGTCTCTATCATTGAGTGTATCTCAGCCTTGGGTAGGGCACTTCGTCCTCTTATCATTTTCAAGGGAAGACGGTCCAACAACAGTGGTTTCCATTACATCTGGTTCCATACGATGGGTGGGAGTTTACAGCAACAGATAATGGCTGGACTACAGACTTAACTGCCATTGAATGGTTAGAGAAGGTGTTTATCCCACAGACTATGCCCGAGGCTGAGGGCGAGGCTCGACTGTTGATTGTGGATGGGCATGGGAGTCATACGACGACAGACTTCATGTGGAATTGCTATATTAACAATATCCATTTACTGTTCTTACCACCACACCTCTCTCATGTCCTCCAGCCACTTGACCAGTCTGTCTTCAGCCCTGTTAAGTCAGCCTATCGGAAGGAGCTCGGTTACTTGTCTCAATGGAACGACTCTACCATTATAGGTAAAAGGAACTTCCTGGACTGTTACCAGAAGGCTCGACTTGCTGGTCTATCAGTCTCGAACATCAGAAGTGGTTGGAAGTGGACTGGTCTACACCCTGTAGCGATGGTTAAGCCCTGATGAACCCTATGGTATTACCTGAGCCTTCTGCTAAGCCCACCACCCAAACCAACCAGTCGGGGCAAAAAGCGATGCCATAATGGTCAACAAACTACCCTGTTGAGCCATGGGATTCTGCTTCCTCTGCAGTGGTCTGGTCGACACCCAGGAAGCTGGCAGAGCTCAGCGGTCAACTGCACTTACACCCAACTCGACAATGATACCAGCACTCAACGGCTGCTGTTCAGGAAGGTGAAAAAGGCTTCACAGAGCAGGCCTGGCAACTGGCAGCTGCCCAGCAGCAGCTGGCTCACCTGAGGGCTCAAGTTACCAACGCTGCAGTAGGAAGACTGTTCAGATCGATCCCAACACGAAGTTTGCGAACATCAGGGATATCCATCGGGCTCAAATCGAAGCGGGTGAAAAGGAGGTTATTACGGCTGAATCCAGCGACTCTGAATGCCCTAGTGAGGCTGGCAGTTGTATTGTAGTGGGTGTGGTTGAGGATCAATAGTTAATAGTAATGAGGAGGTTGGGTTGTGATCCCATCGTTTTTGTGGGTGCCAGAAACAGGGGGGTGCCAGGAAGTGGGGGGTTTGACTTATGACCGAAAACCTTCGGTAGAGTTCGTTTCCGTCCAATCAATGAAATCAGAGTTCATGCAATGACCACACGCCGCTTGACTTGTGAGCTGAGAGTCATGCCAGTGACACTTGACATACCATCATTCCCGACGTCAAATGAAGTTTTGCGACACGGACGAAGAGATGGGATGAGTTCGAGATGCGATGGGTAGAGCCTCGGAAGAAGACGAGTCCACCAGGGACCCAATCGAACTCTAAGACCTTTTTTTTGGTCGCGGTGTTTGGGATCACCAGGGGATCATCCAGCAGAATCTCAGCCTGGTTGATGAGCATCAAGACCCATTTTCAACTTTACTCAAACCTCAAGAACTAACGCCCGCCTTCAAACGATCTTCCTCAGTTGGGGCAGCATGTTGTCAAAACCACGACAGAAGTGGGCACGGCCAAAGCTGCTGCCGTTCGAAAATTGGCCTCCAACGTCTAAAAATTAAGCTTGGCGGTAAGATACAGGGGGTCGTGAAACTCTCCTTGGGGATGGGGGTGGGGTCAAATTCCTCGGAGCTTTGCCGCCGTCATGGGCACAATCTCTATGTATTCTCTGTGAGCTACCGCAGAGTCCGATGAAGAGACGACATGGAAAGATCCAGGACCCTGGCTCACATGTTCAGATGCTTACCATATGGTCTTGAAGTTCGGTAGACAACTCCGGCTGGGTTGGGCTGACGACCAGCTGCATCGCTCCGGACCCATCTTTCAAGCCCCCGGCCCTGTGCCCACTTGCGTCGATGATACTGATCCTCGCCTCCTTCACCACTTCCAATCCGCCCCCCCTCAACATCCTCATAGAGCCTCACGACTCACGAGGCTCAAAGTTGTAACAAGAGGCGCCCAGTCAGGGGCTTCCCTGTCGCCTCTCACCAGATCCGGCCGTAATGTGGCTTCCCGATCAGGCCTAGGAGATGCAGCCGCAACATCTTGGCAGCTTCATCGCACCCATGCGTCACGAACTTCAGACCTCCTTCAACGCGGAGTCGCCATCGCTTCCATAATCCATCTTATCCATCACTGCGGAAAATCACCAAGAATCTTCGTAACGTTGACGTCTCAACCCGCCCCGTCTCGAACGCCCCATGCCATCCCATGTTGACCTCCGCATGCACCCTACCTACTTTGGGCCCTGGTCTGAAGTTCTTTGCAACTGCGACAGCTGGGCACTCGAGCCCAGGGGCGATGTTTAGAGCATCATATCGCGAGAACGACGACAAGGGGGAAAGAAGGATGGCGTAACACGGAGACGCAACCGTGCCAATGCATTGATCCAATATCACCCATATCCCAATGTGAACGGACTGGCAGATCGTCTGAAATATTCTATAAAGATCAGCTCGATCTTCCTCTTAGTGCCGCTTCTTCTTTCCTCTCCTCATCACGCTCACAATCATTACAACCTTGTTTGTTCTTTCTTCTCTTCTACAACAGCTGTGCTGTCTTCTATCTCTTTCAACGCATCTTGATCACTCATTCCAATTCATCCGGGTCCGTGTCCCTCTTTTCGTCTTCCACAACATCGACTTCTTGCTTCAAGAACAATCTTTTCGACTTTCAATATGAAGTTCTCTTCCGTTATCACTCTCGGCTTCGCTGCCCTCGCCACCGCCGCTCCTCTCGGCGCTCGACAGGCCACCGTCTTCTCCACCCAGACCTTCAACGACCTCTCCATCAGCGGCGGCACTGCCGGTACCGCCAAGCAGGAGGCTCTTGACAAGCTCTCCGGTCTCCCCACCGACCTCAGCACCGTCGCCAAGGCCGATCTGGACTTCCTCAACAGCGTCAACTCCATTGCCAACGACGCCGAGAAGGAGGCCTTCAACCCCGCCATTGAGGCTGCCACCGGCGAGGAGGCCGACGCCCTTCAGCGTGGCAAGATCAAGAACAAGGTCCTCAAGCTTACCGCCACCATGCTGAAGCTGGAGGCTCAGGCGGCCCAGGGCGAGGACGTCGCCGATAAGATTGCCGCCGAGCAGAAGAAGCTCGACAACAACATTGCCCAGGACGAGGCCGAGGCTGGCAACGCATCTACCGCCCTCGACTTCGACGCTTCCACCGCATAATTGCCTTTAATCAGCGGCAGAGGCTGTGGGTGTGATATCCCATGAGACTTTGAGAGGAATTGGTGAAGAAGGAGAAAGAGTCGATGATCATGAAAGATTCATGTGACGAATAGGAGCTGCGTGCCGGTTCGGATGATCCGATCAAGTGCTGGCCATTTCTAATTATTGGGGATGTATCGGTACGTTTTAGTACACTCTAATAATATAAAAGAGATTAAAAAAACACTTAAACCGCATTTCGTTCGCTGTGAGATCGATCTTGATGTCTGGCCACATAGAGCTGCTCTGCTACAGACTACAGAATGCAGCTTACAGGCCACTGCTAAGGAAGAGTAAGTGACTTTACTGGGTCATACAGACTGCCAAGCCGCGATCAGCATTCTGTGACGGATGTTGCTCGGATACACGTCCTCCCGCAGTGCTTCCCCAATGTCGTCGAATCACCATCACGACCAAATTGGGATCCCTGAGGCCCCTCTCTTAGAGCTTGGATGGCTTGGCGAAGGGCTCCAACTCTACATTCAAGACGGTTGTGAGGCGTGAAAAGGTGTAGTAGAAACCCTGACTGCGTTAGCACTCAGAATTAGGGACTTCTACTGGAAAACCAACCTGCAGAGTGATCATTTCCACGACCTCTCGGTCAGAAAACTCAGTCTTGGCTTTCGTCCATAGTTCATCCGCAACCTCTGGCCCGTCGATGACGGCCTCGATAAACAATAAGAGGGCCTTTTCCTTTGACGTGAACAACTCCGCAAGAGATTCCAGTTTCCCTTGAGCAGAGAAGTATCCCTTCTGCCTCCCAGCCTGGACAATCACTTCGCGTTGGGCGTCAGTGACACCCTCCTTTGCGGAGACTGTGCTGTGGTGCGTCCACTCGTAGGTGGATCGGAACTTTGCCGTGCTCAGAAGAATGACCAACTCCCGGTTCTTGGAGGATAGCTCGAGGTCTTTGAAGTGAGCGCCTGCGATTTTCGACCAGTGGTTGACGGTGGCTGGGCTATGTGCGAGAAGCTTGGAAATGTTGAGGGGAGCTCCCTTGACATCGGGGTACGGGAGGCGTGCCATGTTCACTATAGAGTTTCGCAGTTGTGATAATGCCAGCGTAGAAATGTAAGACCAATCAACTACTTACTTATTTTTATGAACTTCATTTGAACTGTTCTTATAGTCTCGGACGTGGGACGAGATGCGGGGTGCCTCGGCAGCACCTATTAACGGTTAGTCACACCGGCCGCGAGTTTGTACCTCGGCTCCGTGTGGGGCCGACGGAGTGAGCACCGCAGCGGACTGAGAACGGAGCATCGGGTATATCAGCTGCCCATACACTCTTTCAGTCATTATAGGAGTATCTGAGTACTTTCCAAGTATCTTTATTCTTCCGTAAGCCGGATCATACATCTTTCGCCTGCTTAGCCGTCCATCGTGCTTTCAAAACCTGTACAGACCCCTTTGGCTTTCTGTCCCGTGTGAAAACGCCCTTCTTATTTCCATCCACCCGAGTGATACTCGACGTCGTCTGGAAATCCGCAAAGTTCCACACGTGCTCTCCAACAACGTTCTCAACACGATCAAATACTCGGTGGAACATTTCCAGAAACTTTCCTTGATACTCCTCGCTCCAGGGAACGTCACATACGGCGTGTAGCCCCGCCACAGCTTCGGCGCCGTACTCTGTCATGATCATGGGCTTACCATACTTGTCCTGCCATCCAAGCAAGTCTTTCTCTAGGACCTGCTCCGCCTCTTCTAAATCGCCTGTCTGAGAGTACCATCCGTAGTAGCGATTCAGGCAGATGACGTCGAACAAGTCTGTCACGAGGTCCTTCTCGAACGTAGCGAACCCCATGTTCGCGAAGCAGACCGGTCTCGTCGGGTCCAGCTCGCGCGTCAATGAGACTAGCGGCTCGAGGTACTCCCTTGCACCGGGCTCCGCCGACGCAGGCTCGTTGGTAACTGTCCACATCACCACCGACGGATGGTTCTTGTCTCGCGCCACGAGCTCTCGGATAGCCTGGTCATGCGCCGCCTGCGTCGTCTCGTTGCACGCATCGGGGGCAAATGTCGGAGGCGCCTTGAGCCCGAAGACGCCAGCAATGATGCCGAGGTTGATACCCACCGCCGGAGTCTCGTTGATGACGACGATTCCGTGTCGGTCGGCGTAGTCGAGAACCTCTTCGGCGTAGGGATAGTGAGCTGTCCGGAATGAGTTGGCTCCCATCCAGCGCATGAGATGGAAATCGTGAATCATGTAGGCCGGGTCGAAGCCCTTGCCGCGGATTGGCGAGTCTTCATGCTTGCCGAAGCCGGTGAAGTAAAAGGGCTTGCCGTTGATGAGGAACTGATTGCCCTTGACCGAGATTGTGCGGATGCCAAAGAAGAGTTCATAAGTATCGAGAAGCTCATCTTTGTTTGAGCCTGATAGTATCTCCACACGGAGTTGGTACAAATATGCCGCGCCGGGTTGCCATAAATGCGCCGAGTTGATCGTCAACTCATTTTTCGTCCCATTCGCTTGAGCCACCGTCAACCCCTCCTCGTCAAGAACAGAGATCTTGACCTTGTCATCCCCCACCGGCTGCGAAGTTTCAACCTTGTATTGAACTTTGCCTGCTCCCGACTCAAGGATGTCCGTTACGACAGTGATGTCGCTGATGGATACCGCCGGCTTCGAACACAAATACACCGATCGTGCAAGCCCGGAATAGTTGAAGAAATCATGCTGATAGTTCTGCTTCCGCTTGCCGTTGGCGAGGGTCTGAATTTTGCCAGGGGGAATCGTCTCCCAGCTCAGCTCGTTGCTCACAGCCACAGTCAAGCGGAACCTCTCGCCGGGTTTGATGATGTCAGTGATGTTTGCCTGGAAGGGGGTGTATCCACCAGCATGATCGGCGACTAGCTTCTCATTGACGTAGACACGGCCACGATGGGTAGCTGCGTCGAATCGCAAGAAATATCTTTGATCTTCGGGCGACCATCTACGAGGCACCGTGACTTGCCGCTGATAGTACACCCATCCTACGTGACTGCGAATCTTTTCGTCTGCAAAGATGTCGTTGTAGCTGGCGGGTACGGGTACTTGAAGCTTTGGCGGGATGAGCTTAGACCACGGTGCGTCTGCTTCAATGTCGGGTGATGATGCAAGTGCAAAGTTCCAGATGCCGTCCAAAGAGACGACATCTCTAGTTGAATTAGCCTGTGGTTTGAGCATATTTCTTATTGATAGTAGTACTTGGCGTCGTAGGTCATGAATTGAACGTTGAGTGAATGATATTATAGGTAAGCCGAGAGCCAGGCGTAATGCGGTGTTGTCTTTCGGCTTTTCCGAAGTGTCGGCGGTTGAGATTGCCGGAAGCCGACCGATGCCTCCAGCAACCAAATGCCCGCACGTTCGATACTCCGCAGATCCCGCATAACGCGTGAGTTGTTCCGGGGATCAAGCTCTCGTGGAAGAGGGGAAATCCCAGCCATCTTCGTGTTGCAGTTCGTTAGTTCTAGGTTGTGTACTATTTCACTCCAGTCTGAAGGAGCCTTCAGTAACCGACCGTTTCCCCTCATTGTTGTATCATTCGGCAAGCCACACGTCAGCTCAAGGGTAAGTTCGGACATACAGGCACAAGTTGCTAATTACTACAAGAACTAGCAAGGTCCTGTCTAGGCATTGTTGATGGGCATTGTCGAAATGCCATCATCTTGACTTGCGGGGTCCCCGGGAGTGTGGGGGACAGGCCTTGGCGGCCTAAAGCTGCCAGGGGACATGCGGGGACCGTTTAGGGCACTGAGATGCAGTCGGGAATTTCGTGTTCCTTGAGTAGGTAGACTGTCGCAGCTTCTACATAGAACCACCTTGGTTGAGACTTGATCAATTCATACATAATCGCAAGGACTTTAGGCTGTGATTCATGCATTTCTTCAAAGTCGATTGAGCCGAGAGGGCAGTGTATGTATATGTAGTTTCGGCGCGGAATTGAGGATGTTGATCTTGCGCGCTGGGAGTTTCCGACATGGTGTCCAGACACATCTCAATATGTTGACAAAGTGACTTTGACATTCAACTCAAACGTCAGGAGCTCGTGTCAGATGTTTCCTTATCCCCCAACCTGAATGCACAACTAGAGAAGAAGGATCCTATGAGGGTCAACAGTGAGAGCTCTCGAGCTGTTGAAGCTTGTGGCGCAAATTGCTTGGCTCGTGCCGGACTGTGGAAGAGGCAGTCTCTCTCATCGGCTCTCCACAACACAGAACAGTGGCCTCAGATCCCGGTCGCGACAAGGCGTTTGTCGCGCTTTGATTGTCCTTTTGTTTGTGGTCAAAAGATTAGCAAGATTTGGCAAAGTTACCGCCGGAAAGAAGCCCATACTCTCTAGAACAACAGCAAACATGACAACTGACACTATATCTGGTATCTAATCGTCTGAACCAACTCCGCGTGACCAACCACTTGCCATCCCCGTCCACCCCAGACGTCAAGTATTACTATTCTTTGAGCATGCCGGATTAAACTCAAGTCTTGAGACAGGCAACTCCAAAGACTCCAATTCCCAACCATCGAATGGTTCCCCACTTTGGTTTTCATGAAACGCCAATGCTCGTAGCCCTCGTGCCCTCGTGCCCTCGTCGCCAGACACGAAATTGTCCCACTTCAACGGTGGAAACCCACCAAACACCCACAAAACTAGCAAACGACTTTGATATTGCCGCTCTGTCGCTGCTGACGTCAACAAGGTCCTTCCAGCTCATTTCGAGCTTATCCCCGATGGCACAATTGGCTAGCGCGTCAGACTGTTAATCTGGAGGTTGGTGGTTCGAGCCCACCTCGGGGAGTTGCAGTGGTTAAAATCCACCAAGGCTTTCTTTTTTGTGTTTTTTGTTGTGGTTGAAGACATTTTCGGTGTTTTCTCGACTCTTTTTTGTCTCTCGTAAGCGACCGTGCCGCATCTCCAGCATCTGTGCAAATTAAAGTTGAGAATTTGAGACGAATCCCGGGACCTTAGTCGTACTTAATCATCGATCATATCTCACCTGGGTTTTGATTGACCGCCACTTTGCTTTTTCTGGTTCGTCAATTCATCGATCCAAAGACAATCTAAGACACCCATCTGGTGGAGCAGCTGACATCGCTAAAGCTCTCGACTCGACAAGTCGACATGGGGGCTGCAAGTGTCTCCAGCTTCAGAGCCCCCAGCAGGTAAAAATTTCAATGTGAATCGCTTGAGTTTGCCCAAACATACATGCCAGGCCATCATCCACTTTGGCCCAACTAAACAATGCCAAAGAATGCTGCGAGCTGCTTTCTTCCCAGAATTTCAGCCTCATGTCTGTAAGTAGCCATAGGCGTGACGCCTCTCGAACGATCTGTGTTCAGACAAAGACCTGTCACTTGCTGCTAGCCCCGACAACCCAAATTGCCAAAGGAACGCGGGCACGCCACAGCACGCTAAGACCATGCCTAAGATCCCGAGGCAGAGGCTCGCGCTCAGCATGCTTTCTCGCCCGGAGCCCCATTAACTGGAAAAGAGAAGAGCTTGTGTCAGACTGTCAGCGTAAGCCCTACAGGGGACCATCATGATTCTTTCGGGGGTCATCCTTACCCGGCATCGAATCTCCTCGACCCGTCGCCCAACCCGCCCGCGAGTCGGTTGCCGTGTCGGGAAAGACGCTCGTCATGGGCCCAATCTGATGACACTCTAATTATTTGCCCTTCTGCCATGGTGGAGTAAGCTGCCGCAATCAGTGATCCGTGGGCTATCTACCGCGGTCCAGGCACCTGGGGTTCATCGTGGAGGGGGCTTCAGAAAGTGCTTTGAAGTTCGGAGGACACCCACACTCCCACCAGATAACGGCCAAGATTCCATCCCGAACCCGTTATTGCTATCTTCCTTGCACGGAAGCTTTGATTCTATAAAGGTCGTCACGCCGGCTGAACCATTCAAGCTTATCCGGATGTCAAGACGGACGGCCTACGTCATTACACCTGTTTCGCCGGGCCAGCGTTACTACAACCGCCCACATCCATCACGATGTTAGGTACCGCGCTTCCGGGGCGTACATTGGGTGACCAACATGCTACTGCAACAGGACTTTCCTTCTCCGCATCGCATTTTGCCATCTTTGCCGTAGCAAGTCTTGCGTTGTATGTCTTATACAACTGGGCTCTGCCCAAGCCGATCGCCGGAATCCCCTACAATATCGAAGCGACGAAGCGCTTACTGGGAGACATCCCATCCGTCCTCGAGGGAATCAAACGCACTGGCGAGTTCAACGCCTGGGTCAACGAGCAGGCGGAGAAATTCAAATCGCCCCTCTTTCAAGTCTTCGTCCGTCCCCTCGGCAAGCCGCTGTTGATCCTCTCCGACTTCCGCGAAGCCCAAGACATCTTGATGCGACGAAAGGACTTTGACCGGTCGTCCCTCGATGCTGACCTCTTGGAGGGCGCGGGACGCAACCACCACATCCACCTCAAGACCGGCGACGAGTGGAAGAGGCACCGCAGGCTGCTCCAGGACCTCATGTCGCCGCAGTTCCTCAACGAAGTCGCGGCTCCGACGGTTTATGCGGGGGTCTCGAGACTGATCCAGTTGTGGAATGATAAAGCTCGGATCGCAGAGGGACGCCCGTTCTCTGCGGAGCTGGATATCTACTATGGTTCTCTGGACGCCGTCATGACGTTTACGTTTGGCGGTAGCTTTCCTAGTAGCGCGCTGCGCCCGACGGCGGACCTCATCAAGGGATTGGGTGCGGAGGATATCAACCGTTTACGGGGTTCGAGTCTCAGCAGCGACGAGGCCTTGGAATTCCCAACGGAAGAATGTGACGAGAAAATTCAAGCGACGCTCGGTGTAGCGAATTCGATTGAGTACCTCCAAGGCTCACCGATTCCGAGACTCAAGTGGTGGTTCGTCGAGAGACTTCCCTCATTACGTCGCGTCTTCCACGTCAAGAGAACATATGTGCGAGAAGAGATCTACAAGGCTCTGAAGAGGCTGCAGGAGGTCGGTGATGAAGAGTCCAAGGTTCTATCCGCTGTTGAGCTGGTAGTGCTCCGGGAAAAGAAGCTGGCAGAGAGTGAGGGCAGGGCTCCGGACTTTTTCTCCGAGATCATGGTTGACGAGGTAGGTGTCAGACGTTGGATCAGGAAAAGCATAGCTCGAAATGTGCTAACATCTATGCTAGATCTTTGGCGTAGTTGTTGCAGGACACGATACAACCAGCACCACCATGTGTTGGGGTATCAAACTACTCGCAGACAACCCCCAGAAGCAGACCGACTTGCGCGAAGCACTCCAAGCCACCTTCCCCGATGCCGTCGCCGAGCAACGTAGTCCGACCGTCAAGGAACTCGCAGGAAACACTACGAAAGTCCCGTATCTTGATGCCGCCGTGGAAGAGATCCTCCGATGCGGCGGGGCTACCCCGCTCGTCGACCGCGAAGCAACCTGCGATACCGAGCTGCTAGGACACCACATCCCCAAGGGAACGGTCGTGATGTGCCTGAACAAGGGCCACAGCATGATGAAGCCAGCTTTCAAAGTGGAAAAGTCGAAACGCAGTCAGAGCAGTCAGAGCGCCAAAGCCAGGGCTTGGGATGACGATGATATCGGGCAATTCAAGCCGGAGCGTTGGCTCGTCGAATCTCCCAGTGTCACTGGCGGAGTCGAGTTTGACCAGCAGGCAGGACCCCAGCTCGCCTTTGGTCTGGGAACTCGCGGTTGTTTCGGGAGGAGGTTGGCGTACTTGGAGTTGAGGATCATTCTGGCGCAGATCGTATGGAACTTTCAGCTTCTTCCGTGTCCAAGGGAATTGTCTGGCTATGTTGGCAAAGAGGGCTTGACATACAAGCCGAAGGATTGTTACGTGCGTCTGCTAGCGCTTGGGAACAGATAGAAGGAAGACTTTGTTTCATGAACGATAGAACTCTCCAAGCCCTCGTCCCGCGGGCTCCATCTCGTTGAGGCGGGCGCACTAACAAAAGCTACTTAGGTGCCCTTCTCAATCTCCGGTTGTGCTTCTGGCTAATAACGTCTACAAGATGATAAGCGTACTTTGTTAGGTAGCAGGAAGATAAATCTGCTCAAGCGCATCACTTCAAGTTGGTCAGCATATTGCAGTAAAGTAAGTACTAGTAAAGTTTTCTGTGTACTAGTTGTATCAGATAGCCACCTTGCATCTTTCCCTCCCCTCTCCTCTCTTTTCCTCTCAGACAGATACTTTTTGAAGTGATGGAGACCCCCGCGGCCTTCACCCTGCCCCCCTCCCTAAACCACTTCGCACTCAGAGCAGCCGCTCCACCGAAGCCAATGAATGTTCACATCAATTACCTCACCAAAGGCTACGGTTTCGTGCTCTCACATATTCAGGGTCACACATCATGCTTGATTTGCCCTTTGATGGAGCCAACCGGCCTCGTCAACCGCGCTTTCGAGCGATGGAAAAGCGGCGGGATGGCGATGGTGGCGATCTACTTTCGACGCCATATTGCCTGGCAGAAGGAGAAAGAGGAGAAGGTTTGTTGTAGTTATTCTGGTCTTCATCGACGTCATCTCCGAGATCCTTCAGGGCCCTCGTCGCCTTCTTCTTCTTCTTCTTCCGTATGTCCGTGTAGAAGTAAGCCGCCCCCGTAAGGAGCGTGAGGATGAGCCAGACGAGGACGAAAACCCAAAAGTCACGCGCGATGGCAATCTTGCGGGTCTTCTCGTTGAAGGAAAAGTAGTTGCTTCCGAATAATGACTGCAAGCGGAGGCATGTATGAGCATAATCGACCCAACTATAGGTATGTTTTTGGGGCTACACTTACGCCGACAAAACTGCCCGGAAGATAGATGGCAGAAATGATGGTGATGATGCGCACAATGGCACTGTCATCCACCGTGTTCTCAGTCAGGTCCTTCAGCTTCAGCGTCACGTCGCCCGTGTTCTTGATGTGAGTCTTCATCTCGTGGGTGAGGAGCTGCAGCTCCTGCTGATTATGCAGCGAGAGTGTATACGATGCCTAAACGAGTCAAGAAAAAGAACGTCAACCGCTGTCTAACTTGAAGTACGCTTGATAACCTGATAGAGAAAGAGGACACTAACCAACTCGACCGTGTTATCCACTCTTTGACGAAGGACAGCAGAGCTGTCGATGTATCCGCGCAGCATGGTCTCCATGGACCGAAACTCGGCGGCCGGGAACTTCCCGGTAGAGAGGATGCATCCCGTAACCTCCAGATTGCTCTGGCAGCAGGCGCTGGCGAAGAGGGCGAGATCATTGGTATTTCTCAGCTCGCGCACGCTCTTGAAGGTCACCCAGACGTTGTGATCCATCTTGGCATGGGGTACCATGGCTGTATTGAGCTTCATAGGTAGACAGGTCAGAAGTGTCAGTCTCATCGGGGAAACTACCGAAACTCTTCGCTTCACGTACCACTTTAGAGAATCTGTCACCTAGATGGCGGAGGTATGCCCGCCAGTTGTCGAGGTAGCAGGATAGGACATAATGGTGCAGCATCGCCGGCTGCGAGCAAAGGTCTCGCCTGAAGACATTGACCGTTGAGGCGCTCTTGTCGCTCAGCTCCTCTGAGAACTCCGCCTCTTCCTCCTCCTCGACGAGATCCTGGAGCGTCTCTGCTAGCTCACTAGCGGGCTGGCAGTGGAGTAGTATGAAGAGGTCGAAGCCGGGCTTGTGCTGGTGATAGACACCAACGTGCCGGAAGGACCACGCGTCGGGACCGGATCGGTCGTTCCGCTCCACGAAATTGAGCTTGTAGAGTAGCGTGTCTACAGTTATCAGGAGTTCTTAGAATTAATCTCTCTCGAGGAAAAAGGAAGGGAAGTCATAAGGGGGCGAGGAAAGCCTCACATGCGTCGTCGCCCTGAGGCACAAAGGTGCTATTGGCGCTGCCGGCCTCGGACTGGTGAGGCTCGTCGCCGAAGGACAGGAGTACTCGTAGGAACTCAGCACGCACTTGATACCTATCGAACAGTCTGCCGGCTATTGACGAGGTGATGCGGAGCGGATTGATGGTTCTTGCCGACGATATGGAGCTTGATAAAGACAAAGATTAGTCCGGAGCCCGATGAAAACGAGCCTGGTTCAGAAGTGACAGACATTATTCGTATGCCCGCGGTAGGCGCAGTGTCGAGAACATGATTGAGGTCATCTTCGTCCTTGACGATACTTGCGTGGAATTTGTCTATAACCTAGTTGTCAACCAATGTTGATTCCACATATGCATCGAGAAGAGGGGATGATGAGGCATACTGTCGTTGTTGTTGTCAATATCCAGTACATCAAAGAGCGTCTCTGAGTCTTTGGAGGCAAACGCCGTCACTGTAAGATCATCCAGTTGGTTGCGGAGCCCAGCGAGGTTGAAGCCGCTCTGCTGACGCGCAAAGTACTGATCCCAGCCGCTCATCATGCCCGTGAAGCTTTCAGATTCTTGAACCGAAACCGGTCAGTTCGTGGAGGGAACCAAGAGGACTACAGACCGTCATATGGAAACCATTCGCAATGATGCGCATGAGGCATGGAGCAGAGCAGGGCAAGGCTGGTCGATAATTTGCCCTGTGGTATGCCCGGGGCTGGGGCAAAAGTGTTTGCGGCTCGACCCGGTCCTCACAGCCTGATCTGCCTTTCCATGCCGTGCAGCCGGCAAGCTAGACGGACCGGACTTGGGGTCGGTAAGTTATTGAAATAGTTTGCGCGGAAGAAAAATCAGATGCGATGAGCATCTACTCTCCCAAAAGTTCAGGTTCTGGCGACTTTCACCGGGCGACAGTATAACACAAATAGGAGGATTTCTCAATGGGAAACGGACGGAACAAGACGGGAACAGGAGAGTAGAAAGCGACTGAGCCTCCTGTGTGACAGTATCAGCCTCCGAAGTGTGGTAACACAGACAGTTACACAGAGAGACAACAAGCCCCCGTGCCCCCTTTATCCGAGGGAGGGAGGAAACATGCTTGACTTGCATCTCACCGTCACCCGATAATCCTTGTCCACACCCTCTTTACTTCGTTTCCAATTTCAATTCGCCCACTTCACGAGGCTGTGGTGATGGATGCCACATTGGATACACAACGCCCGACAAGCGCTTATCTTCGGCTGGAGGTGCCACCTCCTTTCCGCCGCTCCCTCCGCCTCCGTTCTCTCCTTGCAGCCTCCCGAGCAGCATCGCGCCGGTCAGCAATCTGAGTGACAATCTCCCTGTTTGCAACTGTTAGTATCGGCTCGGTATCGGCATCTGCCGTTGCGGCGAGACATTCCTTAGCTCGTTCTGTCCAGAGTCAACACACGTCAGCCAGCATACCTACGATAAGATGGGGGAAGCCCAAGCTATCGCTCACCTCTTGAAGTTGCTCTGGGCAGTCAAAGTACCAGCGGTCGTTCTCGTGCTGTTCGAACAGTTGGATTACTGCTTTTTCCCTAGAAGAGGTGAGCAAGATGAGGAGAAGGAAAACGGACTGCGATGCAAAAGTCAATATGGTCCCCATATCTCTCCTGGAGCAGGACCAGCAGCTCGGAGCCGAGAGTGACATATCGTGATAGTCTCTGAGGTAGGACGTTGCGCACTAGGTCCATGGTCGAGCGTGGCACGGAATCACTTCGCCGACGCTGTTGCCGTGATCCATGCGATGGTAGATAGAAGAAGGATGCTGATGGGATGGGACGGAGCTGAGGATAAAGGAGGAGCCTCGTCGTGCGTACCGTGGGTTCATGAAGGAGAGGCTCACTTACAACATTGGCCTTTTGTAATGGTGGAGAGATGTTGTACGACATTTGAGAGGCTGGCCGGAGACTCGAGAGGTCAGTAGACACAAGAGACAGCGCCGCGAGTCAATGACATTGCATGGTAGGTGGTGGGCAAACGTGGAGGCTGGAGGGCTGGAAGCTGATGCGCTGTTCGATCCCTCCCTCCACTACGCCCTAAGTTGCCTCGCAAAGAGAGGAGAACATAGTTGGCGAGCCATTTCAGCTCAGCGGACAGTCAGCAATGTGTAGAGGCGTTCCTCGTCCATAGTTGAGTGCTTGGGAGCTTCTATATCTCATCTTAGAGTGTCTCCAACTCATGACCTGGTTCAGACAACGTTGCGTCTTGAATATCGACGGCAAATGGAATACAACATAGATGCCTTACGGGAAAGGGCGCGGAGGGAACGGCAGCTCCTCCGGATGTGCGACGAACTACCTGCGCTCCAGGTCCGTCCAAAGCCCGACCTAGACTCGCCGTTCCACCGCCCCTTCTTCCTCGCCTCCAGAGTTCGCAAGCTTTGGGAACACCAGAGTAACTTGAGAGATGTCCTGTTCAACCTTAAACCGCAGCAGTTGACTTCCATCTGGAAACATTCACTTTTGTTCGTCACCTTCCTGGTCTACATCGAGGTTCCGCCCTCGTTTTACGCGCACGTCTCCAACCTACTCTTCAAAGATGGTGATGACACAACACCCCGGTACCGAGACACGGAGATGCCGTATAGTGAAGCAGAACTCGAAGCGCTGGGTCTATCGCGAAGTAAAACAGCTAGGTGGGAAGAGCAGCACCTATTTACTCCGGCGACGATTGTCCTGAACCCGCAAGCGGCGCCGGCAATACAAGTCATTCCGAACTCGCTGACGCGGATTCCGTTCATGGAATGCGACCCAGGACAGGAGCATGGCGGATACGGCGATGTAAAGGTAAGCATCCTTATCGTGGGCCCTGCCGGTGTTTTCATGGCATTCGATGTATGCTAACATGCCATTCTCTGCTAAGTTCTTCAAACTGGCGCCTGAATACGTGGTAGATGAAGATCCAAGCCCTCGAAGCTGGGTGCCGGTATGTACTTTAACTACATCCATACTTCCCTTCCCATGTGCTTCATACGCTCCATACTATGATATGAAAAACCACCATCTATGCCACTATATGGGGATCAGGGTCATCAAAACATCATCACGTTATCACTCTGACATCACGAACGTACCAGAAACATCAACGACAACCTCTCGTCGTTGCCGTAAAGTCCTTCCACATCCGCGACGATGGCCTCGCCGAGGCGAACAACATGCGCCTCCTCCGCCAGGGTAAGGCTGGCGACCATAGCATCTCGCTCTGCAACGCCGTCGTCGAACACGGGAGCAGCGGGGGCTTGTCCTCCTCGAGGCTCTTGATCTTCTTCCCCCGTGCCGAGCTCGGTGATTTGGGTCAGTTTCTACACGGCGGGCAGCATGTCGATGGTGACGAAGCAAGGTCGTACGACTTCAGGGAGCGGTTCCCGCACGCCCACGCCCACGGCTGGGGCAACCCCGAGCTCGCCCGAGCACTGCTGCACCAGTGTGTCAAGCTTGCCGGCGCCCTACTGTTCCTTCACTCAGGCTTTCCCGCGTCTTCGGAGAGCGGCGGAAGATGGGTGCGGTGCGCACACATGGACCTCAAGCCGAACAACATCATCATATTCGGCGGTGACGGCGCCGTGGGCCGTTGGAAGCTGTGTGACTTTGGCATCTCCGTGCTCAAGGACGAGGAAAGCGAGGACCGCGCGGGAGAGAACCATCAGAGTTCCTATTATAGCCAGATGACCTTCAACACCAACGCGCGGCGTGGGCGAGGCCAGTACCAGGCCCCGGAGGTGCCTGAGTTCTGGGCCCCTTACCTTGTGGAGAGCGTCCGGAGCGGCGGTACAGACACCGGCACAGGCACGGCCGCACTTGTGGGGCGTGTCGGCCGGTCCGCCGATATCTGGTCGTTCGGCTGCATCTTCGCCGAAGTTCTGGCCTTTGCCCTTGGCGGGCCGCGAAATGTCGAGGGCTTCCTCGCGACGCGGAGGCAAGTCTTCAACAACATCCGCGACGGCAACTTTCACTCGCCAAGCAACAGCAACAGCAATAGCACCAGTACGTCGTTGTCGAGCCACATGGTGCGACCTCAGGTGCTGCAGTGGCTCGACGAGCAATGTGCCACGGTTACATCGCCCATCTGGGCTAACTGCTGGGCCGGTCATGTTACGCGGATCTTGCGTGTCGACCCGCGAGAGAGGCCAGACGCGCAGGCACTAGAGCGTCAAGTACACCATGTCTGGGATGACGCGCTGAAGTGCCCAAGAGAGGCGACATCCAAGTGCCAGGCTTTTCGGTATGAGCCTGAACCGCAAAGCGTGTCGGAAAGTCCGCTTGACAAAAAGCTGGCCAAAGTTCCCAAAGCCTCCTCCTTGCCTCCTTCCCTATCCCCTGCTTATCCTCCCGTTCCCGCTCCGGCAACGGCGATGGCGACTCCCTCCAACGTCTCTTTTGAGGTACCTGTCAGCTCTAATCCCCATTTCACTGGCCGTAAGAAGATCATAGCCGAGATGGAGAACTTCTTCTCTGAGGATGGCCACGATGCCACGCAACAGAAGCGCCTCGTGCTGACGGGCCTCGGGGGCGTAGGCAAGACCCAGATCGCCACGGCGTTTGCATACGATGCCTATAACGCCGGCCGCTACGCTACAGTTCTTTGGGTATTTGCTGTAGACGAGCAGGAGGTCATCAAATCGTTCACGCAGCTGGCCAAGACGTTGGGGCTCTTTCCCAAGATCAGCACGTCTCACGAAGACCGCGGGCAGCAGGACATGCCACTCATGGCGCTCGCGCTTCTGCAGTGGCTCTCGCGCGAGGAAGAGCAGAGGTCGTCCCGGTGGCTCCTAGTATTTGACAATGTCGACGATTTAGACAATCTTGACGTCTCGCGCTTCTTTCCCCGCGTTCCCTGGGGCCATATTCTCATCACAAGCCGCCGCAAGGAGGCCCGCCGACTGGGCCGCCAGGTCGAGGTCGGCATGATGGACGAGAAAGAGGCCCTGACCCTTCTCAAGAATTGCTCTGGCCGTCGCGGTGACGACGAAGAAGAAGCTGCCCGCCATGTCGCTCACAAGTTAGGATACCTCCCGCTGGCCCTTGATCAGGCCGGCGCCTACATTACGGGGCAGTCCATCGACTTTGCCGAGTACATGGATCTCTACCGCGTGAGCCACGACCAGCTACTTCGGCACAAGCCACCGCGCGCCGTCTGGTCGTACGAGCAGACCGTCTTCACCACCTGGGAGATTTCCTTCCACGCGGTGGCCGCCAGAAATCCCGTCGCCGCGCGTCTCCTCGACCTGGCGGCCTTCTTCTACTCGGACGGTGCCCCGTTCGCGCTCATGTGCGAACTTGCCCAGATCCGCGGACCAGAGCTCCAACAGCGGCTCCTCCTGCGAGACTTTGTCGATTTCGTCCAGACGCCGGCGGACTACGATCAGCTGGTCGACCAAGTGCCACCGGAGCTTATGGTTCCACATCTGCAGGTGGTCGAGGCCATCGGCACTCTTGCGTCCTTCTCGCTGGTGGACCAGAAGACCATGTCAACTCATCCACTCGTCCACTACTGGCTCAGGGAGCGGCAGTCGAGCGCGGACAGGATCAGGAGCGGTCGCGCAGCCATCTTTCTCACCTTGCGTGCCATCGTCAACGCCTACGACGCGTCGCGTTTCGCTGAGGGCGAGACATTGTATCCCTATCTCTGTATCTCCCTGGAAAATCTCTATGACACGCCGGAGCTTCTCAGCGACACGGAGCTAAATAAGATCGGTGCCTGCATGATCGCCCTCGACGCCTGGGTCCCCGTCTCCCTCGACCACGGCACGCTGTACCGCGCCGATCGCTTCTTCAACCTTGTCGCCGCCCACAGCGAGCACGCGGACTGGCGGATCCCCGACGGGTTGCTGGCGGTGCGCCGCGCCTTTTGGCTCATGAGCATGGGGCGGCGGAGGGAGTGCAGCGACCACTGCGCTCGCTACCTCGCCACATTTCACCAGCGCTCGCGGTTGGACAAGATGTACGCCTCGTCCCTGGCGCAGACCTGTGCTCCCTGCTTCTTCCGTTTGGGAGACTACGACCGCGCCGAGCAGATATATGAGTACTTGGATGACTCACTTGACGACTCGGGTGCCATGCTGGCTCGCAAACAGTTGGTTCTCGGCGCCATCAAGATCGACAGGGGCCTGCCGGACGAAGCCGCGGCCGTACTTGAGGGCTGCGCGCGCGAGTTGCAGAGGGGCATCGGCCAGCACCACTTTTTGCTTCGCGTGTGGCATCAGCTCATGGCTAGATCTCGCCTGGCGCAGGGGCGGCCGGCCGAAGCCGAAGTTCAGGTTATGAAGGGGCTGGCGGTACGGATGAACATGCTTGAAGGCGGCAAACTGGAGTTTACCTTTAGTGATTACGAGCTCGCAGAGGTATACTCTCAGGCTCTCCGGGCGCAGAGGCGCTTCAGAGAAGCGAAAGCCTGGATGATCGCGCTGCTGGAAAAGACGGCGTCGGAGAAGCCGCGACCGGCGCGGAGCCTTGCGGAACTGTCGCAGATCTTGATCGAGCTCGACGAGGCGACGGCTCTATTCGGGGTTGGCCAGGAGGAGAGACGAAGTATAGATGAATTGATGACTAGGGCAGAGCGCAAGTTTGTCGAGGCTGCGGCGGTCTATGAGCTGGAATGGAATAGAGGAATGTGGTCGTTCAAGCACTTTCACCAGACACTGGCGGAGTTTAAAGAGAGGCTCGTGTGAGGGGGATTTTGATCTTCAGAAGTAAGCTTAATAGAAAAGGTGTTATTTCATTCCATTCAAGTTCACTTCACGCATCCGTCACGTCCTTGACGCGTTTTACGTCGAGCGTCTTCCCCCCATAGGCTGCTACTAACTCAATGACCTTGTGGATGGCCTCGACCTCTTCCGGCTCCATGCCCACTCGCAAGCAGGCCCTCAGATGCCAGTATGTCGGGTCTTGAAGATTCTGTGTCATAATCGCGGGTAACACGACGAGCTCCGTCTCCTGTATATCGAGGATGCGATGGTCCGAGAGGAAAAGGCCATAGGACACATTGACCGATATCCATGCTAGTGAGCGCAGTGTAAGAGACTCCAACACCCAAACAATATGGATATGGGCTTCAAGGGATGAACTCACGGATATCTTTGTGGGCATGTAGCACTTCGACGGGGGCGCCCACCTCGCTCTTATACAGCACCTTGAGAACGGCCGCGGCGCGCTTCGACGTCTCAGGCCCAATCTGCCAGTCCTCGCGGGAGCATGACTGATCCGTGTCCTCGGGCCTCTCGACCTCCGAGACTGACGTGACGGCCTCGATGACGACCGGGATGCCATTGATGATGATGCACTTGACCATGGCCTCGCGCAAGCGGCGGATGAGGGCCTGGCGCTCGGCGGGCGTCTGGTACTGAGGCTGGGCGACTAGGTGCGTGTAGAGGCTCCCAGCGAGCTTCTGCTGGCCTGAACCGATAAGCGAGGCAATCTAGACGAGTAGCCTGTTAGTTTTGGTCTTCCGATCGAGCCCCGGTCGGTGAGGTTATGGATTTAACTGAAGGAATAGGTCTCCATACCACGGTCAAGTACCATCCATGCTCGCGGAATCGCGGCGGGAAGCCGGCTTCAGCCTTTTCGAAGAGCTCTGTCAGCGCGGCTGGCGTGGCGGCCGTGGCGGGAGTGCTAGTCGGCGCGGTGTTGGTGTTAGTATTGTCCATCGTAGATGGCCGAGTCGTCATAGTGCTAACATATCGTAGCGACCTAGTCCGATTCTGAACCGCCACGAGGAGGACTCTTGGTATTAAAGTAGGCCGAAATGGACTGCGACTTGGGGCTCTCAAGGGGTGGGATCGGGAGAGAGGCCGCACCGCTACTTTGCCCGATCGAACAGTGCGAAAGAATCTCATCAGAATGAACGCGTCAGGTCGTCAGGTTGTAGTGTGTCTATAGACAGTTTGCGAGAGCACTATCTCTAGGCTGTGCGAGGACGGGATATTGCCGACGCGGGAGTTTGCTTTCTGTTCATCTTATCGTGAAACTCTTCAGTCTCCCAAAATGCTCCACGAGACCATTTAATCCGACCAAAGCTGGCGGGCTCTTCTCTGTACCACCTGAAGCCCAACCCTAGGTAAGTTGTCCGGAGTACAGACTCCAAGAGAGACAACACCCTAAAGAATGAGAAAACAAGGCTGTTTGACGATATGCATCAGCCCGGATAATGACGGAACTAGAGAGCAGAGCCCGGCTACCCGGGCCAGCATCGGGGCAACACTGTGCCTCACCGGTTGTCTTGGACGAACAAACGAGTTGCGTGCGCATGGATCTAATGGTGTGTTACTCAATCATCTCTTGAATGTCATTCGTCCACGTCCCTTCCCCTTCGTGTCACCTCAGTGAAGAAGAAGGGGGGGGATCAAGCAGGCTGGCCGTTTGAGAGGAAAAAGGCAAGGCTACCTACCTTCTCTATAACTATCCTCGGCCGGAAACTTGAGGCACCCGCATCGCCGCTGCAGCCGCTTTCCGTGAACTTGCAAGTCACGCATTGTTGATTTGTTGATGCTCGTGGCCTAGATTGACGCGTTGCCTACTAATGATAGGGGACGTGGTGCGTCTGTGTTGGTTGCCTGTGCAGATGATGTGACGCTCAAGAAACGAAAGTACGCCGGCTCATTTCCTCTCAACTGACCGAGGCCATGGCTCTTATCTTGATGAGAGTGTTACCGTTCACGCTAGTGTAGTGCAACAAGCTATGGCGACCACTACGGGTATTCTCAAGATAGGGATAAAGTGAGGATTGTGTCCCGAGCTAGCTTTCTAGGTAAGTACATTCCATACTGAGGGATCGTCAGGAAAGCAGCTTACTTACATCATGTAAGCCGCTGCTACGAGCTTCCCAGGCTTCTTAAGTGTTCCTACGTTCGAAGGGACGCGTCCATCATCAACCAGCCTCACATCGGTTGAGGGCACGCCAGTATTGACTACAACGCCGAGATAGCTCCCGCTTACGTCGCTAATGTACTCGTTGCCGTCGAGGCACCCGCCTCGGTTGTTTGAGCTGGTATCCTACAGAATATGACAAAGCCTCCTTACGCCAACAAAAAGCATCGCTACCGAAGCTTGAAGACCAAGAACCTGTCAAGCGGTTCATACGCTCTCTCTCAATCCCTTCAACAGCTGACTCGGCTCGAAAAGAGCCGGGGTTTGATCTTACTTCCTCCACTCTCATCCCTCAGCGATGTTCAAGGCCCATCTTACACCACCCGTGCATTTCAAAGGAGAGGCTAATCATTCGCTTGGTCTACCGCGGCCGCTGCCGCTGTCGAAGCCGTTGCCGGAGCCGCTGCCGCCCGGCGCTCTACCTCCTTCATGAATCTGCTCACCTCGGGGTCCAGCGGCAGCGTGCGCCTCATCTTTGACTTGTTTCCGATGACCTTGAGACCGCCGAGTGTCCGCGCGCGGCTCAGGGCCACATAGGTCTGCCTTCCATCCCAGACGTTCTGAAGGTTGACGCTGACGCGGTCGAGCGACAGGCTTTGGCTCTTGTGAATGGTCATGGCCCAGCCCGGGACGAGGGGGATCTGTGTGCGCGCCGAGTACGCCTTCAGTATCTTTTTGGACCCGTTGACGGTGCGGATGATCTCTGTTTCGATGTTGTGCATATTGCAGTAGGGAAGGATAACGCGACTTTTGCCGGTCGCGAATATGATTTCAGGGACTATGGGGCGGAGAAAGGGGAATGAAGGTTAGCGGTCAATGGTTTCAACGTTGTGGATGGCGCGATAACACGGAAGAACTCACAACCATTGGCGCCCAAGGGACCATTGATGTAGTGGCTCATCTGTTTATATCTCGCACATGCGACCTCGAAGGCGTAGTTGTCCTCCTTGTAACTCCCCCTTTCGGGCATCTTGGGCTTGTCGCATTCCTCCACCTTCCGTACGAAGCGGACGAGCTTGCCCTGGCTGCCGTTACAGAGACCGTTCTCGACGTCGAGCTGCGAGTTGTTGATCAGCGCGTTAATCTAGCTGACCTTGGAACGGTATGCGCAATGGCGCGATGACGCGGCTTGAGAGGAGGAACTCACATTAGCTAGCAGCACAACCGGCATGCCGGGCTTGAGGGTCAGCTGCTTGTCGAATCGGTTCTTGTCGTCCTTGTCGCCGAGGTCTTCTGGGTGATCCAGGGCATCAAACTTTTCTGGGCGGCTGCGAAGCTTTTTGAGTTCCCCATTGTTGTAGGCCTTGGCTGCGTCCTTATGGCTGAACAGGGCTATGCCATTCCTGACTTCGCGATGTTGCAGTAGGACGTTGAGATCGGAGTCGGTTGTGTGGCCCAGGCGAATGTTCTGGAGCATCGTGATAAATTTCTCATCGGTTTGCCGATGAATCTTGGTCAGATGAATGTATCTGTTCGCCAAGAACGTCAGGCTGCGTCCGTGGTCCCACCATCAAACGGATCATGCTACTCACTCAAAATTACACTCTGCCCAGGCCCGTGAATTGAAAGCCCATTTTTGAGCATCCGGAAATGTAGGGTGCGCTTGATCTAGGGGACAGAAGTGCAGTTTGCGGTCCTTGTCGAAAACCATCGTTTGTTCTTCAACATATCGATGACAAGGCGTCGAAAATTTAGTACGCTCGTCATACTCCACCTCCTCAGTGCAGTATCGGAACGGTTGCACGGGGGGTAGCTGGCAGAAGTCCCCGACGGCGATGACCTGAATGCCGCCGAACGGTCGCCTCACCGAATCCGTGGTCTGTTTTCTGCAGATCTTGTCATCGCCGCGGGCGAACGCCTCCCGTCGGAGCATGCCGATTACGTCGGAGAGCCGGTTGAAGAATTCGCTCTCGACCATGCTGATCTCGTCGATGATGAGGACGTCAGTGCTCTCGATGCGGGCATACACGGAAGTGCGACGCGCGCCCTCGATGAGAGTCCTGAGTGTCTGCCTCGGGGCGATGGTGTCCCATCCAGCGTAGGAAAATGTTGTTCTGCCATTGATGTTAGTGGCGGCCTGGCCCGTGGGCGCAACGAGGTAGACGGTTTTATTCTGGGCTTCGAAGGCCTGGTTGAGGGCCTTCACCAGGACCGATTTGCCACAGCCGCCGGATCTGAGAGGGTCAGCCATGACTTGGTTTTGTCCTTCTTTGGTAGTGAGGGACCTACCCCGTGATGAAGAGGCTGTGACCTTGCATGGCCAGATCTAGGGCGTGCTGCTGTTCAGGGCATAGGGGAAACTCTGGGGCCGCCTTTGCGACTGCCGGGCCTTTCTCGCCTGAAGTGCGATCGTTTTCGCGTTTGATGTACTCGTTCGTTTGATCTGAGTAGCCCTTGAGAGGGAAGAACCCCTGCGAGTCCCTCATTGCTTCTTCCTCGTCGTCAAAATCCCCCTCCCGTTTGACCGCGGCCTCACAGAAATCACCCTCTTCTTTCTTGATTGCCGTCTGGTGGGAATCATCCTCTTCCGTTTTGATTGCTGCCTGAGTGGAATCATCATCCTCCTTCTTGATCACGGCCTCGCGAGCGTCATCCTTCTCCTGTTTGATGACCACATCGCCATCATCCTTAATCTTGATAGGTGACTCGCGTGAACCACATCGATGGTTTGCCTCGCGTTTGACGGCTTTGGGTCGATGGACGTCAAAATAATAGACATCCGAAGGCTCCTGATCGCGCTCGTCCTGCTCCTCCCGACGGCGCTTGACCGGAGAAGGCGCCACCGCGGGTACAGGTGCAGGTGCGGGTGGAGGGCCCGGTGCAGTAGATCGGCTTTGATGTGCCGGGGAATAATTCAGTAAGGCGCCAGCATCGATCTCAAGAGCAAGCCCAGATATCAGAAGGCCCATCTACGGTATGTCAGTCTTCTAGTTCACGAATATGAAAGCCTTCACTCACAGCCACGTCGAAGCTCGATGCGGTAGTGTCTGGATTGATTGCCGCGTGTTAGCATGGTGGAAGGAGCTAACGGATGACGGACTACACAGCCAAATTCCTGCGCGTACTTTTGTTCTGGCATCCTTCAGTCTGTTTCTTGGTCTCGTTCCAGTCCGTGAAGATGCCATATTCCCTGCCGTGCGCCCCGGGTCCGCGCAGGTAGTAGACCACGTAGTATTTCGGGGCAGGTCCTCTCTTGAGCACGACCGGATTGCGCGAGTCGTTGATGTAGTTCTTCGCGGCCTGCACCGCCTGCTTGGATGCAGGGCGGGGGTTACCGACCAGCTGATTCCGGGCTGGCTTGGGCTTGCCCATGGCTGTAAGTGTCGGCGGTGCAATGGTCGTCCTCGAAGCTCATCACGAGATTGAGGTACGCGATAAGATGAGGGAAGTGCCGGAAGCTGAGGGAAGGTTTCAGAGACTCCACATCACGGCTTAGGTAAGCAATTTCTGGTCGCGCATTGGCCATTGGGCCTCCATAACCCAGTTCATTTCCCCTCGAAATCTTTGCTTTTTCGAGATTATCCAAGACTGTTAGAGGCATTTTTTATCTCTTGACGACTCATGGACAATAGGTAGGTCAGGTTACTAGGAACTTTTCGAGCCCATATAGCAGTATTCACCCTCACGAAATGTGATTGTTATAAGCAATTGGTAATTCAGGCGGTAGTATTGCATGAACTAGGCAGTCGATGTCCAAGCAACCCAGGTTGTCAATACCCCAGCCAAAGCCACATAAAAGGCACCCGCTGTATAAGCAACTCCCCAGTCTCGATATATGGCTTGGGAGACGATGACAAAGAGACCAAAAACCACAGTGCTCCCTACTAGAAGTGTCACAGATGGCGTGCTAAAGCTGGTGTAGGGCCATTCCACGATGCGGAAGCCGACGAATTCCATGTCTGCCACTGCACGAACCACGGCAGTTTTGACAGGTGGTAGGATATCTCTGAAAAGTTGTCAGCAAGGAACTTAAACGAGGCCTACCACCGCACAACAGCAAAGACACGGGAGACCTGCTCACTTTGAGGAATATATCCATTTATCGTACAGCACATCATTTCCCACAGCTAGCTTGGGATAGGATAGAAGCATATTCCAGGTTGAAGCCATCTTGAGCTTTGAAAGTTCTTTCAGTCTATTCACATGCATCTGAACGTCGCAGCAGCTGGGTTCGTTTACTCGATGGTCATCCCCCCATGCCCAGGAGCACACCTCGTAGCCATGCAGAACCCTGTCCGTTGCTAGGTCATGGTAGCAATCGTACTCGTCCATGTCAGGATTCGAAGGTTCGGTCAGGTAACATTCATAGTCATCGATCAGTTGTTGGAGCTTCTCGATTCTCTCAGCAACGTTGACGATCTGGAACTGTCCCCGGAATGCACCCGATCTTTGAGCGTGCTGGCCGACAATTTTCAGCTTTGGATTCCAAAGTCAGCTACGCTCTGGGTTTTGATTCGTATTCTAAGTTCCATGTCCGAAACCATAAGATATTCACTTACATTTACCAGCTCAAGCCTCACAGGGCCAAGCAATCGTTTCCACCGCCGAGTGCACTGCCGCGCGACTACAGACAATTTAGCCCATACCGTGGTCGGGTCCAATCCATCTGGTAGGTTGATGGCGGAAATGACAGCATCCTGTTCTTTGCCCTGGCAGAGCAAGATGAATGGGGCAGTGGAGGGCAGCGGTTTCAGCACGTCGCATATCTCGTCCCTTCGTTCGACAACTGGATTTGGCGGACTGGCCTTCCCCCTGACGATACGTCTACCGGCTCTTTTCTTGCAAGTGATAGGGGTTTCGGTTGCTGAAGAAGACAACGTTACAGGGGGATCCTTCGGTGCCTCGGTTGTCCTTGGTGTATGGTCAGAGGGTCCAGTAGGAGGTCGTCGGGGTTCGATGAGGCCTGGTGCAGGGCCTACGGAGTCTGGACGACATTCAAACAATGGAAGCTCGTGGCCAGCCTGGTGTGTTATTTTCCCTAAGTGCTGGCGCTGGAACCCTGGGAGCTGGATGACGATCTTGTGTCCTAATACATCTAGTGAGACGGCTTGATGGCGGAGAGAAATCCGAGTGCGGGATGACAAGGACATGATGGAGCTCGCGTCTGCACTGAGGATATTATGCCACGCTGAGGGTTGACTGTGATTTCGATCGCTGACGGTGTGACTCCCGCTTTCTTCATCGTTAGCTCTACTGGCGTGCTTGCTCGACATGTAAGCAGCTGGTGAAGGTGGAATCAGCGGAGTTCGTGAACTCATTTCGAGTATCAATGATCGGTACTAGTTGTGCACCACGATTGAGTGATGTTTCAAGCGTTGCGATATGAAGGATTCTCGAGTGTTTTTAAATGTACGTGAAATATTCGCCTGGATTTCAATTACTTATCTATCAGTCTGCCTGATGAGCAGCCTAAGAGTTGTTGGGTTGCAGTGAAGAGGCCATTGGCGCTTGTGCTGAGGCTATGCACTGCAGATCGATCCAGCCTGCCGCAGTCTGGAGAACATACCAGTTGCCTCAAGTAAAATTACGATGGAATAGTTGATGTTGAGATTCATAAATGGTAATTAATTAGGATCCTTTGATAAGGTACTTCAGATGGGACGTGAGAACAATGGCGACGTGCTCAATCACAAGTTTCCGTATGAGTGTGGATCAAAGGACTTCAAGTATAAGTTGTCCCTACTCAAATCTGGACTTAAATAATACTAATTCAAGCATCTTCGCTATCAAATCTCTATGCTAAGCCGATATCAACATCAACCTCACACAGAAAATCACCATTACATATTAAGGTACCTTACCTTACAAAATATCGCCACGCTTCAACTAACATTCTCAAGTGATCACCACAGTGTGTTGCAGAGCGTCCTTTTACAACAGTAATGACTTTTACATAAGCGAAATCTCATGGGCTGAGACGCGCATACACGAGCTGACATGCAGCGTACCCGACCTGCAGGCTCTCGTTGGGACGGGGCGAGAATGCTATGCAGCCACGCCGGGGAAGGACCAGGATCCCAGGAACGAGAAAGAATCGATGCATGTATTACCCAGTAGCTGAGATCACCTAATGACGATCATGAAGTGAGGCAAATCAAGCTCACCTACGGATTAGAACCCCAGCTCGGGAGGAAGACTCGGCGCAGGTCGTGTGGGAAGGTGAGAACATGATCAGATATGCCAAGACTCTGACGTTATGCAGAGGTCTTCGTAAGAGAATTATAAGTGAATCAGTTTCCCCGGCCGAGGCAACTTCAAGAAACGTTGCAAAATGCGATGTAAGACTGACAAGCTCGTCAAAATGCATCTCGCCATAGCTCTGCTAGTCCAAGCGACTCTAGCCCTCAGCGCACCCCTCGACGACCTCACAGCCTGCCTCCGCACCGCTTCCGTGCCCATCGCATCCTCAACCCCGACGCCATACAACCTCCGCGTCCCCGTTAAGCCACTTCTCGTCGCCGTCCCGACCACAAATGCTCAAATCGCTTCTGCGGTAACGTGCGGTTCCAAGAGCGGTGTCAGGGTCAGCGCCAAGAGCGGCGGGCACAGCTACATCTCGACCGGGTACGGCGGCGAAGATGGCCATCTTGTGATAAACCTAGACCGCATGTACAGCGTGACTGTCGCGAGCGACGGAACGGCCAAGGTCCAGGCTGGTGCGCGGTTGGGACACGTAGCCACGGAGCTGTATAATCAGGGGAAGAGAGCGATATCGCATGGAACATGCCCAGCGTGAGTGTTGATCCAAATGATCCATGGATCTTAGACCTTGGCTTATACGTAGCACAGCGTTGGCGTGAGCGGCCACGCTCTCCACGGCGGCCACGGCATGGTCTCTCATACTTACGGCCTCGCCACAGACTGGATAAAAGCCGCAACAGTCGTCCTCGCCAACGGCACAATCACGCGCTGTTCAGCGACGGAACGACCCAATCTCTTCTGGTCCATCCGCGGCGCCGGCTCATCCATGGTCATTGTGGCAGAACTCGAGTTCAACACCTTTGCCGCGCCTGAGAAGATGACGTATTTCGATATCGATCTGGTCTGGGACACGACGAAGCTGCCGCAGGTTCTTCTGGACACGCAGGAGTTTGCAAAGACTATGCCGGCGGAGCTGACAATGTCGACGACGTTTAACAATGACGGGAGTTACCTGAACGGCGCGTATGTTGGCGATGATGCGGGCTTTCGCGCGGCGGTGCAGCCATTACTTGCAAAGATTGGTGCCAAAGTGTCCAGTTCCAAGACTGTTGGATGGATCGACTTTATCAAGCACTACGCGGGTGTGACGGATATCGACGTGACGACGGCAACGTACAACGAGGTAACTAGCACCTTACACACCGAAGCTGCAAAAGGGGGGAGACCTACTAACGCGTTCAACAGCACGACAACTCCTATGCATCAAGCCTCACCACCCCCGCCCTCACAAAAACAACCTTTCAATCCCTCGTCGACGCCATAGCCCAGAACGGCCTCACCGCGACCCGGTCCTGGTACATGCACATGAACTTCCACGGGGGCGCAAACTCGGCCGTGGCGCGGCCCAAGACCAACGATACCGCCTACGTCCACCGCGACAAGATGCTCCTCTTCCAGCTCAAGGATGGCGTCTCGACGAGCCAGACGTATCCTTCCGACGGGTTCGCGCTGCTCCAGGGGTTGAGGCAGAGTATTACCAAGGGGCTGGGCAGCGACCAGTGGGGGATGTATGCGAACTATCCAGATTCTCAGATTAGCGAGACCGAGGCGGTGCGATTATATTGGGGGAGTAATCTGAATAGGTTGGAGTGGATTAAGGCTGACTATGATCCGACGGATTTGTTTCGATTCGTGCAGTCTATCAAGCCTGCTGAATAGGATGTGAGCTGGTGTAGCGTGGTATGGGTGGTTGAATGGGGGAGAGCGCGTGTCGCGAAGAAGTTCCTAGGACTGACATCTCTGGGATGAGATGAAGGGGAACCTTGCCTAATTGATAAACTTTAATCTAGTAAGGTACAAAAAACTTCAGTCTCGCTCGAGAGTATGACGCTGAAGCAGGCGAATAACTATTCAGTCAATATGTCGTGCTAAGATGGAGAGGGAGAGTGAAAGTCGAAGGCTGGACGAGAAGTGCTAGCAGAAAAAGAAGAAAGAAAAAAAGAAAAGGCACACATGCATATACTTGGCACATGTAGGTATGAACGGTTGCAAGTATGTAACTCAGCTTAAATTACGCAGTGATGAGGGCATGGCTTCGTGGCCTTTTACATTATAAGATTACATGTACAGATAGGTAACAATTACTCGAATGGTGTCGCTCTAGGATGCACCATTCCCCATTGCCATGATTCTGGATTCGTGAACTCGCTCAAGCCATGCTAGGCACAGTCGCGCGATGGCCCAGGACGCAATGAGTCCACAGGCTGCTTCGGCGCGGTGTCTTTGATAACTCGAACAGGTACACCATCGAAACACAACGGGTGAAGGTTGTTGACAGCTACCTGAGCGCTTCCGGAGCGATCGCAGGATGAAGCACAATGCGAGCTTCCTCGACTCCGAATACTTCGCACAGTAAACGATACAGCTACTCGATATTCGATTGGTATGTTGCTTGAAGAGTTCTCGGACACATAGAGGCAGGAAAAGGTGAGGGTATCAAATTCGAGCGAAGCATGTTTGCCCAAGAGTCGCGGAAGGGGGGCTTTCTCAAACGCGATCGGTCAATCTGCCGTGCGGCTCGTGAGACTACCCTCAGCTTGTACGGTCTATCCTCGATCTCTGTTGGCGGCCGTGCTTATGTGCCAAGCAGAGTCGAGCGCACCTGTTAGGTCTGCCTGCAAAGCCGGTCGATAGATACCACCGATTGAGGAACAAACTTTCGCCAGTCGCACTCGACCGGTCCCATCAGCTTTAGAGCAGATGGACTGGCGGTACCAAGGCGCAGCCGAGGCCCTTGGAGCTGCGTCTTCGGATAACCACACGCGTTGATGTTGCGCGGGATATCCATACCAACGACAAAAATAACTGAGTAGAGTTGCACAGATAGCACCCAAGGTACCATGGGCCAACGACCCAGGAGCCGTGGCTTGTCGCGAGGTGGTTGATCATTTGGGCTGGCCTCATCATCGATGGTCGAGCATTCGGAAGACAGACGTGTTTCTAACAAAACATTCTTCATCCTGGACGCCGCAGCCCAAAGCCAGTCGAGTAGCCCGATCGTCGCCGTGTCCTTGCATATCGGCAATGATGCGTGCAGCAGCATTACAAGACATTTCCAGCGGCGAGGCAGCCGATGGGAGCTGCCGATGGGATTCCAAGGGACGGGGAGGTGACTCACTCCGACGATGATAGGGATGCGGGCTCCTGGAGGGTTCCGAGACAGTGTTGGGTGCCGAGCCAGTTTGGGAGGAGCGATTGAGACTAGCGTCGGCGAGCACGGCGAGCCTGTCTAGAGGGGAGGCTTGTTGGACATCTGGAGTTGGAGTAAGGGTGAGCACCGGCGGGAGCAGCGAGTCCCCGAATTTTCTCTTGGATGCTAGGTGCTCGTTCTCCGTCTCGGACGAGAAGCTCGCCTTGCCAAAGTGTTCTTGTAGCGGGGGCAATTGGGTCGGTGATGGTTCGAGGAGGATGGGCGTGTTGAGGATGGGAGCGAGTGTCGTTATGTTTGACGCACTGGGCGAGCCCTTGCTGCCTTCGTCATCGAATGATCGCAAGTGTGCGTCCACCTCTCCATTCGATACGCCCTTGCTGACGAGCAGGGCGCGCAGACGAGTATTCTCGGTCGCGAGTCGTGAATTCTCAAAGGCAACGTCTCGAGCAGCCTTTTGCATCTGCAAAGAGGCCTGAGTCCCCCGCTTCTCGTAGTCCTGGACCTTGCGCTGCAACTCGTCGACGAACTCTTTATGGCGGGCGCGTGATCGTCGTTGATTATCGCGTATTCGAATGGCATTCGCCGACTTGTCGGTCTGGAGCTGTTGCTCGAGTAAGAAGTCAGTTTTCGTCGTCGTCGAGAGAGAAGAGATGAAATTTTAGCTGAAGTCCAAAGAAGTTTTTTTTTTTTTTTTTTTTTTCCTGGCATGTCACCCGGACCCCGGTAAGGGAACAGGAATCACACAGAAAAGAGGTTCGACCCCATCGACTTACTCGACCACGTTTAGCCCTCTTAGCTTGAGGACCGAAAAGATCTTGATAATCTTGCTCCGAAGACATGGTGTTGACTGTTGGCCTGTTCCATCCGAAGATCCCGGGAAGGTATGGACGCGGAGACGAACATTCGGTGGGCGGTGAAGCAGGTTTAGAAAAACAACCTGCTGTGATTTTTTTTTCGTGGTGGTTGGATGGTCGGGGGGGTGGGAGGTGGTGACAAACACCATGGAGAAAAAAAGAACAAAAAAAAAAAAAAGAAAAAAGAACCAACCCGCGTCGGCCAGCAAATCCGCTCGTTCTGGTCTGCCGATGACTAATATCACCAACCAGCCAATCCGCGCCTACTTGTCTGAGTTTTCCGCAGGCGCTAAGATCTGATTGGCAAATCAGACGAGCTTCACGTGTGTCCACAGCGGGTCTAGTGGGGGCCCAAGCTCCATGGCCCCAAACATGGCATTTCTCACTTTTCACTCTCACTCTCAGCTTCTCAGTGAGTCTCACTCTCACTCTCACTCTTCTGCCCTCCCGTGGCTGGGCTAGCATGTCTCTCGGTGCAACCTCCGACCACTCATAATCAGGGACGGCAGCCACTGCATTGTCTCGTTGGAGTAGTCCATGACGGAAGAGTCTTGAGAGTCCAACAGACACTCGAGAATGTCCCGGGCATTCTGAGACCGAAAACCGCTGGGTCACGTTGCTGTTGCGCGCTCTGGATTGACGAATAATTCGAAAAAGGCCTGGCCCCATGCCTGCTAGTGCGGGAAGCTAGGTAATTCACTTTTTTACCCTCCCTTTTGCCCTACCAATTCTTGAATGTCACTGGGGACATGCTAGTCACGCTCCTCTTACGACATCCCATGGGTCCGTCTAGGTATCTCGTCTCCATACGCGCGCCAAGTTGCAAGGATTCATCGTGTGGAGTTCAGGGTCTCGTTCTATGGATAGAGCTGGCTACCGTGAGTGGAACCATTCTATCAATGAACGAGTTTTGGTCAACTCATCCTGTAACGGGGAATAAGTGAGTGATCACTAAACCGAAGATGCAATCGGTGACACGAGCTCGCCATCTAAGGGAGTCGGGTCTGGAACTATTTCTTCGTGGGTTAAATGGGAAACTTTACGGGAGCTACATTCTTTGGGTCCTTCCATCTAAGCCCCCTGCTTACAGCTCAGTAGGGCTGGTCTCCTCTCCCGGCGACAGTCTCCCTTGAATACATGTGTCCAACAAAGAGTGACTTGTTCCTAAGTACAATCCTCGAGTACATCGGCAATCCGCGGGCCAAGTTCCCAAGCTTAATAGCCCCCAAGAGGCGCTCAGACAACTCTCGGGTACGTGGGCAGTGCACGTCTACCGGCAGACTGGGAAGGGATGGACGCAAAATTGGGCCCGAATTTGTTACAACAACAATACATCCTCTTCCAAACTGAGACAATCTCGAGGGAGTATTTCCACCTTTGAGCACCCCCCATCATTTCTGGGCTATCAAGCCAAAAGATGGCATGACGGATCTACAACCGCTGGCATAGTGGATCTCTGGGGTCGTAAGTTTGATGCTGTCAACCTGGCCAGACCGTCTGATACCAATGATCTCGTGAATAGAAGAAGACCCTTAATCGCAGCTCCCTTCTATAGCGCTAAAGCGTGTAATTCGCAACGTCCCACTAGATAAGATAAGCCTGTACATGGAACCAGAGAATTGAAGATGTAATCATTCCGCCTCGACTTGAAGCAATGAGAAATTCATACCGCACGTGCCGTTCAAAGTCTAGCGGTCTGTTACATGTCTACGAGGCAATCGCCTATGGTGCGTCCGCTTGATCAATACATGACGCCAATCCCTTGTTTATCTTGCAATGGTTATTGTTGCTCATGAAACTACGGTTGTGGTCTACGAGCAAAGCTAAGGTATGCCAACCTGAAGATGATCCAACAATGAGCAAAGGGTGTCCATCAAGTTATGTATTCTCAGTGTTCATTCTTCGCCTCAATCAAAGGGGTTTGAAAGATACCTGCATACATAGACGGAGATATCGTGGGAGTGGAGGCAATAAAACTGTGTCTTATCCCACCGTTTGTTGACTGAGAGCCTATGTAACACGAGGTCTTGCAGATCTCTCAGTCTTCGGCCACCCGAGACACCAGGCCTCGGCCTTTGGGGGCATCTAGAATGACACACGGTCTGAGGTCGCACCAAAACCTTGACTGAGACTTTCCAAGAATACACGTAAGCCTTTTACTCACTCAGAAGCAACGCGTATCCGAGGCCGGAAGCTGCCATTAGATTTTGAATCGAATGTAATTCCCATAGCAACTCATGGATAACCTAGTGGCAAATGTGAAGAATGGTGCACACCTAAATCAGGGTTACAGTCGATGTTGTGCAAAGAAATATGGTGGGAGCAAAGTTTTAGTCGAGATGGTTTACGAGGGTTGATGCGCCAATTCTGCCATTGCGGAGCTAAGGTTTACGAGGGTTGATGCGCCAATTCTGCCATTGCGGAGCTAATCGCAGGACTAAATACGACGATTCGTGTATCGATCATGGCGTTTTCTTACTGAGCAGCGGTCAAATTCATCCAAAATTGGAAATTTCCGGTATACATGTCAGTATGGAAACCTCCCGACCCATACGAAGTTCAGCAAACGTATGTTGAATTAGGTATTCTAAGATGGAGGGAGGAAGAAATAGGAAGCGCATCAATCACTCCGAGGAGGACCTAAGTGGGTAGGAAGGCCATTTTCCACCACGCATTACATATTTCACATTCTTATTGCCTATAGACATCATAATACAATTCTTCTATCATTTGCCAGTCAGTACAGTATGACTGGCAGCAAACGGCATGCTTGTGGAAGGCTTTGGCTCATCCCTTCCGTGGACACAACAAAACATGAAATCCTTTAAACACAAAACATGCAGATTCTAAATGGATGTTATACAATTACTAAAAGAAAAAGATATCTAGAAAACTTCTCCTAAAAGTTCGGGCTAAGGGGTTGAACCCTGGCCTTATGAAAATCCCACCCCCCTAGGGAATTTTCTGCTCTGTATTTAACCGCTCGGCTATGGCGCTCCCGGGGCGTCCCCCAGGGCTGGTAAACATTGAGAAAAAGAAGTTGTAGATAGAGGGTTTGGATGGGCCGTGTGTGGTTGCCATCCAAGTGAATGAGGCTGTAGGTCAGGTGGCTTGGATGTTGGGATGAAAATGGGGACCCATCCAGAATTCAAATTTGTCAAGATAACTGTTCAATTACACACTCGAGCGTCCAGAATACTGCTAGAACAGAAAATAATATCAACGAGGAAGGTGATATAGGCTTTGTGGACAGCCCTTGGCCCCTATCACCCACCTACGTCCCTTCAGGGCCACTTACCAGGAGGTAGAAGTGGCTGGGCTCCGACGATTTCTTCCTTCCTTCCTGCTTCACAGCGCAACCATACTCACTGTTGTATGATTATTAAGCTTACCATCGGCTGACAGATTGCTCTGCTGACATGTATATCATTGAATATAGGCTGAAATAGTGACCATATCTTCGATGCCATCACTGGGACGTACTTCGATATACACTGTATGGGTGTGGTAATGGTGAAAAGGGGGCAATCATGCGGGAGGTTGCGTCCCGTTATATTTGTTCTCTTTCTCCATTTGCTGATGGTGAAATAGTGACCATATCTTCGATGCCATCACTGGGACGTACTTCGATATACACTGTATGGGTGTGGTAATGGTGAAAAGGGGGCAATCATGCGGGAGGTTGCGTCCCGTTATATTTGTTCTCTTTTCTCCATTTGCTGATGGCTCGGGCAACTCTCGACAAAGCGTTTTATTATGCATCACGGACAAACAGGCTTGGGATATCCAAGTCCTTTGCAGGTTGGGAGATGTGTTAATAGCATGAATCAAGGCAAGTTACTTAGTGTTAGTAATTATTATGGAATTGTGGAGTGCTGTGATCGACACACAACTACTTCTAGGGGTCAATGTGGTACTTATCCATTTGACTACGTTCGAAGGGCTGGTTATTTGCGGACGGGGGTATGAAGTAACCTGACTTGGTAGAAAACGTGAGCTCTCAGTGAGACCGCCAAGCGGCGATGACTTTATGCTCCATGCTCCGGCCCTACTGAAGCTTTTGAATTAATCCGCGGAGGTTTCAAGCAAATGCCGGAGATGACAGCACACACAAACAAACATACCCACACTCTAGTCAACATTTGGTTGCCATATTTATCTAGATTACCTACTAAGTACCTATCATAACTTCATAAGGTCTTGAGATATAAGTCACATTGATGTGAATGATAGAAATCTGAACTGCGGTAGAACTATGAACAAAATGCAAGATAACTGCATGTGTAGCATCATCTTCCCAAGGCACTTGGGGCTGGAACTTGTATTACCTCCAACACTTTGTTGCCCCTCATATGAGGCATCGTATGAACTTGATATATGTCTCGGGGCGTGAACATTCACGTCAGCTCCGCAGCTTCAAGAACAGGATTGTGCCAGGTCAGGGAATCAATTTGGGTGAGTCAAAAAACTCATTACCGTACTAGTAAGGTAGCCTACGGATCGAGCCTGGAAATCGGGGAACGATCGGGCTACTCGTGGCTTAAAGCTTGATTGGACTCATCACACTAACACCCTTCGTCAGCTGATAGTTTGAGATAAGGGAGGCGAGCAAGATATGATCTTTTTGAACTTGATACGATTAAGGCGGCAAAAAGCCACGACCTAGATCGCATTGCACACAAACGGAAGTGGCCGAAAGACCGGGCTAGAACCCCTGATTTAGTTCTTGGTAGCTGGAATAAACTTCTCTGTTATCAACCTGATCCACTTGATAGATTTGTCGAGGTTGGCGGCATGGGGAAGCTAGAAGAGGCGCGAGTATCTTCTCCACGATCGTATCGGACAACCGGGCACGAGAATTAAACCTTCATTCCGAGACTACAGCCTTTGAGGGTTGGGTTGATTATTCAAATGCTCAGCTGAATACCTACAGTCACCGACCACGGAACCTCCTACAGAGGGACAAAAGCCGAAAGGCTAGCCTTATTGAGCTTTGCCTCGATGACATTGGTGGATCGGAGGAGGGCCCGGGTCTTGGAGTTGAAGTCTTCTTTACGGGTAAGGATAGACGCCCAGGGCCAGGGGGGCCAGCTGCTGCCAAAGGAGTAGTGCCATACGGGTTTCCGGATCGAGTTTACACCCCGTCAAGTCTACTAATCAAGGCATAGATAAACCCTGGACACAGGGTGGTGTCATCCAGGCTCGGCTGTTGGCGTTTTAGCCTTCGACCCTTCGATTGTAGCCCGCGCCCATATCTATGGTGAACACGATCATATGTTCGAGTCAATTTGCCCTCTTACCTCCGCTAGTCCGGATAATGATGGAGGATCAGCAGGTGGTTGCTTTATGTAGCACAAACTCACTTGATGGATGAAGTCAGAACATGAGTTGAAAATAATTTGAACTAGGAAAGATTTCGACACTATGGCCTCCTTGCCATTTGTCCGTGATCCTCCCGTCCACAGAGACCTTGGTTAAGGTCTGGTATGGCGGCACGAAGGTCTAGACAAATGCTTGAATAATATGGATTGCCTAAAGAAGGAGCTGGAACCGGCTAAGGTCTTAGATTTCACATGTTGTACATGCCTCGTTGCATATTCAACGGATGCGTACGCAGGACGGTTGATCAGATAAGATATCGTCCAGTCCCACGTTCCAGACGCATTATACACAGACAAAGTCCAGACTAGGAAGAGCCAGCGAAAAAGTGCCGAAAACGAGGGGAGCCGTTGTTATAACAAGTGTGAAGATGGATGAATTATACTCCTCGAGGTAAGGTAGTTCTTGAGCCTGTCAATAATAAGCTCGGTTACACAAAACCGGTCTCCATGTGTCCCCCTCAATCCCCCTCTGGAATGCGACATTGTCATTGCCGCAGGAATGGCACACCCCGGAATCTACCAAGCGGTTACACACGTTTTCGGTCAGGACTGAGGAGGGGAAATCCAGCTGACGGATGCCGGGTGCGTTTAAGCGTGCTCGGCAGCCGTACACAGACAACGCGCTTGGAAGGGTTTCGTAACTTTCGTTGAAGATTTTCGTGCCTCTGATGAGATCAAATCCACATCCGGTCGCATGGCATCATATTGGGTCCCGGAAACACTCGGCAAAGTCGGAAGTCCGTCATAAGGATACCGTCGAGCTCAGAGAAAAGGTCTCGGTCCTGAACCCATGGTACGCAAGTTCGTAGTCACCTTCTGTGATTGACTGGCTCTACGAGGCGGTCGGTTGGCAGCACTTGAATCTTCAAGCTTAGGTGGTGGGCAAAATCAAGAAGCTGCACAGCCTTGTTGAGCTATGGATGGGATGCCGTGATGGGGCCTGCCCTTGAGGTTATCGTCAGTCTAAGTGAAATCTCTTTTCCCAGAACTTTGGTTCAACGGCAATTCCTCTCGTTACTTGACGCCGGCTTTTCCTTGCGCCAAGAGGCTTCGTTGGCATCATCGGCAAGTCGCTGGCAAAGGGGAAGAGCGTACTTACACATCAAAAGAATGGAATGGCTCGCGTTGCGGTGCCAAGCGCGAGCCATGCCCCGAAACGTGATAATACCCGGCCCCAACACATTCTTGAAAGGGATGCTCGAGGCCTAGCGGCCGATCCGACATGGAGTCGACAGGCCGCCACAGTCTAAATCGGAGCTAGTCGTGTCTCTGAGCTATGGTCAAGCTCGACTGTGCCTTCGGCATCTACTGAGGCGCAGAATGGGGCGTAGTCGGAAAAGAGAGAGAGCGAGAGAGAAAAAGAGGCTTAAAGGCATTTTTGAGCCGCATTCGGTTAAACCGCTTCTCGTTTCCGCCAGCACCAGAAGACGGATGGCGAGCCTCCCTCGGCGGTCTTGCCATGTCTGCTTGGCCTGTCGATTTCCAGAAGATGGAAGACGTCCTCGTGAAGGCTCTCAAACTTTAACTAAGCGAACGACCGACCAATCCACACAGACTTCAGGCCTCTGCCCGGCTCCGATCGTCCCCTCGATTCAGATTCTGGGGCGTTGACCGCACCTCAGCCAGAGAAGTGGGAACCTACCTGCAGGACATCTTTCCGCGGGCATCTGAGACTTTGTCCCTCAGTTCAGGGTCTAGCCGTAAAGTTACACCAGGAAACCATGGCCTTTCCCACCCAAGGCAGTCATAGGTCGGACGGAAAACGTGGGATACCGCAGAAGCGTGCGAGTGATGACACTTGAACACGCCCACCCCCTCCCCCCCTTCTCCTCCCAGCGTCAGGCAGTCTTTCAGATGACGGCCCCAGTGGTCTGGGCCGACTTGTCCGCACCCGGAAGGCTACTTTGCCATCTCCGCCGTGGCTTGCACGACGACGCCCCGTCCTCCCCGGCGGCTGATCCGAGCCGTGCCCTCATCCATATTTGTTACCCTTCCCAGGTATTTCCCCCTCTCATGGTTGCACAATTTTCTCTCGATCCTTCTTCTGCCCAATCTCGCACTGCTGGTCTTCCCGACTTTGGTGTTCACCGGAACGCACCCCCACGAGTCCTTGGACGCCTTCACTTCCGTCATGATTTGATCACCACACAATTTGATACCACAGCGAAAACCACATGATTGTTGCGATGAAGCCATATCTTATTTTACTATCTTTCTTGGCAAGCCTGCCATTAGTGTATGGCCTTTACGATGATGTGCCAGATTGCGCAGTAAGTGATTCCAGAATTAAATCTTACTCAAAGGTGTTGACAAGTTACCCAAGTTACCATGCCTATTCGAACCCCTCGACTACACATCGTGCCAGTTCAGTAATTCGACATGTCTCTGCGAAGACATGAACTATAACATGGCCGTAATTCATTGCGTTCGGGTCCAGTGCAGCGTGCAGCAAGCTTTGAGTAAGAATATTATAGCTGTTGGTCGAAAGATGCCGGGAGATGCTAACACGAGCCTGCTAGTTACGAAGAATCGAACATGGCAAGACTGCGGATTCGCTTATCATGATGAAGGTGTTTCCATCGCATGGGTCCCGTCATTTCTCTTCGGAATGGTGACCTTATTTTTTGCCATGCGGCTGGCGACGAAATGGATAGGTTTATCGACTTGGGGTTTGGACGATACAACCATTACCTTTGCATACGTAAGTCTAGCGGAGCGGCCCCGACATGAGGTCTCAGCTAACCTTTGCATTCAAAGGCAATGATGATTGCGTTCTTGGTCGCGACACATCTTGGACGGCAAGAGGGATTCGGAAAAGACATTTGGACGCTCACAGTGGACCAGATTACAAATTTCATCAGGGTAAGTTCGGGAGCTCAACGACATCTAGAACATAACTGACTCGCAAATTTAGGGCTTCTTCGCTTTTGAGATTGTCTACTCTGTGACCCTTGCAGTCATCAAAGCGTCGATACTATTTCTCTACATACGCATCTTCGGAGCACTCACCGAGACTTTCCGCCGAATCTTGTGGGCGACGCACATCTTCAACATCATTGTATGCGTCACATTTGTCATTGTCAACTTGAACCAATGCAAACCTCTCAGCTACTTTTGGTTTGGATGGGATGGCAGACACCCCGGTTATTGCATTGATTTGTCTGCCATGGCCCTCTCTCATGCGGCCATCAACATCGCTCTTGATCTCTGGATGCTGGTTTTGCCAGCCACGCAGATCTATAGGCTCAACCTGCAGAAGAGGCAGAAAGCCGGTATCATGTCTATGTTTGGCGTTGGCATCTTGTGAGTTCAGCCACCCACGTTTGCTATTTTGTCTTTCGACTAATCTGTATGTTACAGCATCACTATTGTCAGTGCTGTTCGCTTGCGCAGTGTAGCACAGTTCAACAAATCATGGAACCCAACCTGTAAGTTAACGTAATCCTTGATTATCAAAGTCCATCTCGCTGACTTGTGATTAGACGACTTCTTTGGCCTGGCACTCTGGTCCCACATCGAGCTTTGCGTTGGAACAATCGTGGCATGCATGCCGGCAGCCCGAGCTCTCGTCCGACGACTCTTCCCCGAGCTCCTTTACGTCACCAACATCTCCACGAATAGAACTTCCACCAGAGCTTCCGGCAACGTCAAGATTGTGTCCCAGGACATTGCAACCATCGCCACGGATGATGTCCCCGAGAGTTCGACAGCGAATTCCACGAAGAAGGATTCGCTCGCCACCCTGATTCCCGATAGAGTCCCGCTGAGGCGACTGACTACGAGCGATAGCTTGCTGCAAATTTCTAAGAGCGATCCTGATCGCTCGTTATACGGAGACTCGCAGAAAGGAAGCAGCAAACTCAGTGATTGGTAAATGTCTATTTGGCTACATGTATTCATAAACAACAACGTTGGTGGTAATGTGATTGGCAAAGGAGTGCGAAAAGTATCGATAATACCCTGACTGTACCGTAAAGCAGATTGATATTTAGATTTCTTTGGAGCGATGTATTAAGATGCAACCCACATCATGTAAAATACTTAAAAAAAGCAAAAAAGAACACACAGGTCTATTCATCTTAGATGCCTAGGATTTCTGCGGCGCGGGAGATTGCAGATGCGCTCTTCTCCACCCACTCTTGGGCCTGCGTCTCATTGCCGGAGCTCAGACTGTCCTGTACGGCGGGGAAGACGTCGGCGCCGTAGCCGTTATCGAGACCGGGAGCACTTATGACATTGTTGAATGTCGGGCGTCCAGGGAGACCGCCGGCGCTCGCAAAGCCACGCGAGAAGTCTCGGTACTTGCTGTTGATCACGTCGATGAGGACCGTGTCGTTGAAAGCGAGGGCTTGCTTGGCCACTGTGGCGATGCGCTCGGCTGCGGTCTCGAACTCGGTAATCGCGTCGTCAATGGGTGATAGACTTAGGCTGGGATAGTCCCCGGCGATGGTCTCATTGAGATCCTCGTAATGGTTTCGTAGCACGCGTCCGGCATTGGGCAGATCCCAGGGGATGATCACATCATCGGCGATATGATATGCGATCAAGGTGAGCCACTGGCCCATTGCCCGATGGATCTTGAAGCCTGGGTCTCCAAACTTTGCCATCCAGGTATACGAATCGTAGTGTCTACTCTCCATTAGTCATATGCGTCATTGAAATCACGTGAATGACTTGGTATTACCCGTGATAATGGTAGACCGGGTCAGTTTTGCCCCCATCGGATCCGATGTCGATCTTGCTTATGTGTCAGTCTCACCTATCTCAACAGCGGTACTTTAGAAGACTTACAGCACTAATGCCATTGTGGTAAAAGGAAGCATAATCGCTGCCACTTCCCAGAGGAGCAATCTCACCCTCAGTAGTATTGAACCACATGTCGTACAAGGTTGGTCCAACACCCCAATCTTCAGGGAAAAGAACCTTCTTCATCATTTCAATGGCGACCGTCTGGATCTCGCCTGACCCAGAAAGAGCAGTTCGAGGACCCGAAACAGCGAAATCGAGGTTCAAATAGGCGACAGCGTTCGTCACGAGCCAAGGCAGATGACTTTCGACCCATTCAGTCGACCCTTGCAAGCCAAATTCTTCAGCATCCCAAGAGCCCAAGATGCTAGAAGTCGAATCAGTTTTGCTCCCTCGCATGAACAATAAAACACAGAATCAGCATACATACATCGTACGACGGGGCTTCCATCCCTTATCCAGAAGCTTGCCGAAGGCTTTGGAAAGCTCTATGAGAACTGCAGAGCCCGAGTTTGGATCCGCTGCACCCCCAATAACCCAAGCGTCGCGGTGATTCCCGATAATGAGGACTTCGTCGGGATGAGTTCCATTGATGACACCAATAACATCCCAAGAGGGAGCAACCGTCTGGTTCATGAAATGGACCATATCAAGGGTGGCACCTGGTGTTGGACCGCTGCTGTAAGTGATGTTCGGCAGTGCGCCAATCCAGCTGCTGCGGTTCACCTGCTCAGCGGACAAGCCGCTTCCATCAAGAGCGGCGAGCAATGGCACCGCATCTTTCATGCTAATGGGCACAGATGGAATGGTTGGGTTGTAAGGAGTCACATCATTCCTGGGGCCATCCTTCTCTGATGCATATCCGACTGTAGAAGGATCACCTGAGTACAGCGAGGAGAAACGGACACTGCCTCTCTGAATCATAGAAGGATTTCTAGCTGGGCCATCTAGAGTCATCCAATGTCTTAGCCAAGTATGTCTTTGTGGAACCTAACGTACAGGGCTACGATATGGACTAACCTGGGTACGCAAGGTAACCGTTTGCAACGGTAATTTCTCCGTCATCAAGAGGGTCGGTGAAAAGAACAGCCCCGATCATGCCGTTGTCCTGAAATGTCAATTTTCTCTAACCATCCCGCAGATTGAGTAAGACATACCTGTGCATTCTTCACTTTGGTTCCTCTGTAAATCGCACCGTACATGGACAGCGCGATCTTGCCTTCCAATTCGATTCCAGCATCTTTTAAAGCCTGGAAGTCTCCGCGTTGTCCGCGACTGCATCTTAGGGTCAGCACCCTTGAAAGCAGTTATTTCGTGGGTCTCAGTTCAACATACCCGACGTAAACATATTCGGCGCTAATGTTGCCGCTTCCGCTCATCGCATGGTAGGCCGGAATTCGGTTGGGATAGCTGGTAGTAGGATCCTCCTCTAGCATGTCCTCAATTAAACTGACATTGTGGACGCTTCCATCTGGTCTATTCAAACTCAAGGTAGTCTCAAGAGGAGCAGTATACCAGATCCAATATTCCTCAATGGAAGCATCCCAGCCAGCATCGATCCACTTTTGTTGCGTCCACTCAGCTAGAGTTCGGTTGTGTCCGCCAAGATGATCTCCAGACGTATAGTAGTGAGACCATTCGTCGAGCGATTTGCTATCAAAGGAGTTCACAAGTATAGACTCATATTCCGTGAGAGAAGGTGGGTATTCCACTGCCATGTCTCGTTTCTTGTGACCATGATCGTGGTGACTGTGGCTCTCGATGCGGCGGTTCAGCGCGGCCCAGTCACGCTGACAAGCGTAGACACTTGTGACCGTCAAGGCCAATGACAGAAGAGATTGTCGCATAATGGAACTATCGCGGTATTCCCTCGATTCACTTGATAATATCGGAGATCCAAAGTTCTTGAATGATCAAGTCATTTGACTTTTAAACATGCAATTTTGAGAATCATCATTTGCTCATCACATCATGAGCCCCTCTTACAAAGTTCAAAAGTTCCATAAGCAAGCAGAATCAAGGCAGAAACGGAGGGAAGACCATTGAGTCTTCTACGACCAATGCCATGGGCCAATCTCACTTGCAAAGCCCGCATTGTCCGCATCTCATGGTGCCTACGTGACATCCTGCGAACTTCCTATCTGGCGTAGCGTTCATGTAATGCAACGTGAGCCAGCGTTGAATGAGCCGAATTCAAGCAATAAGACTGCAGCTTATATCTCCGGAGGATTGGCTGGTGGTGAGGGGTAGTATGAATTTGGTGATCTCAAGCGTGGGGTAGAGCTTGGCGTACGTAGTCACGCGCATGATGAGTTGATTGGCATTCTTTCTTGCAAAGATACCATCGGTTATGTATGCTCAAGAAACCGAAGGGTGAGCTCGGAGTGCTCGGGATACTTCAAGCCGTTATCGGAAATCTTGAACCGCTGGACTCGATGTTTGATGAATGATTATTGATCCGGAATGTCCGGGTTATCCATGATAGCGTGATTCGTGACATTGAATTTTCATCCAGTGTGAACCAACAAAGCAACTTGGAGAGCTAGTTCTTGAGGATGGCTTTCCTCCGTCGAAAGTTAGTCTTTCCTAGTCAGGACTCAGGCCAGAGGCTACAACTACAAGCCACGACCAAGCGCCACACTGGGCCGGCCGAAAAGTCCACCGAGCGCCACGGAGCCTAGTCTATCCAGTCTTTGATGCAAAGATTATAGGTACTCGATCATATGTGAAGATCAGATTACTGTAAAACACAGTACCCAGAGCTACTGCAGGAACAGACATGCTCTGAGGGAATGAGACACTAGACGCGCAATGGTGGTGCATCGAGAGGGAAAGGTGTGAGTTTCAAGCACGATCTACTGCTGAGAGTCCAATATGTATAAATTTCGGAAAGAAAGAGCTCAATCACGGGTTCTGTATTGCGCAAAGTGAGTGACCCAGTGAGAAGCTTACCATTCATTAGCCATCATGAGATTCATGAGTGAGTGAGAGATGAGCGAGAGGCCTCAGAAGCCAAGGGTCCCAAGTTTGAGCGGAGTTTCCCCGGCGCACGTCCCGTTCCAGGCATCCTAGCTCAATCCCGAGGTACTTGAAGTCACTGCCAATTTCGCCCACACGCGAAGTAGCCTCGGCTAAGTCGCCCCGCCAGCTGCACTCCAGCTGCTTCTCCGCTTCAAAGCGTCATCGCCCAGGAGCTCCAGCTCCAAGCTCCCCCCAAAGCTCCGAGAGCTCCATCAGATCTCACGCGATCCACCTCCCATCTGCAACCAACGTCTATCCAGTCATTGGATCTCCCCTTATCAACACACACACACATCTCGATTCTCAGCTGGCTGGTTTCGTTAATCGTCTTATCGCCAGAGCTTTATCAACAGGCCCTCATCACGCAATCGCCCGTCATGTCGGAGAAGGCGCCGCTTATCCCGGAGCCGGAGCAGGGCGTGTCTTACGGCCGGCCCAAGCGATGCCCGTACGCCCAACGGTGCTCTGCGGGTAGAGCTGTTGTCAAGGTCTTCGTCCTGGCTACCGCTGCCGGCTTGCTATACTATAACATCCCTCAAGGTTAGGACCCCTCAGGCGATTTCGTAGACAGCTACTAAAGTTGTTTGGTGTAGCCCAGAAACCCATCCACGAGGAGAAGACGCCCGTTTGCATGACACCAGCCTGTGTCCATGCCGCCTCTGAGATTTTGTACAACTTGTCGCCGAACTACAAGGAGCTAGACCCATGCAACGACTTTGAGGAGCTTGTCTGCGGAGGATGGAGGGACCGACACGATCTCCGTGCCGACCAAGGCGATGCCTTCACCGGCACCATCATGTCCGAGAACTCGGAGCTGCTGCTTCGTCACATCCTTGAGGCTCCCTACCCCAAAGACTCCCAGGTCAGCACAATCAAACCATGGCCGCGACCTCTGCTAACCGAATTCTAGCACTCGTACTTCTCGCCCCTCCGTCTCGAATCCACGGACAAGTCCGCCGATGAGCAGAACTTTGACAAGATGAAGGCTGCGTACGATGCTTGTGTTGACGAGGACAAAATCAAGGAGATCGGCGTCGAGCCCCTCATTCAGATTCTGGACGAGATCAAGAACAGCTACCCACTCGAGGCGGCTGCCTCTGTCGACTCGAGCCCGACCAAAGACACAATTCTGCTCCTATCCCGATACGGAGTCAACGCTTTCGTTGCATCCGGCACTGGTGCGGATGACAGAGACCCCGATACTGTCGTTGTTTCTGTCGCACCTCCGTACAGCCTGGGACTTCCCTCAAAGGAGCGATACGAAGATGAGAAGCTCGTCGAGAAGTACCGCGGAGTTGCAGTCGAGGTTCTCGGTAACATCTACCCGGATGGAAACAAGGACAACTTTGCCAAGGTTGTTGATCTTGAGAAGCTTCTGGCAGCCGCCTCCCCTCCCACCGAGGAGCTCGAGGATGTCACTGTGAGTTGAAGGAACATCTCAGCACTAGAACCCGACGAAACTGACAACCAAGCAGAAAACCTACAACCCCATGCTCATCGATGAGGCATCTGCTCTTGCTCCGGAAATTGAGCTTACGGCCTTGATCCACGATCTCGTCCCCGAGGGTTTTGTCGTTGAGCGTGTCATCGTAATGTCACCCAAGTACATGACTGAGTTGTCTACAATTCTTTCCGGGACCGATAAGGAGGTCATCCAGAACTACTTCATCTGGAAGGCTGTCCAGTCCCTTTCTTCCTACGTTGACGCCGATGCTCTCAAGCCTTACAAGCGTTTCAAGAATGAGCTTGCTGGAAAGGTAAGCTTAACCTGTGCATTCGATCAGCATGATACTGATTAATATCTAGGACCCCGAGTCTGCCCCTGAAAGATGGCGTACATGTGTTGGTCACGTTGACGACGGCTTGGGCTGGATTCTCAGCCGTTTCTTCGTTGAGAAGGCCTTCTCGGCAGAGGCAAAGAAGTTCGGCGACACCATCATCACCGACATCAAGACAGAGTTCACCAAGAAGCTCAAGGCCGCTAAGTGGATGGACAAGGAGACAACCACCAAGGCCATGGAGAAGGTTCAGAACATCATCCAGAAGATCGGCTACCCGACCAAGAGCCCCGATATCATGGATCCTCCCAGCCTCAATGACTATTACAACTCCGTCGACATCAGCCCGGAGACTTTCTTCAAGAACGCACTCGCCGTTCGCAAGTTTGCTGTTGGCTACGAGTGGTCAGCCCTCGGCAAGCCCGTCGACCGGGAGCAGTGGGGCATGACGGTTCCTACCGTCAATGCCTACTACAATCCTCCCGGCAACGAAATCGTCTTCCCGGCGGGCATTATGCAGTTCCCCGTCTTCGACGTCGAAGTCCCTGCCTATATGTCTTACGGTGCCTTTGGCTCCGTCGCTGGCCACGAGCTCAGCCACGCATTCGACTCCACCGGCCGCCACTATGACCAGAACGGCAACTACACTGACTGGTGGTCCGACGCCACTGTACAAGCTTTCAAGGACAAAGCTGAATGCTTCGTTGACCAGTACTCCAACTTCACCGTCCCAGGACCGGATGACAAGCCTCTCCACGTCAATGGACGCCTCACCCTTGGCGAGAATCTTGCGGATGCCGGCGGACTCTCGGCCTCATACCAGGCCTGGAAGCGCCGTGCCCACAAGCACCCCAACAAGGATCTGCCGGGCCTCGAGCACTTCACGCAAGATCAGCTCTTCTTCGTCACGTACTCCAACTGGTGGTGTGGCATGTCTCGGAAGGACACAGCCATCAACCGGATCTATACTGATCCTCATGCGCCCAAGTGGGCCCGTATTCTTGGCACAATGTCCAACAGTCGGGAGTTCAAGGAGAGCTTCCAGTGCAAGGACAAGAAGCCCACTTGCGAGCTGTGGTAAGACGCTTTGGGGGGATCTTTTGGACATTAGCCGTCTTCTGAAGAATGGTTCTGTAACGCTTGTGTGTACAGTGTAAGACCGGTAGTCACAGAATGGAAACCACTTGTTCTCATGAAAATTCCACTGGCGAGTCACTGAATGAGGTGCGAGTGGGATTGTGATCCTTACCCCCTTTCCTGACGTTTAACTATCTGGAAAAGACCGCCATTTTTATCGTAACGCAGGACGAGCGATTCGCAGTACCTGTGCCTATACGATGATGAAAATCGAAGCTGCAAGCCATCAAGGTCATCTTCGTACATGTTTGCACATCCATCAGCGGTTACTGAGAATTGAACCAAGGTTCACGAACATTTGGTAAACCAACCCCTGATCCACCGGGGTGAGTCTACGAAACCTGTGTCTTTCACCGCTGTCCTGCTGTCAAACCGGCTCTGGACAGTGGGAGTTCCATCGCTCAATATAGTGACCCCCTGAGCTGAAGTTGGAAATGCCCGTGGACCAGTCAAGAAGTTCCTGAACATGTCCTTGATGGAGGGCACTGAGGGATACGTCTGTATGTGTCCACGAATGACAGGGATCTATCTCTTACTGCCGTTATTAAAGACAGCCTCCGTAAATCGGAGTCGACGGGATTTCAGGAGCCAAATCATATAATTTAATGTCAAACATCAGACCGCTACTACTCTCGATATGAAAAGGGCCCCCATTTCTAGAGTGCATTGTAAATTTGTATGGGTTACTCTAGCCTCAGAAAGGTATGAACATTCTGAGCCACACACCCTTGATTTTTAATTTAATCGATGCAAGATCGTACGAGCTTAACGTGAAGAGGGTTATTGTTCGAAAGAGTGTAAATAACATTCGTAAAGTACGAAGAAGAAGTACAGACTGCTCCGTGAAATTTTCGTAAGATTCTCAGATCGTCTACGAGCCTTGATATCAGTGACGCCTTTGAGGTTTGAACAAGTTATATCTGGAGTGGTTGTCTTGAAATAGCTGCGACCGTTGAGGTCGCGAACACCAACACAAATAGGAAGCCGATCATCGATGTCGTTGAAATTTCGGTGCGTATGATAGGCTGCCATGGGCGGCTGCTGACTTTGCAGCTCACATTAGCTTATCTAGCTAGCAGCCTGGCAGGCGAAGTAGAGAGCCAATAATAACCCAGAAGTGAAACTCTTACAGTTCAGAGGTTCGCGGAAACATCACTAGGTGGAACTGTTCTAGACAGCAATGTATCCGCGTTGGGTGTACCTCGAGTCGAGGGGCTCTTTGATTGTGGATACCGCGCGGGTGTTAGTGTCTGCGTTGTTCAACTCCTTGAGACAGGCCGGTCCCAGGGGTCATCGTTTCGTAATTGTCGAGGGCGCGGGATTACGGGGCGCTACCAGCCCCGTTGTATGGAGCAGCTTTTTGATGTTTCTATTCTTATTCAATGGGGAGATAGGGCTTTCAGCGCGGGCCTAGACAAGTACGCAATATCTTGTCTGGCCGTCTTTGCTCTTTGCCACATGCACCTATCTGGATTCAGATTCAGCCATGATAGGCCCGGCATTGAAACATTCAATTCCTACGAATGAAGCTGTAGGTGATCGCTTCTTGTGAAAAGTTTGGGACACTAGAGAGATGGACGTCGTAGATAGACAATTCTCTTTACCGAGAATGGCCAATATCTGCAGTTTCTGGGCTTGGCGACTGTTGGTTGATGGCTCCATCAACAGGAAACTGGGGCACTGCATATGTCTCCGGTCATGGTGAGCACATATCTCATCTCCTTCCATTGACGATAGAAATGCCGCATCAAGAAGTTCGCTATTTTGATGCCGATTTTGCGTATTGCATCCTTAGAAAGTAGGGACACTAAGACATAATGTACTCAATTGCAGTGGGCAGACGATTATCTATCTGATACCGTGGCAGACCTCTTTTCGAGCCAAGACTCTGGCGATGACTTGCCTTATTTGTCCATAGAGGTGCGGGAGCTCCCTAGCTTCCATATACGGCCCTGCCGATGGTGGTTGCATTGCAGAGTTTTCAACGTACCTTCGCGTTCTTGAGTGGTTGAATGCGTAGCATGGCGATAGATTGCCATGTCAGCCGGCGGCGATTAGGATAGATTAATCGAAGGGTGTTTAAAAAAATATCAGACCGAAAGGAATGAAGCTTATTCTATATTGCTTTTCGAAATTCAGGGCCGCGAACCCTCATCGCCCCTGCACCTTGGCTTCGCTGCACGACTCGTCGACGGTGGTCCGGCCGTCTTCTTCGTTGGGCGCCGCCGGAGGTAGCCCGCCGGAAGATACGCCGGGCCAGACCCGTCCAGTCGGGTTCCGTGCACGGAGCAGCAAGGGAGGGAGGAGACGGTACACCCGACATGGAAGGATGGCAGAGAAAGTGTTTATTGAGTCAGGGCCCAGAGGGGGGTTTACGGGTTTTGTCGGGCATCGACGTTGATTGATAACGACATGGAACACGCCCAAACCCGGTCACTTTCACATGGTTGCGAGATATTGCACCAGAATATCAGCAACCTGGTCCCAGCATTCAGGAACACAGCACGGTGACCCGGACATGGGAGACTTGCCGGCCGCATCGGGGCTTTACGGAGGCGCCACAGAATTTTCGGTCTATAGGTCGGCGGTTCAATGCTTTACTGAATTTTTAATAAGTTTTGTGAAAAGGAAAATTGGGGAATGCGTTTCTCCGTTGGCCGGGTTTTGCTTGGACTGAGGTAGGTGTTTGGACATGATCCTTGGTTGCTTTGATCTTGGAAAGGTGACGTACAGAGTAGCGTACCCTACGTCGAGAAACGATATGAAGAGGAAGCAGAAAACAAAAGAAATAATCAAAACGGTCTCCTTGGCCCTAGTCTAGCGCGCGCAAACAGGAGCCGGTAGTCCGCGGTGACAGGTTCAGGCTCCGTGGGCTAGCTAGCGGACGGATAGACAACGATGTGAAATTTTGGGCAATTTCAATTTCTACGTACAGGCGCCGGATGATCTGCAACTTTGCATGTCTTGGTTCTTGGACTTGCTTGGACAACCGACGAGTTCCAATACTGCCAAGAAGACTCCATCAATAGAACGCTCCACAGGGGATGTCACGGTGTAGATACAGCAAATGTCCCAGGTTGCCAGGATGATGAGGAATGTTGACGGATGGCTGATGGATGATTCAAGGAGAGTCGTCGTTGACGATGCAACGACTAGTTCTCGGTGGCCGGAGTGGACGGACAAACTTCTTTCTCAAAGGAGAAAAGTGGTGCGGATGGAGGCCCGACGCGTCAACAATCACTTGGCGGCGATGTTCACCACTGAGATATGGAGATGAGGAAAGGCGGTGCATCGACGCAGGCCGTGCGATGCTATAGTCACCGCTTGGTGTTTCTGCTTGTTTCCCTCTGGCAGCCTTTTACAAATACACACCACCTAACAAGTCTCTCAATGTGCTGGTTGAGTGGGTAGTAAACTTGGCAAGTGAGGCTCTCGCCAAGAGGTAGTGTCCACTGCCACGGCGGGAAGGTAATAGTTGATGAGTCCGTCGCTCTTATCATCGACATGGACCCTCTTCTATGATGCGGCGGTGCATTGCCAATGCTGCGAACACGGCAGTGAATGCAGCCGGGCAATGCTTATCGTCGCACCGCGGGCGTTGAGCCGGACGTTTCGAGGTACGCCTTGGCGATGCGGCGGCGGTGTCGCAGTCGTAGTGTAGATGTGATCGTCCTGCGCGCTGGCTGGCTGGGATGCATTACAACAGTAAGACAGGAAGACAAGGCCGTCTTGGACTCCGTTGACCGATTGTGGGCCGCGACTGAAGCGCGATGTGGGCTAGGGAGAAAGGCAGCAGATGGGGATTTTCCTACTTGGCGCTGGGCGTTTTGGTAGATCATGTCACCCAATCTGGCCAAGAGATTGAGCAAGAAGACGAAGCTACCGGAACGGGTTGATGCAGATGCAGATGTGCAAACCCACCGGCGCCCTATTGAAAGCCAAGTCAGCAAGCGAGGAACGTCAAAATGTGCTGGATGAGATCACATGGACAGGGTGTTTGGGTTGCTGCACTAGACTTTGCCTTAGACTCTAGAGAGATACCACGTATGTGCTCTTGACTTGCCTCTATTGGCGATGTCCCGTTCGTGATGCATCATCTTGGCGTTCCATACACTTTTTGCTTTGAGAGCTTCATTGGGTTGCGGTGCACAATCAATCGCTCCATGGAGAAACACCGCCACTGCTTCTCTGTTGGTGTGGAGCAACCGATGGTGCTAGAACGCCAAGTTGTTCACAATGTTCGAAGAGATGAGTTGCATCACCAAGGCTTCGCTCGCGAACAAACATGAGAAAGACAAGACGCAACGCGAGCTCTAATCGGATTGTGGACACCAAAGAAGAAACAAGAGCCAAGAATTCACGAGAATAGAAACTGGCGGCTCTAGGGGTTTTGTACGTTTAGCATCTCTCATAGTGTGCTTGGTACAGCTCTCTACCGCTTTAGTACGCAGGGCCGCCAGCATTCGTCCGAATTGCTCAAGTGTTTGTGAGATGCTCCTATCCGGCATCGTGTGGTGGTATTCTGTTCAAGCCTCGCACACAGAGCGAAGGGGAATTCGACCGAGCACCTTTGAGAGACTCTGTGGTATAGAAATAAGCCAGCTATGATTTGCGGTCGCACATATGCACACCCTCTTTTTACTCAGTCTGATGGATGGATGGCCAAGGGGCCAAGACATCAAGGACCACGTTTTGTGGCGGCTGTCTGTGTGTGTGGTTTTGTCGCTCACCACTGCCCACTGCTCGTTGTCACTAACATCCGTAGGCGTGGCGGGCATTGAACAATGAATTGTCATCACTGTCACTTTAGGCTCGAACGGCACGGCTCTTTGGGCATCCAAGACGTCGATCAAGAGGCGGAGAACCATCAGCAGAAATCTTCCGTGACAAGTCATCTCTCTCTTTGTCCATCTTCGTCATCGTCCAAGCTGTCAAAAATTCTACAACCTCCGAATCGACGAGGGCCAGCCACCCATGAAGCCTCCAAGACCCGAAAGTCCAGGACCCCCGGGGGCATGAGGTGTGAGACTTCTGGCCAGGGAGGGCGCCTGAAAGGGGCAATCTGGGAGGGCAACGGGACGGGCGGCCCTCTTTTTTGACTTCTATATTAATTTGGACGGGTGGGACAGCCGCAGGCCCGACAGCGGGACAGGTACGGCGAATTTTCCAGGGGTCGTGTTGATGAAGTTTGAGTCTTGACTCTTTGGTATGGGAATCGAGAGAAGGGAATTGTTACTGATCATCCCCGTCGAGTGTCACCGTTGGCTGTTCGACGCTTATCTCTTCGTCCCCTTGAGTCCCGAATCAGATCCCTGGTCGCCTTCTTCACATGTCCGGCCAGAGCGGTGTTTCGCCCGGGTGGGTTCCGTCTCCTGAATCCCGTCAGACTTGCGCTGCCGCCGAAAATACACTAAACACTGGAGAGGGAAGAATCCGGGCTCTACGCCAGAGGATCCCCTTCACTGCAACCCCCGGCGGCCCTTCTGCTGCAGTAGACGTTCTGTGTCGAGGCTCTTCGTCGGTCCCGACACATTTTCGTGTCCATTGCAAGTGGGGGTGGATTCTCGAGTGTTTGGTTAAGGTTGAGGCGTTTTGGGCGATGAGCCATCTATGATCTGGGTGACTCGCGCCCGTCATCTAAGTGAGGCGTAGGCCGCTAACGTCTCGACCGGTGGTGACACTGAACATATTGCGGCAGGGCGATGTTTGCAGATGAACCATATGGAGCATTCCTTCAGTCTCATCACGACATACGGAGACAATTATTCGAAATGTCAAGCTAGAACCGGCCTTGGCAAAGATGCGCAGCACTTCATTACGAACGCTTCTTCTGTTCAGTGCGCGAACTGTGGCCAAGACGATAGACACGAGCTGGCAGGAGTCCAATATTGTTGAGGCCGGCTTGGCCTTTTTCTGTCTCCATTCTCACAAGTCCATGCGGCGGCCAGCAACAGCAACAGTCAGCCAGCAAACAGGGTAAAGCCAGCTGAGGGACAAATCTGCATTGCACAGGAATTTGAAAAGAAAAAAGCTCTGCATGCGAATCCCGTCATGGCTCTTCTCTCAACAACTCCCAGCAACGTGTTTCGAGGTCCAAGAGGCGGGTCCTCCCATCTCTTGGCGGCCAGAGCTCAGATCGTGAAACGAATGTCCCGACTCAGACAGCCGGGGGTCCCCCGTGAGGGACACACTTAGTTGCCCTTCCCAACTCGAGTTATGCTTGTTGCTTGCTGCAGACTGCAGCGCTGCTTCAAGCGTTGCTCTGCAGCTGCCAGCATCATCCTCCCGTGGTGGCGGCGACGGCGGCGCGGGAGGGAGGGAAGGGAAAGGGAAGGGCGGACCGCAACGAAAGAAGCGCGCCGCGCGTGCGCAGACGCCCCCTTGGACTCTGACGTGCGTCACGGTGCGTGTCCTACCTGAATATCTCTGATGGGCGCCACGAAATCTGAGATCGGATACGTATACTTCCTATCTTGCTGTTCCTTACCACAGTTGATGATGTATTCTGCTGCCTACTAATTACGAATATGTCGTCTGGTATCTGCCAAAGACGTGATGTTCCAGCCCATCCTGAGGCGAGCTTTGAACAGGCGTATGCATGGGCTATTAATATTTCCCGATTCAATACCTACCAGACACCCCTGTACCCCTGCACTGTCTTTATGTCTGCGAGTCCGTACGGACAGGTGCAGCAGGAGCAGCAGCAGCAGCAGCAGCAGCAGAGAGAGAGAGCCGCAGCTATGATGGTCCCCTCCATTTCCCGTGCGGTGCGTGGGTGATCGACGCCGAGATGGCCCCCATCCACCATTGTTCAGATAAGGAAGTCTTGAAGAATGAATCAAAGAAGCAAGCCAGCCGCGGGTGTGTGTGACACACGGCCCCTACATGCGAGGATTCGCGGCCTTGGTGTCCTGGCGGCCCCCCGATTGGCCGACCCAACCTACCTCTCATTCTCTCTCTGTGAGTATCTCATACGCACTCCTAGTCCATCTCCCGTCCTGGCACGCCTCTCTCTCTCTCTCATTGTACGCAGTATTCTTGGCACGGCTACGACCGAACTGCTGTCTTTGCCCAAGCCGTGTCGATCCAGGAGTACCCCTCGGGCCCCAAAATACTTCGAGGCTTGTATCACTTCACATCGATGGGCCTGCCCCTTGACCCTGGCCGCAGGTTCTTCTCTCCTATCAATGTACATCAGCTACCGCATTTGTGACCCTGGTCTGAGACAGGCGACGGTAGGCGCCCTTCACCATAACTCTCCTTCAACCACCAGCCTGTCCATCTTCTTGCTCGCCGTCTTGCCGGACCCACGACAGCCAACCCCTGACGTTGAGATCCTTCCTCTTCTGGTGAACGGTCGTCGCTCATCTGGGTAACCCTGTGCATGGTCGGTCGTGGGGGTACGTCTTGGAAACCCGCGAGCCGGCTGGCCGCCACCACGACTCACCCAAACGCCAGCCCACGTTTCTCGCAAAGAGCCTCACTACACGACTTCCCATTGCACCCTCACGACGCTGCACATATACACACACACAGCATCAAGCTAGGTCTTGTTTTGCAGGATGTCTTAACACTCGGCCACCAAAGCCAACGTAACCATATGCTACCGCGATGCGGTATATCGCCGCCCGCTTTGGATCTTCATATCTGTGGATCTTCCTCGTCGCTCGTCCATACCCTCCTCTCACAGCCCAATATTGCGTTCCTTGGCATGGATAGGACAGACACCCTACAGTACACGCCCTCCTGCGGGTCTCCCGTCTTAACTTCGAGCCAAATTTGGTGTTGAGACGTGCCCTCTCTCGTACCGCACAGTTGTTCCAAGGTCAGTGAGCCTCACAAACACCTGGAGGAGACAGAGACAGCAGACACATCCATTCCCCTTCTGCCATACAACCTCCACTTCTCAAACAAGGGTGGCAGAAACCAAATACGTCCAGTCTCCAGTTACCGGACTGTCTTGTCTCATACGCACACACTTTGGTGTATTTTTGTTCTCTCTTCACTCCCCCCTGCTTCTTGCTGCTACTACTGATGCCTCTCACCTTGACTTGACTGCACGTACCTGTCTCCACCAGACTGATACCCTGTTTTATCAGTCAGTCAGTATCTATTCTGAGAACCAGGGCTTGGTCTGAAGAACCGGACTCATTACGCACCCTCTCATCTTCTCCAGTCTCTCGAGATATATCATCCGGTCCAAGACCTCCAATCTTAGCATCAATCCACCGGAGCTGGAATCCCCTTGTTCAGCGACAGCAAGTGCCCCTTTTTTAGTTCTGTTTAGTTCTTGGTTCACAACATTCACCATCGTCGCCTCCATATATCAAGAACTTCATACCCCGTCTTTCCCCAGTTTCCTCTTGTTTGGTCTTTACCCACAAACCGACACTCACTCAACAACCCCATACGCGAGCGAACGACTTATTCTCTGCGAGATTCGACGTGCTTTGCCTGTATCCTGCTTCGACCGGTCACTACCAGCGAGCATACACACCATCATATAAAACAACAAAAAATAAACGCCAAAAAAGATTTCCACAATGGATCGGAGAGATCCCCAACATTCGGCGTGGACCGAGTCTGAGGTGTCGACACGCAAGAACTCGGCAGAGTGGCAGACGTCCAGACCAAACTCACCCAAGCTGGCACCGCTAGACCTCGGATTCGTCGACGAGAAGAAGGGCAAGGAGACGGAGAAGGACGGCTACAACACATCCATCACGCCCGTCGTGGAGAAGGGAACAACACCTCACGCCGCCGCCCACAGCCACCTTCGCGATGTTCCCGGCCTCGGAATGATTGACATCAACGACCCTAACCGCCCGAGGTTGGGCTGGAAGGCACGTATCCACCACTTCACCTGGGCGTGGTACACCCTCACCATGAGCACGGGAGGTCTCGCGCTCCTCATCTTCGCACAACCGCATCAGTTCCCCGGACTGAGGCAAATCGGTACCGTCGTCTATGTCATCAACATCATCCTCTTCGTCCTCGTCTGCTCCGCCATGTTGACAAGATTCTTCCTCTACCCCGGAGACATGAAGAAGTCCCTGACCCACGAGCGTGAGGGTTTCTTCTTCCCGACTTTCTTCCTGTCCATCGCCACGCTCATCACCAGCACGAACCGATACGCCATCCCCGAGAACGATGAGACCCTCGTCTGGGCCATCCAGGTCGCCTTCTGGGGTTACCTCATCGTCACGCTCATGTTGGCCATTGGCCAGTACAGCTTCGTCTTTGCCAGGCACAACTTTGGCCTCCAGACCATGATGCCAACATGGATTCTTCCCATCTTCCCCATCATGCTTACTGGTACCATTGCCTCCGTCATCGCCGACACCCAGCCCGAGATCGCGGCAGTGCCCATCGTCGTTGCCGGCCTCACTTGCCAGGGTCTTGGTCTGTCCGTCGCCGTCCTCATGTACGCACACATGGTCGGCCGCCTCATGTCCGCAGGCCTTCCCCACCGTGAGCATCGCCCTGGTCTGTTCATGAACGTCGGTCCCCCGGCCTTCACTGCCCTCGCTCTCATCGGCATGGCCAACGGACTGCCCAACAACCTCGACCCCGACCGCGATGGAATCATCATCGACGCTGGCATCATCAGGACCATTGCTCTCATGAGCGCCATCTTCTTGTGGGCCTTGGCTGCCTGGTGGTTCGGTATCGCTACCATCGCCGTCATCTCATCGCCGCCTGTTTACTTCCACTTGGGTTGGTGGGCCATGGTCTTCCCCAACACAGGTTTCACTCTCGCCACCATCACCATCGCGAACCAGCTCGGTAACGAGGCCGTGAAATGGTTCGCAACAGGAATGAGTGTCTGTCTACTAGGAGCTTACTGCTTCGTTCTGTACCACCACATCAGGGCCGTCGTTATCCAAGACATCATGTACACCATGAGAGACGAGGACTACAACGACCACTGAGCAAATTCTCGGCACAGCGGAGGAGGAAAGAGAGAGAGACTGTTTGGGAAACGGGTTGCCTGCGGCTCGATCGCAGGGTTCATCGCAGTATGCGCTTCCGCACACGGATTCGTACTTGCGCAGTCTTGGGCCAGGGTTGGCTCACTGTTCATGCTTCAATGTTCATAGCGCCAGACGAATGTCTGGGAGGTTTCTGGCAATATTTCCGCTCTGGCCGAGCGAAAGGAGTTTAATCATTTTTGGGGCAGCATATCTCATCAGCGTGCAAAAAAAGCAGCGCGCACAATTCCAAATTGGATTCTTTTTTCCCTTTTTTGAAATACCCTTCAGTCTCTACCTGACGATTTCCCTTTATCTCTCATTTTTCTCATTGATGTATCTCACGGATTGCATTCATACCATCACACATCACGGCGGGCATTGAGGGAACTGGCTTTTCTTTCCATAGACTTTTCACATAGAGATCGGACGGTCGAACAGAACACCTTTAGAGGAAACACTCGACGAGTACCCCAGATAAAATAAAACTGTGCTGCTCGAGCGCTTCTTTGCCTCCCATCCAACTCTCAGACGTGTCCTCTCCCCCTCTTCTCCTCCTCTTGTTAATGGACAACCAGACGACTCACGCAATCAGAAACGTGGTCTTCTCCCGCTTAGTCAACAACTCGCCGTCCATGACTCCATCGCAATATGCCTCCCCTACGAAACAGTACATCGTCCCGTCTCCGGACGGTCTCAGGACGTACGGGATCCGAGAGCCGAACAGTATCACCACCACGTCGCCCGGGCATGCCTTGCCCGGACCCATGCCCACGTAACCCTTCTGCGTCATATATGGGCGCTTCCCAGTCATTTTGTCCATGTTCTCACTGTAGTTAGACTGCCCCGGAATTCGTCTGCTGAACTCGTCCAAAAGCTGCTGGCGTTCCTCTGGGGGAAAGACCTCGAACGTCAGGAAGAGCATCTTGTGGCAATGCATGCAGTCCTCGTAGTCGCTTCTGACGGCTGGATCGGGTCGTTGGTACCTATAGACAGTCCCTTCGTTCCAGTACAGATCTGCCACGGGCACCCGCCACATGGCTTCCGCCTGTCTGTCACTGTTTTCGTAAATCTCGTGGCTAAATCCCTTTGCAGCTGCCTCCTCACACAAGGTTTTGATCGTCTGGAGAAGCTTGTAGCGGCATTCTTGACCTTGTTCCCACCTCCACGCGTCACCTGTTGTTTCGATGGTGTCAACGAGGATACCGCGAATCCCGAGCACGTCGCGGTCGTCCGTGGGCACAAGCTCAGTCGAGGTCCCGCCTGAAGCCTGCAAGATGCGCTGGTCTGCATCCTCGAACGCGTACAAGTAAGAATGCTCTAGGGTCGGCCTCCAGTCCGGAACCCAGGATGGCAGCCCTTCAACGTCCTTTGGGAACTGTGAGAATGAGAGCATCTCTAGACGGCCGACACGAATGAGAGCGCGAGCTGCGTCGATGAAGGTGGGTCGGCTATCCTGGGTGACATAGTCTGGGGTAATCCCCAATATATCCGCATCATTGGCAATACTGAGCAAACCGTAGATTCTATCTCGAAGTTCGGTCACTTGGGCGGCCCCATCGACGTACGCCTTCTTCAAGACGTAATAGAAGTCATCTCCCGGTCCTATGCCCTTCATGAAGTTCCGGCGCCTACGTCTCAGGGACATCAAAGGACTCAAACGTCGTTGTTGGGCCTTGAGCAGTAGCTGCCTGAACTCGCTTGTTTCAGTCGGCACGCTGAGCGTTGACATGCACCCGTCCCAGACGAGAGTAGCGAGAGGGATCAGGTCCAGTCTTACTGTCTTATACCCGCAGAGGAAGAATGGGTCGGTACCGAGAGCTTGCTCTTGGATGATCCAGACCCGAGTGAACCACACCCTTTCGTTCCAGGCAATCATCTCGTGTAAGAGGGGTTTGAACTTGGCCACGGCTTTGGCCATTAGAGGCTGATATTGCATAGTCACTGGGTCTTCTGGGTTCTCGTTTCTCATGATCCTGTGCAGCAGCGGCAGTCCCTCCTTGGTGAGGTAGCTCTCGATGTTCAGGTCAGCAGCCTCTTGTCCAATCTCTTGCAAACACTCCATAAGGGCATCGGAGTTGTTCTCTGCCGGACCCAGCCAGACGATGACCTGTTCTGCTTTGGTGTAGATCTGGGTCATGAGGGCCACCTGATTTCCCTTCTCCGCACCATCTTCCTGGTTGATGCAGATTTGGTCGATCCAGAGCGTGACGGGCTCATCTTTACGACGAATGTGTCGCAGCGCCGTGTCGAGCGAGGCCGTGACGAGCAAGCTCGCACCCTCGATGTCAATGCTGTGAGTTGCTCCCGATGTACCCCAGGTGTATGACAGCGCTTTGTATAGCCGCGGCGTGGCGATCGGGGTCGTCGAGAGGGCGCATCTCAGAGGGCTCGAGTAGTGAGACGACGCGTTGTCAGAATCACCTTCGTCTGTATTACTGGGTGCTCCGGACGCAGATGCGGATGCGGCGTCAAATCCGTGTGTCGATGGATAGAGTTCGAGAAGTCTGATGTGAGTTGATGCCGAGGGCAGGATTACCTTGTCGTCGATATAGCTGAATTCAGCAATGTCTTGCTGATCCGGCAAAGGCGGCACGGAAGGCATGGTTGCCGTCATCGTTGGGACGAAAGCCGCGGCTATGGAGGCAGACACAAGGGAAGCCCATGCACGATCAGTGAAGGGTGTTTATCGGCAGGGTCCTCCCTTTATGTGTTTGCGTTACTCCAAAACTGTAGGGCTGCTAGCTCGTCGACTAGGGCCCGTCTCTTAATATTTCCGCATCTGGCTTTCAGCTGGTGACTATTGATAACGCTACTGCAGGACATGACCTATAACGAGTTTATCCATTTCACCAACTCGAAGCCTTGCCGGAGAAGCTGACTATGTGAGCCCGAATCAGACGGGAATGTCCCAGTCGTTTTAATCCCGTGTTCTTGTTGTTGATAATGCCCACTGCTATGGAACTTAGAATGACGTTGCACATGCATAACCCTTGAGCAAATTGATCCGGCATGCTAATATTTCTGCATGGAATTTTGTGAAGTTCGTAGACACATCTAAAGTCACGTAGTTTTGCCTGGTTTCTGTGGGACATGGAATCGGTAATCGAGGTTCTCAATTCCTCATTTGGTGGTGATAGGCCACTGAAGGCAAGGAATTTGATAGACCACACACCAACTTATAAACGGACTGATCTAGTACTATGGGTACTCGCCACTGTTCCTGATTGACAGATCTTATGCAAGAGAGTTCTGCTCGATATTTTTGCAACCTTATAAGACTTCGGGTGGGAAGAAATTTGCTCTAGAAAAACAGCATTGATCAACGGAGACGAGGTTGTGGCACTGTCATGGTCTACTAACTTGAAAAGCTTGAAAGATTGGTTGAACTCATAGTATGTGCTTGAGTTCGGGACAGGCTGTGCCTCCCATTGTATTGAAATTTGCTTGGGATGCGAACTTGATTCTGGTCGGTATGCAGAAGGGAGAAAATGAACCAAGGGTGTGCTTCTTGTCTACGATGAAATGGCCTGTCATCAGCTCGAACCATGTCTTTGTCTGAGTAAATGGAGAAAGCCGCAAAGAAACACGGTCGAAGAATTCTTATAGCAGTGCCATGAATTCAAGAAGAGAGCTATCTCGAAAGAAACTGGTCCCAGGTTGTGGACACCCAAACAACGTTGTGCTAGGAGAGACCTCAAGAATCCTGCCTGCCCAAGCCCGCTGCCTATTTCATCAAGCTCAATCCAATTCCCCGTCAAGTCTCATCAAGTCGTTTGATTCCATGTCGTTGGAGCATAATCCTTGCCAGCACCTCCGGATGCAGGACCATTTCCTTGACACTATCAAGGGCCTCATCCTCCAGCATACTTCGCGTCCAACTAGTTCCCGCCAGATTCCCTCCCTTCAGAAATCCTCCTTCCAGAATACGCCGAATTCGGGTCGAGCTGAATTTCAAGGGCGCGGCATCCGCTGGAACGAAGCGAATCCAAGTTTCCGAGTCCCCGACTCGTCTACAAACTTTGATTCTCCGTCCCTCGGGAACAATGTAGCTACCCTGTTCCGTCTTCTCATATGAGCCAGCATCGTTTTCTGATATGTGTGTTTCAGAGAGAGCGTCGGTGACTGTGACTGGTTTGTTGTCCGTGTCTGCTATGAGACGATCCACTGATACATGTGTTTGTTAGCGTATGTCTTCGTACTTTTGATTGCGAAACTAATCCATCTACCTTCATGTAGCTGTGAAGTTGCCCCGACGATCGATGGAGGTATAAGTAGCGTAAAGCGCGACTTGCTGACAATGGTTCGCTCCTCCACCAACTCGTGCTCCGAGTCTGTGTAGTCGTTCTTTGGATTCGCAGCTTTGGTATAGTCGATAGCATCCTCCCAGTACCCATATCCACGCATTCTCTCGAGTTGCCCTCCAGGTTGAACAAGATCAAACTCTCTTCCAGCATTGCTCAAGATAGTTCTGTAGACTTCGAAATCCCATCCAAACGGCTTGAATACACGCGTGGGAACGACATGATCAGGTCCTGCTACCTCAATAAACTTGAGATCGAAGCCGTCTCGCTTGACTGCTCCCAGAACACGAGTCCACATCTCTTCAAACTTGAGCCTTCCACCGTCGTGAGTCCAGTACTACTGAGGCTCATTCGAGTCACCGTGCCAAAGTCGTACGCGTTCGGCCACGTTGAACATGAGCCATTGCTGTCTCCTTTCGGCCTTGCGTTCCAGTACTCTTGTGCTGACCGGATATACGACGGCAGCGATCACGTTGAGATCTTGGCTGTCTTCAAATGCGCGTCGTAGGAGATTGTAATGGCCCAGGTGCGGTGGATTGAAGCAGCCCGAGTAGATGAGGACGTTGTTCTCCTGGCCCTTCTTCAGTTGAGGCCTTCCCGAGGCGGATCTTGGACCGAAGATATTCGTATGATGGCAGCCTGATGCGGAAGGAGTCGGCTCACATAGACATGGTCCATAGGCATCCGAGAGGTACTGTCCTAGGTCGGCAGTCTCATCTTGTCGCTCGTGAGGATCATCATCTTGCAGTTCCATTCGGGAGTTTGGGGGTTTGGCGATGGGATAAATCAGCTGCTACCGGCGCGGTGTGAAGTGGGAAAGGTTTTATTTTCCGAAGGTTGTAATCCCAAACTTGACTCGATCTTGGTGCTGTTGCGGCAGACACGTGACTAGCGTTTGTGTTTCCTGTTTCGTTTTACTAAAGGAAACCAAGTTTGAGACTTACGTTAATGTAGAGCGTGGCAAGTGGAGGTTGCTGGTTGCGGACGTAGAGGAGTGACTGTAGACTACGTGAACAGACCATCATGACCGGGAGGCGTGGCTTTTTTCGTATGCCAATCATGAACATGAAATCGGCTACAAGTGAATGTTGTCTGCACATCATGGCTGCTTCTCTGTCTTGGAAATGGGTGCAAAGCAATGTTAAGACAACATTTGCGATCTCTCCTAAATATGACAAGGACACATCTAAAGACGATCCAGGGGAATGACTAGTTTTAACAAAGCTTTCCCCTTTCACCTTTTTGTAACCCTTGACAGGGTTTATGAGAAACATCGTTTCACCTTTCTGCTGGTCGTAAAGAGGTCACTTATATCCCTATGAAGTATTGTAATATGCGTTATTTCAATGGATAAGGAGTGATATGTGAGTGGTAGGAGTGATCTTGCTCCAAACTTCTCAGGAGACACAGCATTGTAACTTCACCAGCGACGAATTACTGAATCCCACCCAGACTTGCGTCATCCTGCTTCTTGGTTTGCCAAAATCTGAGCACATATGGTCGAAAGATTTCTTGAGTATGTCAGAATGAAGATCTTTGAGTAGCCTCCCAGGAAGGCTATCAGCCACCAAAGTTCCGACGGCAATGGATCAATCCTCGTGTGGTGAATATGGTAAAGATCCGACAAGGCTTGTCTGACGGCTGACCCAAGAGTCAGTTCACCATCACAATATTGCATGCATGAACCTCAATCGCCTCTCGAAGCGAGACTGGGACTACGATGGCTAAGATCAGTGAATACCTAGTAGGTCTGGTTACCGGATCTACTATGATCTTTGGAAAGGGAGAGTTCAGCCACAGACCAGAAGCCTGTGGTTGCAGATATGATACTGAAGCATTCAGGAATGTGCTGGGAAGCAGGCGTTGACATGATTATGTGCATAAATCCAACTCGCAAATTATGTGCTCCATAGCTAATAGAAATGCTTCAGTTCCGTTACTACTGGTCGGCTGCCAAGACTAGTATTTCTAAGTTCATCATTGCAGCCTTAATCTCAACTGAAAACCTTCACGTCGTAAGCTCCAGAGCACCAGTGTCGTGCGGTTGAGTCCTGTTAGCTGTACCGATGACATTTCTCGTAATGAACGTAGTTTCGTAATGAACGTAGTTGATAGCTTTGAAATGGCCTTCTCTCATTCGAACATAATGTGATGATTAAGAAAGCAAAATAATTGAGGACTGAAAAGACTGAGGCCGCCCCGGCGGGAGGGCCGGGCGTCCCACAGCGGCCCCGCTGAGTTCTGCACCGGTGGACGGACCACGGCGCTGACACGCAGAGCCTGGAAAGCAGTGGAAAGGACCCCGCACTCACTCAGTCAGTGAGGCGTACAGTCATCGGCCGCTTCACTCGTCCCGGCCCGAGACTCGCAACTCTCGAAAGTCCCGCTTCCGCTCTACTCTTCCATTTCTACAACTCATCACAGACTTGGCCTTTGACTCACTCTCTCACCCTTTTCTCCGTCAAATCATCAAACATGGCTTCACCTCTTAGAATTGGCTACGTGCCGGAGCACTTCTCCACGCCCCTCTACTTCGCCAAGGAGCACTTCGGCCTCGATGCCACCTTGGTTCCCTTCCCCTCCGGAACGGGACACATGATCACGGCCATTCGCGGCGGCGAGATCGACATTGGTATTGGTCTGACAGAAGGCTGGATCGCCGGCCTCGGCAAGGAAGACGCCCCCGGGGATGGCGGCTACCGTCTCGTCGGCACCTACGTTGACACGCCCCTCTGTAGGTTCACAAGGCCAAGTTCTCAGAAAAGTACTGACATAAGAACCAACAGGCTGGGCCATTTCAACCGGTGCCAAGCGCCCCGAAATCACCTCAGTAGACTCTCTCAAGGGTGGCAAGATCGGCGTCTCCCGCATCGGCTCCGGCAGCCAGATCATGGGCTTCGTCCTCGCCGACCAGCACGGCTGGCTCACCCCGTCCACCCCGGCACCGTTCTCTAACACGGTGATTCTCAACAACTTTGAGAACCTCCGCAACGCCGTCAACTCCGGCGCTGCCGACTTCTTCATGTGGGAGCACTTCACCTCCAAGCGCTACTACGACTCGGGTGAGATCCGCCGTGTAGGCGAGATCTACACACCCTGGAGCAGCTGGAAGATTGTCGCGTCCACGGCGTTGGCCAAGGACGGTCAGAAGCTCGACGCGAGGATCAAGGATCTGTTTGAGAAGCTTGACAAGGGCGTGAAGCACTTCAATGAGAACAAGGATGAGGCTGTCAAGTATATTAGCACCCATCTGGATTACTCTGAGGCGGATGCCAGGGAGTGGCTGAAGACGGTCAAATTTGCGGATGGCGTGGAGGGTGTCAAGCCCGAGGTTGTGAACAACACAGTCGATATTTTGAGGAAGGCTGGAGTTTTGGTGGAGGGTAAGGGAAGACAGCCCGAAGCCATGGTAGCCAGGGACGGAGCAACAATTTGAATGAGAAAAGATTTCACGTTGATCAACCGATTGTCTATTGCATCGTTTTCACAGAACGACACTGGCCTCGGATTTCATTGTGTAAAATCACGATGAGCTGCCATAAGAAACGGAGGTGTACTCGTCTTGACTCATGAATTACCACCATACTCTCGGAATGTCCCGACACTGATGTTAGGGTATCTACCATTCTCATGACCATTTGCAGTGATATTCGACAGCGATTATTCGTATAGGCAGCTAAGCCTTCCCAGACTTGCCCTTCTTTCTCTTCCCCTTGCCTGCGAGGAGGTCGCGCTTCTCCTGCTTGCGCGTCTCCTTGTCCTTGGCTCCAATAACACCAGTCTCTGAGCCACACGGCCACTTTGCAAGCACGGCGGCCTCGTCCTCCTCGCTCCACTCGCGCGGCAGCACAGCGAAAACAAGGTACGAGGTATGCGTCTTCAGCTCCGGCTCCGCGCGGTGGATAATGCGACCCTGCAACCACGGCTTGCCTGCGAAGGGTCCCTCTTCTTCATCGCCATTTGTAGTTTCTCCCGCTGGATCCACGTCCATGGCATTGCCCGCCGGTGAGTCGTCCGCCGAGTTGGGGTCTGCCGGGTTATGGTACTCTCTCGTTCTTCTCTCGATCTCGCGAAGCTTGCCGACTGCCTCGCCCACGTCGCGTGCGCTCGCCGCGATACCGCGATCGGGCTGGCTGTACCCAGCACGGTCCCGGATGACATTGAATTTCTTGTGCGAGATCTCAATCATGTCAATGTCCACCCATCCCAATTGTCTCATTGTATTGATCGTTCTTTGTACCTGCTCGATGCAGGGAGAGAAGGTGCAGATGTAGACCGACTTCTTGGGATTAAGCGGAGAAATCCATTCTTGTGTCTCGCCTTCCGTGTCCTTTGTCGCTGGCTTTCGTCGTGACAGGTGGGGGAGGGCCTCCCAGGGCGCGGGTAGATCGAGGAACACCGACTCTGCCTCGGGGCTTTTGCCGTCCACCAGGAAACCGCCGTTGTAAACATCTCGATGCGAAAGCTTCACGATGCCTTCCAGCCCATGCGCAGTGATCTCTTCTTGCATCTTCACATATCGGTCCTTGTTGAATTCGAAGCTGAAGACCTTGCCCTTTCGTTGATACTCATCTTCCGGATATCCGCTGTAAACCGCACGCGCCGAAGCGTGAGTGAAACTACCACTACCTGCGCCAGCTTCGATAATATGGGTACCGGGTCTCGCTCGTATGCGCTGAAGGACGTAACTGTAGTCGGGGGTGTAGACGACTTGTGTTCGATGCGGCAGGCCCGCGGTCCAGAGTTCGGCGGTAGGCTGAAGAATGTGCACGAAGCCGCTCGCGGCGGTAGCCGCCTTCTTAACCGGAGCGCTGGATTCTGCCTCGGCCTCATCACCTGCTGCTGGTGTTGACGCGTCCGTTTCCTCTTCCTTCCTCTTGCGCTTGCGGCCTCTGGAGCCAGTGTCAACAATCGAGGCACGAATTTGCGATCCCCATGGTACGTTGATCAGAGTGGAGTGGGGAAATGAGCCGAATCGTGTGTTGAGGACCGCTCCTTCGGCATAGCCGTCGACCGCACCGGTAGAATCTTGGAGGATGAGAGGAACGAGGTTGTCGCGAGAGAGCTGGACGATTGCGATGGAGTTGGCTGACGTTCTAGGGCCGGGCTGAAGGAATGGCGAGGGTTTCGCCATTTTTGTGATTTCGGTCGCCATGCTGGCTAGTGATGAGCCAGGGTTGATCGACCAAGAATGCCTTTCTGGACAATTGGAGTGGTGCAGGAAAGCTACCTACCCAATGCAGGTCGGAGGGCAGTAGAAGAAAAACTTCGCGAGGCTGAATTGAAAAAAAGCTGACTGTGGCTAAGCGCGGGGCAGTTGTGGCTGATTATGAGCTCGACCACTTAGATGTTGACACAGCGCCCCAATCGACTGCGAGGCTGACGATGGTGTCACACCGGCCATTTTTGATAGGTGGGCGGCTAATTGCTCCCTCCAACAAAGTCGCCGTCCCCTCCCTTCCCAATTGAGTGACTCAACCCTCTAAGTTCGACCCTTTGACCCGACCCTCTCGACGTGACTCCCTCCTCTCATGCACTCTACCCTCCTTGTGCCCCTGTCTTTTATTCTGGATGAATCGCCTCTTTAGACTCACCAGAATTTCCATTTCTCTCTCCACTCAGATACCCAAATTTCGATTCTCTAGGGCTTGTTCCTCCATCGCGACCATGGAGTCTTTGAAGGTGCACAACTCCTTGAAGCCCGGTCAACCGGTACCATTTACACCTATCAACCCGGGCAAGGTGTCTTGGTATGCTTGCGGTCCTACTGTCTACGACAAGAGTCATTTGGGCCACGCCCGCAACTATGTGTCGACCGACATCATCCGGCGCATCATCATGCACTACTTCGGCGCCGATGTGAAGTTTGTTATGAACATCACTGATGTCGACGACAAGGTTTGACTTACTAGCTTTCCACTTACACACCAGGCTTTATTGACCATTCCCTGTGGTGTAGATTATTATCAAGGCCCGAAGACAACGTCTCCTCGAACTTGAGAAGCAGAAGAAGTACTCGGACGAAGAGCTGGCGAAGCTTACCCTGACAGCTTTCCGCGCATACGCCGAGAAGAGCTTGTCTCTGATCCAATCATCCGACCTCGACGAGAACAACTACCTCGAGCGAAGAGACAGCGCATACGGAAAGGTTCTTGCAGGCGGCACCCTGACTGGGGAAGGCAAGCCTGGCGACGACGAGGCCAAGACGAAGATGCACATTGCGAACATGGACGCTGCTGCATTTGCGATCAAGGACAAGAAGTTCTTCCCTGGAACCGATGAGATTCTTCTGCCGTACCTCGACTCCCTCTACAAGGAGACCATCGATACAAGCGATCAGACCATCTTTACCGATCTGACCCAGAGCATGGAGAAGGAATTCTTCGATGATATGGACGCTCTCAACTGCCTGCGACCCGACGTCATTACGCGCGTTACGGAATACGTTCCCCAGATTGCAAGCTTTGTCGAGCGCATTGTGGACAAGGGATTCGCATACGAGTCTGACGGATCCGTATACTTCGATATCACAGCTTTCGAGAAGGCCGGAAACACATACGCTCGTCTGCGACCCGGCAACCGCAACGACAAATCACTGCAGGAGGATGGAGAGGGGGCTCTGTCGAAGAACCTGGGCGAAAAGCGCAATGAAGGCGATTTTGCGCTGTGGAAAAAGTCCAAGAAGGGAGAGCCGTACTGGGAGAGCAGATGGGGTCAGGGTCGCCCGGGATGGCACATTGAGTGCTCCGTCATGGCCTCTGACATTCTCGGAGCCCAGATGGATATTCACTCCGGCGGTATCGATTTGGCTTTCCCTCACCACGATAACGAGTTGGCCCAGAGCGAGGCCTTTTACGTGGACAACACAAAGGGCGAGCACACGTGGGTCAACAACTTTATGCATATGGGTCACCTGTCAATCTCCGGTTCAAAGATGTCCAAGTCCTTGAAGAACTTCCAGACTATCCAAGATGCCCTTGCCACGACTTATACATCGAGAGGAATGCGCATTGTGTTCCTGATGGGCAAATGGAACGATGGCGTCGAGATCTCCCCCGACATGCGCGCCCAGGCGTCCAGTTGGGAGGCAACTATCAACGTGAGTCTCTGAGCCGTATCGTAACAATGATTTCTAAGCTAACGCTTCGGCAGAACTATTTCACCAACGTCAAGGCATATGTGGCGGACGCCAGCGCTTCAACTGATGGTGTTGAATCTCTGTCACTGTCAGAGAAGCCCACTGGAGGACTTGTCAGCAGTCTGGAGAAAGCCAAGACTGACCTGCAAATCGCCCTCACCAACTCTTTCGATACCCCTCAAGCGATGCGTGTTATTCAGGAACTTGTCAGCGAGGCCAACAAGGTCGTTGTTTCCCAAGACGCAGAGGCTAACGTACCCGCGCTTGTTGCCGTCGCCCGCTGGATCACAAAGATCCTTGGAACATTCGGTCTCGACGAGAATGCCACGGCGCCCTATGACGGCCTTGGCTGGGCTGCACCTGCGTCTAACGCGAAGCTTGACCCCAACACTGTCGTGCAACCCTACGCGACGGTGTTCGAGACCGTGAAGTCGGACGTCGAGGCACTGAAGACTTCGGCCGATTCCGTTTCCGCCCTGTTGTCGCAACAAAACCCGGAAGCAGAGTTCTCTGCTTTGGCTGAGAAGGGTATGCGCGACCCTGAACAATTGGCACTGCCGTACCTGCGGGCGACCTCAAGACTGCGCGACGAGCTTCGTCGTATCGTGTCATCAGTGTCTCCCGAGACGAAGAAGGCCATCCTATCTCTTACAGATCGGATTCGTGACGAAGACCTGACAAATCTCGGAGTTTACTTGGATGACAGGCCGGATGGCAAGTCATCATTGATCAAGTTTGTACCTGCCAGCGAGTTGATCGCGGCGAAGAACGAGAAGTTGGCCAGGGAAGCGGACAAGGCCCGGGCCAAGGAAGAGGCGAAACGAGCGCGTGAGCAAGCGGAGAAGGAGAAGTGGGAGAAGGCTAAGCTTCCCCACACGGAGCTGTTTAAGGGAGATGAGAAGTACTCGGAGTGGGACGCGGAGGGACTGCCAACTAAGCTTAAGGACGGCAGTGACGTGCCCAAGAGCCAGCTCAAGAAGCTGCAGAAACAGTGGCAGAGCCAGAAGAAGGCGCACGAGGAGTACCTTGTCAAGTTTGGTGGTAAATCATAGACAGGTCAGATTTGATGGCATCGACTGGCATTAAAAGCGAGGAATTTACGACTTGCAAAGCTAGAGGCAACTCGTGGCGGCATCACGCTCGTGTGAAGATGGAAGTTCACATCGGGGGATTAACAAAAGAGTACCTTTAATCTCTCAGTGACAGCACCTACTCACAGAGTAGTCGTTTTCCACGGTAAAGAGGCCTCACTCATTGCAGAACAGCGTTCGTGCACAGAAGAGCAAGGTGGTGGAAGAGCTGGCATGAAGCTATCTGCACTAGCTTTGAGAAGGGTGGACACTAGGACCCCTGGCGTCTGGACCCTTGCCAAGCCGGGGGGCTTCCGACGATGCATGATCCCGCTGTTGCCAAGAAAGGTGATCGTCTTGTGCCGGGCCATCGATGATCTGGTAGCTACCATACCACGCGAGCCTCGGCCATTGAATCGATTCTTCACCAAAGCCTCTAGCACAAGATGTGCCGTGAGATTTTCTGGAGGAGAAAAGCAATGTGACGAAACCGTAGTCTCACATTGATCCATGATGCGTAAGCTTCTTCTGGAGCAGCATTCGTAAGATCAGCAGGTTTATGAGGGCCGCGGACCAGCGGTCTACGAAAGCCTCACGCATGGCTGAGCTTGCTGCCGGGCGGATGCAAGTTTCCAAGGCACAAGTCGAAACCTTGGAACAGCAATGCCAGCACCAGCCAACCAGCCAACCAATCAGCCAACTAACCAGCCAGTCACAAAAGTAAGTAGTGCATCCAAGCTATCTTCTTGGACCCGGATGGCACCCGTCAAGGTTCCGTCCGCTCTTTGTCATGAAGGAGGGCCTGGAATCGTCGATTCAAGCGGTGAGGGGGGATTGGTTTAGAACTTGGACGGTTCAGAGGAGAATAAACAACTCTCACCCACCTTACGAGAGCTACCCCTCATTCTCGAGGTTCCATCCCCCCTATTCTTTGTAGAGTACATCGGATTGAATAGTCTCTGAGACACCCGTTGCACGGAGCTTCCTGACACGTCATTGAAGAGGGACCCGGACCTCAGCTTCACTCCAAGTTATGCAGGGTCGACCTGTCTTTTCTTCAAGATCAAACGTTAAGTGGGCTGTATATGCCGAAGCTGCATAAGGGCTGGAGACTCTGTTGGCTTAAACTTGCTCGATCCTGATGAGAGAGAGGCCCGACGGGGGCATATTGTGTAACAAGACTGGATATGGGTAGCTCCAATGGGAGACACAGGGGGGCGGCGGCGCATGGAGACCTTCTTTGCCGGTTAGCCGCGCGACGGTCAAGCTTTCTTGCCGCAGCGCGTCCCCAGTTGTTTTTCTCGTCTCTGGTTCAGCCCAGCAGGGGTGGCTGACATAGTGACGCAGCTCCCAATGCCGAACTCCCCGGGCCGGCGGGGCTTGACCGAATCGGCTACAAGCGTGGAATTCCGGGCAACATCTCAAATCTTGGATCTAGCTCAATTGGCTGCAAACTTCAAAGGGAGGCTTGTAGACTAGAACCTTTGTTTAGCTGTGTTCGTCCAGTGTTGGGTTGCTCAGTCATAGCCGTTGGCTACTCTTGCTTGACCCGAGAGTTTGAATGCAAGAGTAGAGGAAAAGAGAGACAGAACGAGAGAGGTGGGCTCAGGAATCTAAACCCCTCCTCCTCGGACTGTCCCTCGAATCATAACCCGCAAAGGACACACGGCCGTGGAAACGCGGACAAAGCCGTCGTCACTCGTTCAGGTCCCCCGACTCCCGCGAGAACGAAAGCGCTGCCGATGTGCCGAGCAACCCCGCCAAAACACATCCACGGCTTTACGTCAGGCCCATGTCGGGCAAGGCTAAGTCGGCAAAGACGACGCCAGACGCCAGACGGTGGCTCGTCCAATAGCTTGCCTCTGGAGACGTGCCTTTCCTGGGTCAGAACTGGTTTCGATGAGGATCGAGCTAGACTAGACCCCTCCTGCCAGACCCCGCGCCGCGTCAAGGGTTTGATGCTTCAGCTAAGGCCTCCCGTCGGTTTCCCAACCTGTGTCCAATGGCTTCGCGAGCTAGAGCATGGATCGGTGGGACGCGGCCTCCGTGAAAGGTGGCAGAAGAGGCAGGCGTGGCCAGCGTTGACGGATGAGGGTCGAGGGGTGCTGGATCGACCCCTCCATCATGTCATCGGGCAGTGTGAATCCAGGGGCACAGGAAGGTTAAGGGGTTTTTTTTCTCGAAATAGAGCAAGCTTAGATGGGCCCTTTGTCGATCACATGAGAGCTTGACCTGGTTGCTGGAGGGGCATAAGAACCCCTCGAGCTGCTCTTCAATCTGGTCTTGAGAAGCTTACTACTTCACTTCCAACTTAACTACATCGCTACAAACCAATTGACTTTATACACCACACCACACCCCACACCAAACACCAAATCATTCAAAATGTTCGGATTCGGAGAAGCCAAGGAGCACCGTGACGCCGTCTACGAGGGCCAGCACGAGGGCAAGCTCTCCCACGAGATCGTTGCCGGTGGTGCTGCCTTTGAGGCCATGAAGCTTTTCGAGGACCGCCAGCGCAAGAACGGTATGCTTCATAACTTCCTTAACTCATCCATAACTCCTGCTAATCATCATTTTATACAGGCGAGCCCGTCAAGCACCAGTTCGCCAAGGAGATGATTGCTGGCATTGCCGGCGCCGAGGTCGACAAGCTCTTCGAGACCAAGGGCCTGGACTACATCGACCGCGAGAAGGCCAAGAGACACGCTGAGAAGCAGGCCGAGCACCTGTACCAGGAGCAATACGGTGACATGGACGAGTACAACCCGTAAGCAAAGCTTCACATCATCCATGCGCATCGAACAGGGACTAACACATAGATATAGTGAGCGCCGTGGCCGCCACGAGCGCATGGACTACTAGATAGTGTTTGTGTATTATCAACGGCCGGACAGATATACTATGATGAAATGAAATCCAATTGAAGTATTGAACAATAACCATTTCCTTGACACGTAACATGTGATATGCAAATTGGTATCTAAAGCTGCTAACATTATCCAAACTCCCTGGCTTGCACGTCACTGCGACCATATACTCACACCGATTTGTTTACCATTCAATTTTTCAATCCAACCGGCATAGCACTGGAGGAAGCAGATCCAAACTTCATGTCACTGTTTCCCCCAGCAATTTGTTCGAATAACCTCTCCCGCTCCTTCTGCAGCGCCGTGCGCGTGCTCTCCAGCCTCTCACCGCGAATCTTTTGCTCCCGCGAGAGATACATGTGTCGGTCCCTAGTCTCGTGGAGGTATCGACTCAAAACTTGGGCACACTTCTCAATCGACATTCTTGACTTCTTGATCTCATCGTGGAACGCCATGTCGGAGAAGATGTTGTCAAACAGCACATCTCCCATGAGGTTGCCGTGGTTGATGTTAATCGGCGGCAGATCTCCGATATACGGCGTCATCCGTTGCGCCTGCATCACCAACATCCTCGCTTCCTGCGCTGCGCTCTCGGCGCGCTGCAGCGCACTCCGCTCCATCATGTCCGTCATCGAGCCGCCACCGAACATGTCCATACGCGAGTGGCTCAAGGCGTCGTCCATGTGCCGCAACGAATCGCCCATCCTCTTCATCGCATCCGTAAGAAGGCGTATCGCATGCTGTTCAGCTTCGACTTTTGAACGGGTATCATGGTATTCGTGCAGGGCTTGCTCCGCCGACTGCTCGAGGGTATCCTCCTCGGGGTAACTCGGCGTCGGGCCCGCAAAGATCGAATCATAGAGGCTGTCCAGCTCGCACTGCGCCTCATCATGCCGCCTGGCTTCCACCTCAAGCGCCTTGCTCGCCTCGCGCGCGTCGCTCAACTGCTGCTTCACGTTTTTGTTGAGCTCTTTTTCGCGGTGTTCGTCCTGGAGGACGTCAAAGTATTCACGTTCCTCGCGGGCGGCGCGCTCGTCGAATTTGTCGCGCTTGCCGACGGCCTTGTGCACGAAGCGGCGCATGACGCTGTCGCGGAACTTTTCATGGTCTTTGAGTTCCTTTTTGCGGCGGCTGTCGAGGGCACGGGTGTTTCTGTCTGATTCTTTGAGCTGGTGGTCTAGGTCTGTGATGAGACGGCGTTGCTGGCGGAGGTCGGGGATGGCGTTGTCTGTGTCTGCGAGGATGGCGAGGAGCTGGCGGTTTCTGACGGCCGCTTGGCGGATTTTGGATTCTAAGTCGGAAGTGGCCATGGTTTTATTGTCTCTGTGGGATAGAGGGGAGTGCAGCGGCTGCTTGTTGGTAGATAAGGTAAAGATACAAGAGATATTATTGTTTTCGAACGGTATGTAGAGTTCAAGTGTAAGGAAATGAAATACTAAATAGGTATCGTGAGGGTATCGTGAGGTTCAAATATTGTGGCAAAGCCTCGAGTAACGATACACAGGCGGGTTTAGGTTTTACTTAAGTTCTTGTTCTTGACGATGGAGTCAAAACACGAGAAAATCTGTCAGTGACAAAAACTCACAACGGGGGGCTCTCTCCGAGGCCTAGGCATTATATGTTCGCCCAGCAATCCTTGGCAGACATGATGAATGCCCAACCATAGTCCCATCTCGGTGTTGGTTCGGTGGCAGAAAGGATCAAAGGTGACTATTCCCTCCAAGTCCCCAGCAACAGAGTCATAGCATAGCGATGGCAAGCGTGGCACCCCATGACATCAGACCCTCGCCCTTGAACATTATTCGGCCGGGTTGCCTCTGCAGTGCAGCGGCGCCCACTGAGTGCGGGGTGGGTAATCCCGTAGCGCTGGACGGATCAAAATAAGGGTCTGGTTTTTTCTCTTGTCTTACCACCCAACCGCATTGGCAGGGCGAAGACTAAACTGAGAGGGCGGCGGCGAAATGGGGCAACACCTGGGAATGGGAGTGGTGAACTGTTGAAGAGGAAATCAGTCAATACTGTTCCGGTTTGAACTATTGGGCTGTGAACTGGGATCATCGGTGCTTGTAGGGTTGCGCCACGGACCGAGATGACGGGAGACAGAGCTAGTCTACACTCTGGTTCTTGTTCGAACTGAGCCACAGCGGATCGATCTACTATTCTCTGTGGCCGGCCAATTGTGGCCCTCAATGTTCGCAGTTTTTCCATTTTCTACGAATCTCTCAGAGAAAAGTTCCAAGTAGCCGCAGCTGGGAGAATCTGTTGATCATAGAGACTCTTCGGATGTGGGTGGGAACAGCCACACGCTAGAAACCTGCCAAGAATCGAAGGATTCGGCGCCGCTATGAAACTCGAGAGACCTGGATAAGACCTAACACGATCTAATAGCTTGGAATGATGCTGATGTTTGTGGCCAGTAATCGCAAAAACAGCAGGGATCCTCGCCCATTGACCATGACATTTGGGAACTAGGTAGGATTTGGAGACTGACGAAGACAACAGAGGGGAAGTGGTTTCGGTGTGGCTGGTGCTCCCTGATCTGCTCTTCTTTTTGCAAGCGGAGAGGCCATGAGTTCATGTTTTGAGCCGACTGACTGGTCTGTCACCCATGACGATGACGATATGCACCATCCGCCGGACCAGCGAGTCTGTTGTTAATGGCATCGAGATCATAGCGATCTTGGTGACAATGTTCATCGGCAGTCTTGAGGAGCTAAGGCATGACGATGCCCAACGAACAACAGAAACAAACTGAAGAAAAAATCAAGGCAACCCACCCAGCACCGCGGCCAAGCCCGAAAATGCCCAATTTCATGCGCATTGACCTTGTGGTCCATTGTGAGGGAATCTTGCACGATGGAACAAATACCCTCATTAATGATATAGATGACCCAGATAGGTAGTCTCGCATGCCTCATGTTAGCCTTGCGTACCACTCACAACAATCTTCATTCGAGGGTCTCCCCCCATTGCGCGACAGACACCTGAAGACCAGCGACAGCCACGTGGGCGAATGGCAGCTGATGTTGTCGATGCCAACGAGGCGGCGGGAATCCACAATCGTCTTGCCCCGTCGGGGATGATCCCCGTTGTCAACTTCAATAACCGGCGCCATGGTTCCCCATTCATGAAAATGGTCGGCCCTGCCAGTCAGTTGGCTGTCAATTGTTCGCCCAGCAACCGGAAGTGGTCCGCGGTATATTGTCCAGCTTTAATTGAATTGATTCAGAACGCCTGCTAACCCTTCCCTCGCTGACCACGGTAGCCTGCGATACCGTTGAGTCGTGGTAATTTTACATGAAATATCCTGTCTATGCTTTTTACTCCGTCTAACCCAGTTCCCATACCGCCTTATCTATCCCAGAAGAAAACAATGCAATGAAACCACTAACCAAGCAAACGATATCGAATGATAGAAGAGCCTCATACGGGGTTAATCCTCCGCCCCTGACTCATAGTCTAGTGCTTCTAGGTTGCTCTCCGTCTCTAAGTGAATGGGTCCCTTCTTCCTCGGCTCTTCTACAAGCATCAGCGCCCCCCACGTCAAGGACGCCAAGAACGCAACGTAGAACCACGGCAACCCCTTCCACAGTCCCTTCTTCTCAAGTCCGACCGAGAAGGCCCACGCCAGTACCGGTCCGCCGAGCGGAGACCCGAGAGTATCGACCATGCTGGTGAGTGCATACAGCCGGGACGTGTGCTCCGGATCGACAAACTCGGTGATCATGGCGCGCGCAAGCGGATTGTGGGCCGAACCAAAGGTCTGGAAGACGAGGCCTAGGAGGAAGACGACGATCTCCCGGCTAAAGGCCTCGAGAAGCGCACCGGCGGCAATCATGATGTAGGACGCCTTGGCGAGGAGGGCGTCCTTGCCGAAGCCGGTGCGGCGGAAGCGGCCGCGGGGGTCGACGACGATTTTCGAGACCCATGGGAGGAGAACGAGGGTGCCGAGGTGTAGGAAGCCCAGTGGGGAGAGGAGGAAGCTGGTTTGGGCGAGCGTCCAGCCAAAGTTCTTGCTCACGTACTGCGGTAGTGTAGAGGAGTTTGCCGTCATGATGGGATTGCCGACGATGGAGGGCACAAGGCAGAGGAGGATATTGCGGTTTCTAAGGATCGCGAGAGAGTCCTTGAGCTGGACCATCCCTTTGAGGAAGCCTTCCTTGATGGCGTCGCCAAGTGGCAGCTGCGGTTTCGGCGGTTCGTTCTCGTTGTCGAGCTTGACGCGGAGAGTCTCGGGCAGAAGCATGATGATGAGGAAGACGAACGGGGTGAGTATGAACACCATACGGATCGGCACCCAGGGGCCAAATTTCTCCATGAGGAAGCCGGCGGAGACGTGGCCGCTGACACCACCGACCACGGCGCCGACGGACAGGATGACAAAGTTCGAGGCGCGGTCCTTTTCGGTACTGATATCGGCGGCCATGGCGTAGACGTTATTGAAGACAACGACGATGCCGCCGCCGAAGAAGAAGAAGCAGGAGCCGAAGAAGAGGTAGTAGATGCTCAGCTCGGGGAAGTTGGCCAGAATGAAAGGGGACCAGCTGAAGGCGGCGATAGTGCCAATGTAGGCGAAGACGAGGCCTGCCTTCCGGCCGATGCTGAACGTACCGAAATCGTGTTAGCGATAAGGTGAATGGACACGCAGCAGGATAGCTTCAATCTTGCTCTCACACGGGAGGGGAATCATGAGTTACCTATCTGACAAGACACCGTAAGGAAAGGCGACGAGGAAGTTTACGACGGCACCGATGAGAGACTGCCACCCGCCCAGCCAAGCAAGCTGCTTCTGCACCTCGTCGACCTTGCACTTCATCTCCGGGATCATTTCCGTGGGGCTGGTTTTGTAGTGCTTATGGCAAATGTCATCCTCGATGAGCCTCATCATGGGAAGCATAAGCATCATGCCCTTGATAGTAATGGCAAACTTGAGGAGAGCCAGCATAAAGATGATGGTACGCGGCGATCGGGCACGGAACGGAGCCAGAGCGGCATTAAGACGCGAGCCGGCTTTGTAGACCATCCCGCCGACAGCACCGCCGAGACCGCCATCACCGGAGGAGGGCCGCCTCCATTTTGGCGGCGGAGGTCTCTGGAAAGCTCGGAAGCCGGCACGGGGTGACGGTTCGGACGGGTCCATTGGTAGCACCCCTTCGTGGTCCGAATATTCGGCGCCCAGGAGGTGCTCTTCCTCCACCTCGTCTGATAGACGTGGCATCTTCTCAAGCTCCTTTCTTGAGGTCGGTACTAAGGGACGAGCGCAACGAGAGACATGGAAAGTGAAGCAATGAGACGATAGCGAAATGACTAAATGACAGGGAAAGAGAGTGCTGAACAGTAGAGAGCGTACAAAGAATGAAAAGGCTTGTTTGACAGGGCCGTGTACAGCGAACCCGATGACGACGCGTCTGGGCAAAGAATTCCTGTCGCCAAGGCGGGAAGTTTCAGCTGGAGTCGGCGTCTTGCTGTAATAACTCCCCGAAGCTTGTCTCTTCCAGCGCCCCTGTGCTGTTACGGGCTGGGATGTGGAGATTGGCAAAGCTTGATGGAAGTTAGTAGAGAACTTAGACTGGCCGCGCTTCTTAGCGGTCAGTTGAGGTTATTTGGAGTAGAGCCTTAACAGCTACGCATCTCAAATGCCACGACTGGAAAACATTCAGCAATGCACCACTATTCGCACAATGGCGAACCTTTCGAACATCGTAAGATGCCGATCCCGCAACGTCGATGTCTGCTACCCTGTGCTCTCATTTATATCCTAGAATTTTTCTGATTTCCACCGGTGATATAGAGACTGGACCTAACAGATACTCCTGAATTGAGAGTTGTAGACCTTTTCCGTCGGCACACTGGCTCTCCTCTGAGGTTCGAACATCTATCCGCGACGATTTATATTTTCATAAAACCCCAAGACCGAGAGCGAAATCGACGCTCTCATAATCTGCATGAGGGTGGTCGACTTTTGAGAGTCTCAGGAGTAAAAAAAAGCTTCATTCTCTAAAGTTCGCTCGTACATTGATAACAATTTCACTATTCTCTAGGCCTAGGTGGTTTTACCTCCACAAAAGAGCTATCAGAAGAATAGATGAAGCCATACGATCGGGTACAAAGTCTTGCTGATGAGTCGTTCCACATGGCACACTGACCTCAAGTGCTTTGTGTTCGCTCATCCCAAATCCTCTGCTCATCATCTTCTTCCTCATCGTGAGGCCTTGAGAGACTGTACGTGTTGTCAGACGCTAAAACGTAGAGGATCATGAGAGCCGCAAACGATGGCCAAACGGAGAGGATCACATCAACAACTGCGGCT